GGTTAAGTGGTTAAATTTCTACTTATGCTTATTCTTGTTTCTTAATAATGCCTGTAGTGCTATTATCTCCCTTAGTACAGTTTTTTTTTGTAAATTCTAAGTTTTGGTAGCTGATGTCTTTATTCTCATTTGTATGTGATCTCTTTTTTATTTTATTTATTTTTTCGCCAAAGAGAGAAATGATTTATTATTTTCTCAGAGATAATTGGATTCTACTAGAATTAAGACGTTTATTTGAGAGCTGGGATTATGTTGCTGGCCCACTCCAGATTTTTGTGATCTCTTTATTTTTTAAAAAAAATCCTCTTTGATCCAGCAGTGGCTCAATAGTGCGTTGTTCAACTTCTAGGTATTTGAGTTTTCCTCAGCAATTTTTGGGAAGTAGGGGCCTTCCAAGCAGTGCTCAGGAGACTTGGAGTTCCAAGATGAATTTTTTTGCCAAATGGGCTAGAAGTTCAGTGTGAGGGCCTGAGGCTGCTGTGCTGAAAGGGTCTTGTGGCGATGGTGATACCTTGCCACTTGGAAGTGCTTGGGGATCCCCACGGCTCAGGGAACTATGTAGTGTTAAGAATATAATCTGGGTTAGGTGCATGCTTGCATGGTACACATGCAGCCTTGCTGCTGTTCTATCTCCTGGTCCTTATCCTAGCTTTCTGTTTGTGGTTTATTTACAACTTAAAAGCATTATGATGTGAGAGGATCCTGTCCTCCCGTTGTTCATCAATTTTGCTCGAGCGGGCCCAGTAACGTCTCCATTGGAGACTTTGTTGTTACTGTGTTTGGCATATCGAATACATCACGGGTAGCTTGCCAGGCTCTGCCGTGCGGGTGAGATACTCTCGGTAGCTTGCCAGGTTCTCCGAGAGGGGCGGAGTAATCAAAGTCGGGTCGGCCATGTTGGCTGCATGCAAGGCAAACGCCCTACTGTTGTGCTATCGCTCCAGTCCATGTGAGAGGATAATTTATCTCATTTCCTTTTCTTGACTTTATGAGGATCTTTTGTGTCCAAGATATGGTCTGTCCTAGAGAACACAGGAAAAGAATGCATACTTGACTTTTTTAGGATATTTGTAAATTCTCTCTCATCTATTTATTTCTTTAAATCAGTTTTTCCCTTCTTGATTCTCTGGTTCATATATCCAATAGTGACAGTATGCCATTAAAATCTTCTATTACAACTATATTGCCATTGATATTTTTCTTCACACCTTTTAGTAGTAGTTCTACATATACTACTGATCATTTATTGCATGTGTGATACTGGATATGTTTTATTGATAAGTCGACTCTAATCATTGTATAGTGTCTATCTCTGTCTTTTATTATCTTTTTTTTAGATTAAAGCTTTTTTTCTCATACAATTGTGGCTGGTTCTGCCTTTTTTAGCCCTCTATTTACCTGTCTGATTATTTTCTAGCTTTTTACTTTAAGTCACTGGGACAGTTCAGTGAGTCTCTGATGAGCAGTAAGAGGTTGGGTTCGGTTTTCTGATCCATCTAACCACTCTGTCTTTTGATTGGTGAGTTCAGGCCATTAAAGTTAAATGAAATTACTGGAATAATGGGATTTAATGTTATCTTTTTGTGGAAATTCTGAACTTTTGAGTAGTTAGTCTTTGTTTTGTTGTTATTTTTATAGTAGACCACTTAGTACATCTTGTAACACTAGCATAATGACCAAGAGTTTCTTTAATTACAGCTTGTCTGTAAGTTTTGTATTGCACCATTGAATTTGAATAATAATTTTAGCTGGATGCAGTATCTTTATTTGGCTACCTATTGCATTCAGAGTGCTGGCTATATCATATAATTCCCTTTTAACTTTTTTTAGTTTCTTTTGAAATATCTGTGATTTTTTTTTCTTTTTGGGTCACACCCTGGCGATGCTCAGTGGTTACTCCTGGCTCATGCACTCAGGAATTGCTCCTGGCGGTGCTCGGGGGACCATATGGGATGCTGGGAATTAAACCTGTGTCGGCCATGTTGGCTGCGTGCAAGGCAAACGCCTTACTCGCTGTGCTATTGCTCCAGCCCCCATATCTGTGATTTTTATCGGGTATCCCTTATAAGTAATTTTGGAATTTGCTCCTGTTGCTCTTAGAATATGTCTTTGGCTCTTGCCAGCTTAATTATATTTCTTGGTATTTTTGTTTGAATTCATTTTGAATGAAACTACTTGAGATTCCTGAATCTCATACGTGGTTGATCTTCATCTTGAAGAGGTTTTCAGCTAGAATTTTTCTTGCCAGAACTTTTTCCCCAGTCTTTCCTTTCCTTCTGAGGTCCATATTATTTTTCTTCAGGCTATCCCATGGACTTGACATTTTCTTAAATTTTTTATTATTCTTTCTTTTAAAACTTTATTTTTATTTACTAAAATAAAATTTGTTGTTCTTGAATCACTGTGAATTACAAAGTTACAAACCTATTTGTGATTGAGTTTCAGGCATACAGTGTTCCAGCACCAATCTCTTCAACAGAATCCACTACTCTTCTTGCTGATCTGAAGACAAGATCAGCAAGAAGAGTATGCCTTCTTGCCTCCAGTGCAATGCCTCCAGTTTCCCTTCTGCATTCCAGCACTGCCTCTATGGCAGACACATTTAGATTATCCTAGTGATCCCTTCCTTAATTATTCACTATCACAATCGCTGTCCAAATGGAAAACTTCCTACTGAAGGCCAGTTCTTCTGTTCTTAATTTCTATTTCTTTAGCCATTTGATATTCCCCTAGGAAGTTTCTCTATATCCTACATATGAGAGCCATCACTCTGAGTTTGTTCCTCTCCCTCTGACTGATTTCAAAACTCAACATGATACTCTCCAGATACACATTGTAGCAGCAAATTGCTTGACTTCCATCTTTTCTTAAGGCCAACTAGTATTCCACTGTGTATATGTACCATAGCTTATCTGGTCATCTGTTCTTAGACATTTAGGTTGTTTCCAGATTTTGGCTGTTATGAATAGGAACACAGGAGTTTCTCCTGCAGTGAACACAGGAATGTCTCTTACTGTTTTGGGATGCTTTCATACATCTTATGTTTTTGTACACTGATTTTTTCCTCTGCTTTTGTCATTCTGCTGCTTCTTTCTTCTTTTGTGATTTTTAGTTCTTCTTCAGAGAATGAAAATGTTGTCTTCAGATCAGCAATTAGTTTTTTTAAGAATTTTAAAAAATTTTAACTTATTTATTTTTATAAAGTTGTTGTTCATGATTTATTACAATTTGATATTCCAAGACCAATCTCACTACCAGTGCACCTTCCTACCACCCTTCAAACCTGCTCTTATAGCAGGCCCTGCATAATTTATTTTATATTGCTTGTTATAATTCACTAAAAATGATTAAAAAATATTTTCTTAGAAGATGGTATGTGAATATTTTTGGAGCCAGTGAGCCATTAAGCCCTTGTAGAAGAGATTTACTAGCATGATATTAACTGTTAAGCCTTCCGTGTTTATATTTTCTTAATCCAAGATTGATCCCATCCAATGTGTTGTGCTAGTCCTTGTTCATCAGTGGTGTAGAGTTTAAGATGTCCTGTGGCTGCAAATGCAGTTGCATACTCAAAATTTTTGAATGAGCTAATCCAGTTGGAGTTAAATTTTTAACTGGATAGTGACTTTGGGTACCCTGAATGACAGCATGGTGAGGGGTCTGAAAGCTTCTCTGCAAATTATTGATCTTTTTTGAGATTTATTTATGAGTCTCTGGATCATGGTCCTTTAATGAGCTTATTTGGTGCCAGAGGCAGTTCATGCACATGACTGCCAGTCTTTAAGAAGAGCAGAGAGATGGGGGGAGATACCCCTTTCCTAACTCCATGAGACCCTGGAGATTTCAGTCACAAAACCTGCATGCATATCAACAATTTCTGATTGATTTTTTTCTTATATTTATCTTTCTTTATTAAAACTCTTCTCTATTTATCTTTATTGAAACTCTTCTCTGTTATTTTCATAACTTATATATAAAACAAGGTTTTGTGTTTATAAAACATTGTTCACTTTGATGAACAATGAAATTCACTTAAAAATGGTTCCTCCATAAAGGTATTATTTCTTTATTGACAGTTATGTTTTAGAGAAATATAAATGGTATAAGGCAATATGAACAAAAATTTTTATAATGAAAATTTTAAAATTTTATTAAAGAATAGAGGGTGAACACATAATCCTTATAGTAGATACTACTTTGAGGAGCTTGTTCTCACTCTTAAGGTGAAGTAAAAATTGGGAATTAGAAGTAAAGCAGTGTAAAGAGAAAAATATATCCAAAAAAATCGAAGATGTTTGCAGGTTCCAAAAAAACAGTAAATAATTTTAATTATTTGTAAATGTTAAAATAGCTTGGAGGACTATATCTCAAACCCAGACATTATTTTGTGTCAAGTCATTTGCTGCTTGTTTGTCTTTGATAGCGCGCGTGCAGGGCTGGAGCGATAGCACAGCGGTAGGGCGTTTGCCTTGTGCACAGGCCAGCCCGGTCGAGCCGGGTTCGATTCCTCCACCCCTCTCGGACAGCCCAGCAAGCTACCGAGAGTATCTTGCCCGCACGGCAAAGCCTGGCAAGCTACCCGTGACATATTCAATATGCTAAACACAGTAACAGCAAGTCTCAAAATGGAGACGTTACTGGGCCCGCTCGAGCAAATCTATGACCAACGGGAGGACAGTGTTTGTTTTTGTCTTTGATAAACAAGAGGAAAGGGAGAGGGAAAGAGTGGGATTACAGGTAGAAGGTGAAAAGAGAGAAACTTAATTAGCATCTCAGTCATTGTACTTAAACTTTGAGGAAGTATGGGCAGGGTGGTTAGTTGATCACATAAATATGTAAAGTCTTAATAGTCATTTCTTTGTCTTTTTCTTCTTTGTTGAGGTTATGAGTAATATGCTCAACTAGGTATTTAATAATATTTGTATTATTATTATTGCGGAGGCCATAGTTTTCAAAAGTAGTGTCTTACTCCTTAACGTTTTTTTTTTTTTACATTTAAGGGAAGAAAAAACTGAACAGTTATTGGACTGTAAACAAGAACTTGAGCAAATGGAAATAGAACTGAAAAGGCTGCAACAAGAGGTTTGTACCCAGAACAGTTATTATTATGAATAAAGACAATTGGAAACTGAATTATATCCATCGAATTATAACCTGTGGACAAATAATTGAGCTACTGAGGCTTAAAAAAGATACAACGACTTTTTTAGAATTTTTTTCTTGAAAAATGCTGAAGCCAAAACTAGAAATCAAGGTCTTTAGACATTTCTTTTAGATCAGTGCTATGCAAGTTTTGCTGATTCAAAGCAACCTTTTAGGACTGGGGTAGTTTTCAACATTTTTAAAATAAGGTTTAAAATAAGGTTTATGTGGATTTGGAAACTGAAACAACTTTACTGTAAACTGTGGTGCTGCATATGATTCTTCTTGGGTGTTTACTCTCTGGTGGTGCTTTATGTTCATAATACTTTTTAAATTTTCACCTTTTTTGTATTAAAAATGAGAAAACCTTCCACCCAGGATTGAATGTATGGCTTCACAGATGCGCAGATGCATGGCAATCACTCTGTGGCTGAGCTACTACCTAGCTCTGCTTTCTAAAATTGGGTTTTATTTTAATAGATCTTCATGTTTTTTTCACCTTATATATAAATGATTCAGGAATTTACTTCTTATAATCACTATTTTGTTTTTATTTGGAGATGCACATGAGGTCTTCGTTTACTCTTAAATAGTAGGGATTGGTTTGAGGGTGGACAATTGTTTTTTCCTTTACTCCCCCTAACCTGCCTTTAATGGTCCATTTATAGGACCCTACACTGAACTTTCCTTGATGAATCTTACTGAAGGTTACAATTCTTTTTTTAATTTTTATTAGTGAAACACCATGAGGTACAGTTGTAGATTTACAATTTTTTGTGCTTGGGTTTCGATTATACAGTGATCAGATACCCATCCCTCCACCAGTGCCCATTTTCCACCACCATGGATAATATCCCTCCCCCCCCATCCCCCCCATCCCACCCTGCCTCTGTGGCAGGGCAATCCCTTTTGTTCTCTCTCTCTTTTTGGGTGCTGTGGTCTGCAAAAGAGGCATTGAGTGGCAAACATGTTCAGTCCATAGTCTACTTTCAACATGCATCTCCCCTCCTGGGAGGATCCTCCAAACACCCTCCGTTTGGTGCTCCTTTCTCTAGCTGAACTGTCCTTTCCCCTAGAATACCCGGCTGGCCTCTAAGCTATGGAGTAATCCTCCTGGTGCTGATCTCAGCTATTCTTGGGTATTAATCTCATATTTTGTTATTTTATATCCCCCAGATGAATGCAATCTTTCTATGTCTATTCCTCTCTTTCTGACTCATTTCGCTTAGCATGATACTTTCCATGTTGTATCACTTGTATGTAAATTTCATGACTTCATCTTTTCTAAGAGCTACATAGTACTCCATTGTGTAGATGTACCAAAGTTTCTTTAAGAAGGTTACAATTTTTATTTCTAGATACATTGTGGATGCTGCTCACTTCTTGGTGGGAGAGTTCTAAAATAGTTGTTTTCAATCTTTTGTTCTCAAAATTCTGCCACTCTTAAAATTAATTGACAGAGAATATAAAAGTTAAGACTCCCGCATTGAACCCTTTGACCCTGATACCACATTGACCCCTGACCATTGTAGGGTATAGCCCTGTATATCCCTAGTTATTGCCAGAGTAGACCAGGTAACCTCTGATGCCAGATATTCCAAAAAGCAGTGAATCCTCAGATCCTGGCATTGATCTACTAATTAAGTTGATCAAGGATCAAGGGCTAAGCAGTGGTACAGCAGGTAGGGCACTTGCCTTGCATGTGACCAACCCAGTTTCAATCCCTGGTACCCTAGATCATCCCCTGAATACCTCCAGAAGTGGTCCCTGAGCCAGAGCCAGGAATAATCCCTGAGCACCACTGGGTGTGGCCCCCAAAACAACAACAGAAATCCCAGGAATTTGATATTATCACATAATGTAATAGAAACAGTATTTCTCTACCCAGAAATCAGTGTATTATTTGCTATCATATTTTTTTATTATTTTTTTTTGCTATCATATATTTTAAAGTTAAAGTTTCGGCTTCAAATTATAATTTACTGGAGGTGAGACGCCACAACTGTCATCCCAGGTAGACCTAGTGTCTGAACCAAGACCTCTGGAACCTTCTTGGGATGGGTGCAGGCCCCATCCCGAGAGTTCCCACCCTGCCAGAAAGCCAGGGTCCCATTCACACCTGACTTCCTCCAGCATACAAAAAGGTCCAGCTCCATGAAAAATCTCAGAGAGATGTCAAGCTGCTAATCACCCCAGTTTCACAGTTCCTGGATTGAGCAGCCTCATGCATGGCTGCTCAACATCTCCAGAGTTCACCCATACTGACAGCCCATTGTAGGAGCACAACAAATTAGATGGGAAAGTTGTGTAGAGATTCACTATTTAGTGAGTGAAAACAGTAACTGAGAAAGCTCAGTTAGCACCTATCGGCACAGTAAATCCTCAAACAATGGCTTTAGCAACACTATTGTGAGATATATGTTGTAATAAGCAATATAAAGTAAATTATTTTGTGCCTGCTAAGGGGGCAGTCTAGGAGGTGCTGGTGGCATTGGTGAGGAGAAGGTCACACTGGTGATTGAATTGGTGTTGGAACATTGAGTACCTGAAACAACTGTATTAGAAACAACTTTATAAATCACGGTATTTTTTTTCTTTTTGGGTCATACCTGGCGATACATAGGGGTTACTCCTGGCTCTGCACTCAGGAATTTCTCCTGGCTGTGCTCGGGGGACCCTATGGGATGCTGGAAATCAAACCCAGGTCGGCCTTGTGCAAGGCAAATGCCCTACCCACTATACTATCACGCCAGCCCCTATAAATCACAGTATTTACATAAAGTTTCAAGCATTAAATATGTAATTCATTGTGCGTGATATAGTTAAAAAAGCTGAGTGCATACGTTGCATATAGGAAAGATGGGTTTGATCAACTCTGCATATGGTCCCCCAAGCACTGCCAAGAGCAATTCTCCAGCACTGCTGGGTGTGATCCAAAACATATTAAGAGAAGGAAAACTTATTTTAAAATATCCTAAATATTTTTGCATTCCCGATAGAGAACATTTTATAAAAATTTAGTATATAAACATAATTTTTATGTTTGTGTGTATATATGTATAGGTATAATTTTTTTAAAATTCCTTGGCGTTGGGGAGGTAGTACAGCAGCCATGGTGCTTGCGTTGCATGCAGCCAATAATCTGGATTCTGTCCACAATACCCTTGTGGTTCCCTGAACACCACCAGGAGTGATCCCTTAATGCAAAGCCAGGAGTAAGCCCTGAGTGTAGCCAATGTTGCCCAGAAACCTAAATAAATAATATTTTTCATTCCTGGTTTTAAAAAGACTTTATATCTTACCATTTGAAAAGTAATTGAAGTATAATTTACATACCATAAAAGTCACAGTTCATCTAATATACAGTTCATTGATTTTTTTAGTAAACTTACCAAGTTGTACAATCAAGGCATTTGAAAATGTAAAATACATTAATATTCATTTATTTATATTTAGAACATGAATTTGCTTTCGGATGCCAGATCTGCAAGAATGTACCGAGATGAATTAGATGCACTTCGAGAGAAGGCCGTCAGAGTTGATAAGCTTGAAAGTGAAGTCAGCAGATATAAAGAGAGACTGCATGATATTGAATTTTATAAGGCAAGAGTTGAGGTATGTTGTGTAATTTAAAATAATTTAAAGTATAATTTTTTAAAATATTAGCTTTTTTCAAATTTCAGAATGAACTTACTAGAATTATTGATTACAAGTAACCTTCAGATATTTTATGATTTAAAAGATATTTTTGAGAATTATTAATTTTATTGAACTCTGAAGAGTTTTATAATGGACTTCCTTATTTTGTCTTATTAGATAGGGCAGATTTTCAAAATCACTAAATCATTCCATTGTATGTATGTATACAAAAAAATTTTGGGCTTGGAGATAGCTTAAAGGGCTGAAGAACATGACTGGTATGCATAGGTTTCCAACAAAGATTTGTGAATTAGATCTTCAGAGTATTGGAAGGGCCTGAGGTATCATCTCAGAGGTGGAGTGCATACTCTGCATTCTGGAGGCCCAGCATTCAGTCCTGTTGGTCCATGCTCACCCAAGCACTACCAGGAATGCCATGTGAGCTCTGTTGGGGGTGGCCTGAAAATACACAAATTTCCTTAAATAGATAGGAATTTTAAGATTTTCTCAAAATATAAAATAATTACAGGCCTCATTCACCTGACCCTGAAAGAGCCTCCAGTCGTTGGGAAAAGACGAATAAGAAGAGGCTCCTAAAATCTCAGATCTGGGAGGAATAGAGACGTTACTGGACCTGCTCGAGTAATTCGATGATCAATGGGATGACAGTGATGATGATAAAATAATTATTGGAGACTGAGGGTGTAACTCAAATGACTGGAGTGTATCTCTTACACAAGAGATCAGTCCGCAGTACCTCTTGGTTCCCCCAAGCACTGCAGGAAGTGACAAAGCTAGGAGTATGCTTTGTCAAAGTCCACTTTGCTGTGGACCCCCAAAAGATCCACATAAACAGATTATTGATAGGTCTTTGGTTTTTGATTTGTCTTTGTTTAAATCATGGTATTTATGTTTTAAAAGTCTTTCACTTTTAAGTTAGAGTGTAAATAGAAATACTTAAATCTATTTTAGTAAATAAATTCTGCCTCGATTCTATGGAGATTTTGTCTTAAATAGCTGGAGGGCTACTACTTTGTTCACTTCTTTGTTGCTAAAGGATTGAAATATACCCCTCTTTTGGTGCCAGAGCCATAGTACAGTAAGCAGGGTGCTTGCCTTGAATGCAGCTGACCAAAGTTTGGTCCCTGGTATTATATATGGTCTCCAAGCACTGACAGGTGTAATTTCTCAGTGCAGAGCCAGTAGTAACCTCTGAGCATCACCAGGTATGACCCAAAAACCAAGAAAAAAATTAAATAAATACACTCTCCATAATTTCATGTGAAATTTTTGTGCTGAGTATTTTGTTTTCATAATTGCTTTAATTGTGGGGTATAAAAGGAAGCCAAAAAGATATCAGCTGGGGCTGGAATGATAGCACAGCGGGAAGGGCATTTGCCTTGCACACAGCCAACCTGGGTTTGATCCCTGGCATCCCAGATGGTCCCCAAAGCACTGCCAGGAGTAATTCCTGAGTGCAGAGCCAGGAGCAACCCCCAGAGCATCACTAGGTCTGACCCAAAAGCAAAAAAAAAAAAAGAAAAAAGACATCAGTTATTTCTTCATTCTTTCATAGCCCCCATTCACAGTACAGACCAGCATCAGCTATATCTATTACTCATTAAGTTTATTCTTACAATAATTGTTAATAAGTATAGCATAATGCCTTACTTCACAGTAGAGAATTTTATGCTTGGAAAAATTAAGGTATTAACATGTTTGTAACAAATAAGGCCTAAATAAAGCCTATTTGAAATCTATAGGAATTAAAAGAAGACAATCAAGTTTTATTAGAAACAAAAACCATGCTGGAAGATCAGTTAGATGGAACTCGAGCCCGTTCTGATAAATTGCACGAATTAGAAAAAGAGAATTTACAACTAAAGGCTAAACTGCATGATATGGAGATGGTAAGTCTCATAAGGTACATGTGACCTCTAAGGAAAATTTCTAAGATTTTAAAAATTTCTTTATAATGACAAAACTATCTTGAAGCTTTAATAAAGCAATAACTAAATTACACATTTCCAATTTTATATAATTATTAGTACTGTAAAAATTTCTGCTTTCACCACAAAGGAGTATTATTAATAGTTATTAATCTTGTTACTAATTTTGTTGTGTCAATGGTGTTAATAATGCAATTATTGTGTTTTCTATCTTCGGAAAAAAACTAATTCTAAAATTTAGCATTTGGTCAGAAATATCAGTATACTGACTGAAGAATTTTCAAGATCCTTAGAGATCATTTTAAAAGGATATCCCTGATTTGTACTCTTGGCAATGGATATGGCTTAAAGTGATGAAGCACTTTATAGCTTACGCTAGAAACCAAGTTTAATCCCCTACCCCTACCTAGCCCCCAAAGAAATCCCACTGGGTATAGCCCTGATGGCCTCTTAGCACCACAGGCTTGACCCTGGTGGCCTCCATTGCTGCCCCATCTACTAAGCATTTAAGTACTCGGTACTAGTTGGGTATCACCTGGAATAACCCCCATCTTCCTGAACATCAATGGATATGGCTTCTATTTTTAAAGAATATTAAAAAATATGTCAGATACTTGATCAGTATAATGATTATTAGTAATTACCGATTCTTGTTTTCAAAAATTTCAGCTAGAATTTATCCTCAAATTATTCAATTTTTGATAAATACAATACAATAGAATAAAATATTTTTGTGAATTTTACTGTACCTTACCTTTATATTATATCCCTGTTGCCTGCCACCAAAAAAGGAACGTGATATGGATAGGAAAAAGATTGAAGAATTAATGGAAGAAAACATGACTTTGGAAATGGCACAGAAGCAAAGTATGGATGAATCATTACATCTTGGCTGGGAGCTGGAACAGATATCCAGAACTAGTGAACTTTCTGAAGGTATTCCCAGTTTTATTTAAATGAATAAATCACACTGCATTTATGCTTAAATGTCTGGATATTTTAGTGCAGCTCTTTGTTTTTCTCAGCTAGAGATATCTCAGCTGTCTTTCTAGAGACAGTATTATAGATTGGTGTATTATTTTTCACATTCCAGTGTTTTATCTTCGCATATATTACAACTGATTTTTTGAGTCTAATACTCTCAGCACTGTGCTTGGTGACAATTCCTTATATTACTTCAGGAACCTTGGTTCCGGGGATCAAAGCAGGGGCTTCTGAGTACAGCCGACCAAAGTTTGATCTCTGGCATTCTTTGTGGTCCCCCAAGCACTAATAGGAGTAATTTCTGAGTGCAGTGTGAACTATTGCATTTTGAATGATCTCCTGTAACCCTGTATTAACAGCTTTGCTCTATTCGGACACTTTTTTTATTACTATCTCAAAAGCTGGAATACCATTTTACTGATGAGTTTACAAAAGTATAGCTAATACTAGTGCAGTAATAAAGTTCTTTTGGCTGGTCAGCATGTTCTTTTACTTTAAACAGTAAATAAAAATGTTGGAAGATGTACATTTGCTGATACTAATATTGTGTTGCAATTAAATTCAGGCATGTTACACTTACTTAAACTGATTTAATAATTTCCCAGTTACCCAGTATCACACTATTCCACCTCAGTTATTTAAGTACCTTTTGTGCATAAAATAGTATATCAGACTCTGAGGATATAGTGGTGATGTGGACATAAATTCTGGAAGCATGTACGATCTGGTATTTACAGAATGATTCTACTGATGGCCTATCATATTTATCATTAGGCTCTTCTTGATTTTATATTTGAGAACCTAACTAAATTCTGTGAACCCATGTAGATTTGCTTCATTTAGTAAGTCATGATATTCAGCTAGTGAGTATTCTGAGATGTATTGATTACTTATATATGTGTAAATTTTTGTATTGTATATCCCGGGGTAGTTGTCAGAAATTGAACAGAGGTCCTCCACATGTAAGGCAAACACAACCATTGAACGACATCCTTGACACTATTTTTTGTTTCTTAAAGTAGTTAAAATTATACTCTGAAGAATTTCCTCAACTGTTGAGTCTCTTTAATAATTGTTATATTATTAGCGCCTTTTAGAAGAAGTTAAGCATCTTTTATAATTGTTAAAAAGGTTGAATTTATTAATACATCTAAAACTCATATAACAGTATCTGTAAATTGCAAGCATTTAGGTGTAAATTGTTATTTATGTTGCTCTTACTATTTTTTATTGCATTGTACTTGCTTTGCTTAGATGTTAGATGGGGGCATAAATTAGACTACTCTCTTAAGCATGTGTGATTTTGGTTTTATTTTGGTTTAGTTTTGCTTAGGGGGCATAGTGGAAGAGCATTTGCTTTGCACATCTAAGGCCCTGGGTTTGATCCCAAAAACTATAAAAAAAAAAATCTGGGGAATATTTTATTGTATCTAACCTGCATTATATGCCTGTGGGATATATGTTTGGTTTGTTGTCTGTTTTAAATTTAATTCTTCTCCTCCTTTTCCCCCACCCCCTCCCCATTCTCCTTCCCTTCAGTGTTGCCCAGAGATTACACATTTACCTGGCTGTGGTGATTGCATATTTGTAGCTTGGGTGCTCACTGTAGGTTGCACATCATGTTGTGGGGCTCACGGAGATTTGCTCTCCTGTACATGTACCACATGTACTCATTGAGAGTCAAACTTGTATTTAAGGTATACACGTTATTATTGTCATGCTCTCCCCAGGGATCACTGTGGTTGTCCTTGTCCATGTGTGTTTGCCAGTACTTCCTGGCCATGGTGTTTGTACATTAAATTAATTGCAGTACTTAACAGGGGTCACAATTTCTGTGGTACTTACAGACATGTGGCTGTAGTCACAGCCAGCAGAGGTATCAGCTCAAACAGCAGAGCTGCCAGGATTATACTTGGCATATCTGGGACTCCACAAAGATTTAAACTTGTGGCTCAGATGCTTGCAAGGCAAGTGATATAACTCACTGCATTATTTCTCTGGGTCCTGCATTTCTTTTTATAATTGAGAATTTCAACTATTTACAAAAGTGGACCTGGAACTGCTCTCAAGTATCTGTAACTTTTTCCTGTCTTGAAATAATATTTTATTTATTAATTTTTAATTTTTACATCCTTAAAATATTAAATAAAATAGTATTATTTTTAAATAATGCTATTTGATTACTGGAGCACATCATTCTCTGAACTGGAAACCATCTTTTTCTTTCATAAGATTGTCATGTTAAGACTTTTGTCTTCTCTGGAGAAGCCTGTGATCTCTCTTCAATGCATATCTCTCTGTCTTCCCTCCCTCTTTAAATTTCTTTCAGTAAAAGCTATTCTGCTTTAATAAAAATTTTTTAAAAATTCATAGTGAAGTGTACCTAGAATTATCTTGCCAAAAAAGAGTACATAGATAGTGTTCTTTTTTATTTTTTTAAATGATGTTCCCTCAGTAGCTTTTTCAAAAATGGGTGATACTGCCCTCTAGGGGACACTTGAATGGCTTGAGTGCAGTTGGAGAGTAGGGAGTGTTTTCTATTTGTTTAAATAAGATGGATTCCCACAGGGTACTAAACAGTTTTTTTTTTCTTGAAAAGGAGGCAGTGTTTGGGAACCTCTAATATTGATAAAAATATTTTTAAATAGCCTATACATATTCTTTTTCCTTTCTTGGACCCAGTTAGAATTCTGCCCGTCCCCCAACCCCCTTAAACTATCTTCCTTTAATTTTTGAAGCTGAGATACAATATTTTACATAAATAACCTATGAATCAGAGAGGTTAAAGTGCTTTGGGTATTGTCAAGTATATAATTTATCATGGAACTGAACTCCAATCTTAAGTCTAAGTTTTGTCCTCTTTTGCTAAGATGCATATATATATTTATTAATAATTTAATATTTCCCTATCTATCATGATTTTGGGGAGGGGTTGATTGTTGTAGGTCATACCCAGCAGTGATTGGGACTTAAGACCACTGTTAGTAATGCTCAGATGCTATCAGGTCTACTCCTTTTGGTGTTCAGAGCCTTCTATAGTACCAGAGATAGAACTCAGGGCCTACTGCATATGAAGCATGTACTATACAACTTTTAGCCATGTCCCAGCCCTCTGTCATTATTTATTGTATTTTTTAGGAAGCTTTGTGAATTTTTACTACATTAAGTACCAAAAAATGTAGTGTATACTTGGTATTTTAAATTGTAAAGTAAACATGATTTTATTAATGACGTTGTAACTGTTATAGCACCACAGAAATCTTTGGGCCATGAGGTAAATGAGCTGACATCAAGTAGATTATTGAAGTTAGAGATGGAAAACCAGAGTTTGACTAAAACTGTAGAAGAGCTTCGGAGTACTATGGATTCTACAGGAGGCAATACTTCCAAAATCCTGAAAATTGAAAAAGAAAATCAAAGACTAAATAAAAAGGTAAACAAAATTGTTCAATGTAAGATTTTTAAATATAGGTAAAGTGTTAAATAGTATGGGTGTAAATCATTTCTAGTCTGTAATGTACCCTTAATATTTAACTGATTTGGATACTTTTCACTATTTATAAATAAAAAATAAATGAATTTCTGTACTTTAACAATTCAGAAAGTCTTCGACCTTGTGCTGTCTCCCTACAACTACCAGATAATTTTGATGTAAATCCTATACATTGCATCATTTTACCATATATATCTTAGTATATCTGTCTGAAAATAAGAAACAGAGCTAGACATAATACAGTGAACACACAGCCAACCCGGGTTCCATCTCTAACAACACATATATTACCCTGATCACTGTCAGAAGTGACCCCTGAATGCAAAGCCAGGAGTATGCCCTGATCACAGTGGGTATTTCCCCCCAAAAAACAGAAACAACAACAACAACAAAAGAAACAATTTAAAGCAGTGGTAAATTTGTAACACGTAAAAATCAATAATTTGGGCCAGGATTCTAATTTCTCCAGTTCTTATGATTTTTAATATCTTATTTGAATCTGAATCCAAATATATTAATACATTTGTTCAACTTATATATCCCTAAATAGTTTTTACTCTATAGGTTTACTCTTGTCCTAACAATGTTTATCTATTGGACAATTTCCACACTCTTTTTTACCCAGTAGTGCTTAGGGTCCAGAGCCACTGTAGGTAGTATTTTGGGGGATGGGGGAGCCATCTGTTACTAAGGATTGAACCCATGGCTTCACACATGCAAGACTTGTGCTCTGCCACTTTGAGTCATATTCCAAATCATTTTGCTTATTGTGTTCTTTTATGTTTAGAACATATTCTTGCATTCTTTTGCCTCCTGTATTTTCTGTTTTATGTGTAGGTTTAATCAGGTTCAAGTAGTTTTTAGCAAGATTTTAGAATATATTTTAATATTGAGGCACATATCTGGTTGTCTCTTTGTGGTGGTGTTTTCACTGAAGATAATCTGCTTGAATCTCTTAGTGATCGCAAATCCTGGTAGATTTACTAATATCCTTTATTAATTAATAGGTGGAGTAATTCTGTAAATAATCTAGATAAAACTTTTCTAAAAAAGTATTAGGGAGACCAGAGAGTTTGGTGGGTAAGGAGCTTGCCTTGCATGCAGTAGATCCAGTTTTGATCACTATTTATGGTCCTCCAAGCACTGTCAGGAGTGATCCTGAGTGCAAAGCCAGAAGTAACCCCTGAGCACAGTCAGTGGGCTACAAAAGTGTGGCTACAAAACTAGACAAAAGAAACCGTAGAAAGTATTGAGGCCTGGGCCAAAGACAGGAGGTTAAGGCACTTGCCTTGTATGCAGCAGTGATAACTGCCACCTGGTTCAAATTCCCAGTACCATGTATGGTCCCTGAGCATTGTTAGGGGTCACTCTTGAGCACTTCCAGGTTATTGCCCTCCATCTCCCCATACCCAAAGTATTAAGGTTGGAGTGAAGATCTAGTTTGTGGTAGAACACTAGCCTTGCATGTTTGAGGCCCTAGCTTTGATCCCTGACATTAAAAAATATACATAAAATCAGTAGTGTTGGGACCACAGAGATAATCCAAAGGGGTGGAGTTGGCCTGCACATTCTTCAAGGCTTCAAGTTTAGTCTCCTCCTTTGCATGGCCACCCAAGCATGGTGTAGCACTGATTGACCCCAAGCTCTGCTGGGGAGACTCTTTCCCCCAAAAAATCTATTTGCCTGCTCAATGCATTCAAAGGATTATATACACATGATGGGAAAGTGGGATTTATTCCAGAATGCAGGAATAGTGCAACATGAGCAACCAATGTAAAATACCATGTCAACAAAAGGAAAGATAATATCCATAAGATTACGTCAGAAGATTCAGAAAGCTTTTGGCAAGAGTGAGCATCCACTGATGATAAATAACAACTTCAATAAAATGGAGATAGGAATATATTTTAAAATGGCAAAGATCATATCTGGCAAACCCAAAGCTAACATATGGTGGAAAATGGTAAGCTTTCCCTCTGACACAAAACAAGGTTTTGTACCCTCTACACAATAATTCAACATTGTCACTGTCACTGTCACTATTCTCCCATTGTTCATTGATTTGCTTAAGCGGGCGTAACATTTCCATCGTGAGACTTGTTACTGTGTTTGGCATATCGAATACGTCACAGATAGTTTGCCAGGCTCTGCGTGCAGGCGAGATACTCTTGGTAGCTTGCCGGGCTCTCTGAGAGGGGCGGAGAAATCTAACTCGGGTCGGCAGTGTTGCCCGCATGCAAGGCGATTTTTTTTATAAAAAGTTTTTAATTTTTTATTTATTTTTAAAAAAATTTTTTTGCAGATGACATGATATTGTGCATAGAATACTAGAGATTCCACTAAAATCATTATAAATAATAATCAAAGCAATAAAGTAGCATGCTAGAAAATCAATATACAAGACGCTTGTTGCATACTAAATGGTGGACAATTAAAAGCCTTTCCTCTAATATCAGGCACAAGATAAGGATGCCACTTTCATCACTATTATTCTATATAATATTGAAGTCCTATCACGACAATTAAGCAATTAAAAGATACTGAGGGGTAGGGCTAGAGAAATAATACAGTGGATGTCACTTCTATTCCTAGGCTCCTCAGTCTCCTGAGCACAGCTAGGAGTCACCCTTGAGTACCATTGATATCCCCCCCCCCACACACACACACACAAAAAGAAAAAAATACTGAAAAGATTATAAATTAAGACTAGCACTATTTTCAGATGACATTGTACTATACATAGAAAAACCCTAACATCTTCACTAGAAGGTGTTAGGGTTTAGAAACGATAAAGCTATACAGTATACAAAATTCTATTTTTACATGTAAACAGTAACATACAAGAGAAAGAAAAAAATTAATATTTAAATTGTGTAAAAAAAATCAAATACCTAAGAAGGTGGTGAAATAAATATATATTAATACTGGAATACACCATTAAAAGAAATAAATGGCACATGGAAAAATACTCCATGTTCAAGGATTGAGAGAATTAACATTGTTAATATGACCATATTATTCATAACATTATATAAATCCAGTGCAGCCGCCATCAAAATGCATTGGCATTCTTCAAGGGCAAAAAACAAATTCCACTAAAATTTTAAAAATCCTTGAATAGCCAGAGCCATTCTGGTAGATGGATATTTGTACTTAGATAATAGGTGTATTGTAAAGTTTTGAAAAGGTATGAAGTTGTATGCCTGCAATACAGTCTTGTAAACTAATGTTAACTCAATAAAAATCTTGTGTATTAGGGGTCAGAGAGATAGTACAGTGATCAGGACTTCTGCCTTACAAGTAGTCAACCCAGGTTCAATCCTCCGCATCCCACATTGTTCCCCCTGAGCACTATTAGGAGTGATCCCTGAGCACAGAGCAAGGAGCAATCCCTGAACACCATTGGGTATGGCCTGAATAAAAACAAAACTTGAAGAAAAATTTTCTTTTAAAATTCGACTTTCAGGGCCAAAGAGATATAAACAGTGGGTAGGGTGTTTGCATTGCATGTGACCTACCTGGGTTCCATCCCCAGCATCCCATATGGTCCCTCGAACAACGCCAGGAGTAATTCCTGAGTGCAGAGCCAGGAGTAACATGAAAAATGCTGGGTGTGACCACCCTTCAAAAAATAAAATAAATAAAATAAAATTAGACTTTTTCAAAGCCTATGCTTGATACTTGAGAAAGTATATACTAGAAGAAAATTGTTTAACTTGTATCTTTCATTGACATAAAGATTAAAAAAAAAAGTAAAGCTATTAAAATTCTTAGCACTTCACTATTGGTAGTCCTTTCTAAAAATAAACTCTTAGTTTTGGTGTTTTTTTGTTTGTTTGTTTTTTGGGTTTTTTTGGGCCACACACAGCAGTACTCAGGGTTTATAACTGTCTCAGTGCTCAGTGATTATTGCTGGTGGGGCATGGGAGACTATATGTGGTGCCAGGGATCAAACCCACATCAGATGCATGCAAGGAAAGCAACTTATGGACTGTACTGTCTCTCTGGTCTTGATACAAGCATTCATAGAGTACTTAAACTTGAAGTTAAATATATATATTTTTAAATCTTTAAGAAATATCTTAATGTCTTAGAAATGTATTACTGTATTATACAAAATCTGATTATTGTATAAAGTAAACAATTTCCTGTTGACTGGGAAAATTAGTAATTTGGAACATTTTGAATTTGCTATTTTATACTTCATTATCCCTACTCATCTCTTTGGGCTGGAGTGATAGTATAGCAGTAGGGCGTTTGCCTCGCACATGCGGCCAGCCCGACCCACCCAGATTTGATTCCTCTGCCCCTCTCAGAGAGCCCAGCAAGCTCCCGAGAGTATCTCGCCCGCACGGCAGAGCCTGGCTAGCTCCCCGTGATGTATTCGATATGCCAAACACAGTAACAACAAGTCTCACAATGGAGACATTATTGGTTCCCTCGAGCAAATCAATGAACAGGACAGTGCTACAGTGCAGTGCAGTTATCTCTTTAAAATGTTATCTCTTTAGTTAATACTGTCCAGATGTTTTCTTAGTGTGAATTTTTAAATGTGTAAAAGGGATTCTGGTCAAAGGACAAGAACATGTTTGATATTTTTGATATTAAATTAAGTGATAGAAGAAATGCATCTGCCATAGAGACAGGCAGGGATGGGGGGGTAGGGGATGCTGGGAGGGAACCTGGGGACACTGGTGCTGGGAAATGTACACTGGTGGAGAGATGTGTGTTGGAATACTGTATGACTGAAAATCAGACATGAACGGCTTTGTAAGGGTTTATCTCACAGTGATTCAATTAAAAAGTTAAAAAATATAAATAAATTTAAAACTAGTAGTTAATATTTGCTACATGGGTAGAGGCTTCTGAGCCAACAGTGTTCAAAGGTCTCTCCTGATGGTGTTTGGGTGTGGGGAAGCATGTGGTGGCTGGAAATCTAACTTTGGGTTCCTGCTTATGAAACGTGCACTTTAGCCCCGTTACCTGTTTCTCCAGCCAACTTGCCACAAGTTTTACTCAGTCCTTTTCCCTCTCATTTTTTTCACTTCCTCTTTTTTTATTTTAAACCAACTTGTTTCCCGTTTCCTCACTAAACTTTATCGCCGTTTTTTATCTTTCTTTATGTTTTTCCTCTATTCTTCTTCCTTGTTTATTTAAATTCTTGATTATAATTAAAATTTTACTTTACGAATACTCTCAAGCCAAGATATCTCTTAAAAGAAAATTTGTACTATCTTCACAGAACATAATTATCATAGATTTTGTTGAATTTGTGTTTGTGCTTAGAAGTAGAAATTTGCCACAAAAAGATGCGGAGAGGCCAAGAAAGATAATTAAGTTTGTGTGTTTTATACAGCTTTTAAATTAGCATAAATTATTACTTGAACTTCAGTACTGTTTTCTAGAATTTCACCATTTAGGTATTATAACTTTAATCCTTTGATTTAATATCTTTATTTTGACATATTTCCACTATTATAAAATATTTGGTGATATATTGTTTTGTGATTTAATTTTATCTAGGTTGAAATTCTTGAAAATGAAATTATTCAAGAAAAGCAAAGTCTTCAGAATTGTCAGAACTTAAGCAAGGATCTAATGAAGGAGAAAGCTCAGCTTGAAAAAACAATCGAAACTCTTAGAGAAAATTCAGAGAGACAGGTTCATTAATTTTTTTACTATGAAATGCAATGTATTTTATAAAATATCATTACTGATTTTTTAATTTATGCAAAAAAGTTTATATGACACTAAAGGAGAAATATTTTAGAAGTATTTAGATTTTTATCATTTTTAGAGCAACCGCAGCATGTGGTATTGGTGGGGAGGGGCTTATTGTGCTGGAGATTGAACCCAGAAGCTTGTATATGGTCTTCCACCTGAGCTACATCTAGAACTTTTAGATTTTAAAGTCACTGCTTTTCTTTTTTTTTTCTTTTTTTCTATTTTTTTTCTTTTTGGGTCACAACTGGTGATGCACAGGGATTACTCCTGGCTTTGCACTCAGGAATTACTCCTGGCAGTGCTTGGGGGACCATGTAGGATGCTGGGAATCGAACCTGTGTTGGCCACATGCAAGGCAAACGCTCTGCTCACTGTACTGTAGCCCCAGCCCCTAAAGTCACTGTTTTTAATCTCATTTTCTGCCCATGTGTTTTTGGAAAAGATGAGGTAAAACTAAATTATTTTTTAATTTAATTTTATAATTTTATTTATTTTATTTTTTACTTTTTGGATCATACGCAGTAATGCTCAGGGGTTCCTCCTGGTTCGGCACTGAAGAATTACTCTTGGCAGTGCCAAAGGAACCATATGGAGTGCTGGGGATTGAACCTGGGTTGGCCACGTGCAAGACAAAGGTCCTATGCACTGTCCTGTGCTCCAGCCCTGAAACTAAGAATTTTTTTAATTGCTAATATATACAATAATTATCTAGTATAATTGCTAGTAAAAATAATTGTGGTGCCTACATTTTCAAGTATCTTTAAAAATGGACTACAGTTTCTAAAGCTACTATGGAGAGTTAAGAAGAGATACAACAATCCTGGCCCAATTTAAATGACTGAATTTTGGTGTATATACTGTTAGATTTGTTTTTAAGTGTTTATTGATCGTTCATTTTATACTTAAAGAATCCGAGGACTGGATAGATTTATGTGCTATTTTAAAATTTCTTGTTTTTTCAGATGTAAAATTACTAGCTTATGTGTATTTTTCATTCTTAAGCAACCTATAAAAAGCAGATTTCTATGGAGTTAACAGAACAAAAGTTCTGGAGCTAAGATTGAATCTTAGTCCTTTCACAAGGTTCTAGGGAGATTGTTTTAAACACATTAAATTTTGAGTAACACTGTGTTAGGTTGTATACCAGGGAATTTTGTTATTTGATTTTTCCAAATTCTTTCTGAGAAGAAATACACATCCATATATGTTCACAAAAATAAAGCAGATATTTAGTAAAAACCTGTGTGTGTGTATATATATATATATATGCATTGCAAAATTTAATAAATGAAAGGAGCAGCTTATATCCTCAAGAAGATATGTATGTGTACTTTATCTATTTTCATATAGATATGTTAGAAATATCTAACATACAGAATCTGAAAATTTTTATTAAGTACATATCAGTTAATTATTACTTTATATTATGAACTCCTTTAAGACATGAACTTTGTTACCTGATTCGATATCTACAAAGTGATCTTACTGTGGATGAATGGATGTTGGAATACTCCGTGATTGAAAGCCAATCATGAGCAGTTTTTTAAGGGTCTATCTCACATTGATTCAATAAAAAAGTTTTTTCTTTTTTTAAAAAAGTAAGGTACACTCTGAGTTCTTTTGCTTTTTTAGCATTGCTGGGGTTGAACCCAGGCCGTCACACATGTAAGACATTTACTCTACACTTAGCTAAATTCTAAGTTCCTATTAGTTTTAGAAAAATAAATCCTATAATTATATATTTAGTTTTCTTGACTAAATAAAAATTTTAATTTTATTCTTTATATTAGATTAAAATATTGGAACAGGAAAATGAGCATCTGAATCAAACTGTGTCTTCTTTGAGGCAGCGCTCCCAGATAAGTGCTGAAGCAAGGGTGAAGGACATTGAAAAAGAAAATAAAATTCTCCACGAATCTATCAAAGAAACAAGCAGCAAGCTAAGCAAAATTGAATTTGAAAAAAGACAAATTAGAAAAGAATTAGAACATTATAAAGAGAAAGGAGAACGAGCAGAAGAACTTGAAAATGAATTGCATCATCTTGAAAAGGAAAATGAATTGTTACAGAAAAAGATAACCAATTTAAAAATTACTTGTGAAAAAGTTGAGTCCTTAGAACAAGAAAATTCAGAGCTAGAAAGAGAAAATAGGAAATTGAAAAAAACTTTGGATGGTTTTAAAAACCTTACTTTTCAGCTAGAATCTCTCGAAAAAGAGAATTCCCAGCTAGATGAGGAAAACTTAGAACTGCGAAGGAATGTGGAATCTTTGAAATGTGCAAGCATGAAAATGGCTCAGCTACAACTAGAAAACAAAGAGTTGGAAAGTGAAAAAGAGCAACTGAAAAAGGGTTTAGAACTCATGAAAGCATCTTTCAAGAAAACAGAACGTTTAGAAGTTAGTTACCAGGGTTTAGATACAGAGAACCAAAGATTACAGAAAGCGCTAGAAAATAGCAATAAAAAAATTCAACAATTAGAGAGTGAGCTACAAGACTTAGAGATGGAAAATCAAACATTGCAGAAAAATTTAGAAGAGTTAAAAATATCTAGCAAAAGATTAGAACAGCTGGAGAAAGAGAATAAATCATTAGAGCAAGAGACTTCTCAACTGGAAAAAGATAAAAAGCAACTGGAGAAGGAAAACAAGAGACTCCGACAACAAGCAGAAATAAAAGATACCACATTAGAAGAAAATAATGTGAAAATTGGAAATTTGGAAAAAGAAAACAAAACCTTAATCAAGGAGATTTGTATTTATAAAGAATCCTGCATCCGTCTGAAAGAGTTGGAGAAAGAAAATAAGGAGCTTGTAAAGAGAGCAACTATTGATGTAAAAACTTTGGTCACATTACGTGAGGTAAATTTACAGTTACAACCTATACGACTTAACTAGAACTCTTGAGAAAAATTAGAAATTTATAGGTGTAGGTGAACGATCAGTCCTCCGAAACATGGTTATGAGGTCAGAAAGTAGCATGTTTAGTTCATTTTTTGCTAGCACTGAACAATACATGATGTATTTTGATAAGTTTTATTTAAAAACACCTTAGCATTCTGGAAAAAGCTACTTTAGAAGTCTGCATTTTACCTGAAGAGTCTTTGAAAGGAGTGCTATTATTAGCCTCTCATTTTTTATTTTTCTGTTCTAGTCTTACAGACATAAACAACAGCTTCCTTTTTCCTGACCCCTTGTTCTTCAGATCAGTATTTTAAAGTGTCTTTCACTGGGAAAGGGCACATGAAGTAAAAGGATATTATGTATGGCATTTATTTATAGAAATGTGCACAGAATTTTAGAATAATGTCAACAGTTATTTCTCCCCCCATGGTTTTCAAAGTTTTTGACTCAGAAATTTTTATTTTTAAGACTAATATAAACAAGATATATTAGCAAAAAGTAAACACTTCTGTATAGTTTTTTTTAAGTTGAATTGTTTAACTTATTAAGGAAAAGTTCAAAAATAGTGTTTTTGTCTTTCCTGGTTTGAATTATTTCTGTTTTTAGAAGATGGTTGTTAGAATCTTGATGAGTTTTATAAATGTTTATGTTTATGTTTACTTACATGAGTTTGGGATTTCTTTAAGGACTTGGTGAATGAAAAATTGAAGACACAACAAATGAATAATGATCTAGAAAAATTAACTCATGAACTTGAAAAGATAGGATTAGATAAAGAACGACTCTTACAAGACGAGCAAAATACTGATGACAGGTGACTATTAAGTTATTTGACAAAAGTTGAAATTATTTTTATTTGAATAGTGTGCCTTTATGAGTTGTTAATTCTTTTATTTTTTATACCAAAGATGTGAGACCATAAGGCTAAAGAAATTGGATAGGGCAGAGTATTAAGTAAGGAAGATAGCAAGTCAAGTAAGAAAAATGTGTGGATTTACAGAACAATGAAGCAAGGTGTGAAGTTAGGAGCCTAAGTTAGGATGTCTTTGTAAGTGTAGAATGAGTCATAGAGTGGTGAAGAAATTAGAAGCCAGTTCTGGGTTGGGGGTTATCTGTAGGAGGAGAATATCTCCCCAGTGTCGAAAAGCCTGCTTCCTGCCAGCTGCTGGGCTTAAGTCCTTGCTTCTCAGCTCAGTCCCCTCTCTACTTGCTGAAGCACAGTGGGAAACAAGAAAATATACGAAGAATTGGCAGGGTGGACAATAATGTGTAAAACTAAGTTTCAGAGTAAATACACTTATACACACTTTAAAAGCTTATACACACTTTTGTTTTGGAAATGATCTGTTTAAAGAATAGTCATTCTTCCATTGTAATTACATTATCGAAAAGTTAATAAGACTTTTAAATAATCTATTCTTTAGCATATAATAAGCCATAATGATTCCAGTTAGAACAGGAATATTGTTAAGAATTTTGTTTCATGTAGGCTAGATTTTTACTCAGTGAAATACATAATGTTTTATCACATACTATTACTGTTAAAAAAAAGTTTCTATACTGAATATATATATTTAAAAAGTAATGCTGAAAAGGAAAAAGTAATGATAATTCTACGGCTTTTTATAATTTTGCATATTCTTAAAATAGTAAATTGAATTTTAGGAACCTTTTAAAGATACTGTCAAAAGTAATTTTGAGGTATTTATTCTACTAATAAATTCAAGCAAACCATACTGAATTAATTACCTAGATATTTTATGAAAATTTTTTAATTAGCTGGTTAAGTGCTAAATTATTTAACTAACTTTTAATAGATACTGTATATGTATCACTTCTTTATTTAACCAGATTTATTACTTATCAAGTGTAAGACATGAAAAAGAGGAGGAGGGGTGAGGATTTCATCTGCTCACTGCTCCAGAGTACATGTTTTGCATGCCAACTGGGCACTGTTTGGAAGCCCCCGCCCCGCAAAAAAAAGTCACTGTCACTGTCACTGTCCTCCCATTGTTCATTGATTTGCTCGAGCGGGCCCAGTAACGTCTCCATTGTGAGACTTGTTGTTACTGTATTTGGCATATAGAATATGTCACGGGTAGCTTGCCAGGCTTTGCTGTGTGGGCGAGATACTCTCGGTAGCTTGCCGGGTTCTCTGAGAGGAGCAGAGGAATCGAACTCAGGACGGCCACATGCAAGGCAAACGCCCTACTGCCGTGCTATCGCTCACAAAAAAAGTAGAGGGGAAAAATATAGTAAATCATGTAGTTGCCAGGCTGGAGGGATAGCACAGCGGGTAGGACGTTTGCCTTACACGCTGTCGACTGGACTGACTTGGGTTCGATTCCTCCACCCCTCTCAGAAAGCCTGGCAGGCTACCCGTGATGTATTCAATATGCCAAACACAGTAACAACAAGTCTCATGATGGAGACGTTACTGGGCCCGCTTGAGCAAATCGATGAACAACAGGAGGACAGTGACCATGAATTTGGAGGCACAGAGATCAGTTAGGAAACTACTGTAATGGTGTGGGCAAGATAAATAAAGGGTATTTTTTAAACTAAAACTTTTAGAAAATAAATTGAGAACAGTTAAATCTAGCCATTAGGAAAAGAAGGGTCTCAAGCCACTAAACTAACTTGTTCCTGGGCTACTCCTCCTCCTCCTATCTGCTCACTCTTCATCTTTGTCCAGCCTATTCTTCGTCTTCCTTTGCATCTCACTGCTGCTAATGCTGTTACTGGTTCTTCTTCTCTCTATTGCTGCTATTGCTGATGTTTATCTTCTCCCCTCCCCCACTTCCTCCTCCTTTCTGTTGATTCTGATTTTTATTCTCAAAAAATGAGAAATATCTAGTCTGGAACTTATTTGTATTATATATTATAACTGTTTTCACTTTATATATACAACTGCTTAATAGTGTAACAAATCCAGCCACTTCCTCTCTTCATAGTTTAATGAATTTTTGAGACAGTTCTCTTTATGAAGCATCAATTTTTGCTTTTGACAATAAAGGTTTTAATTTGGGACCCAGTTTGATCGATGGTTTTATGTTGTTTAGTGAATGGGGATAGTTTAAAAGCTTAGTATTTTAAATTTGAGCAGAAAAATTTGTCTCTTAAGAAGTAAGTATTACATATATGACATTCTCTTAAAAATAATTTTCTTATGTTCAGAAATCAATTATAATTTTACTTAAATAATAGATACAAACTTTTGGAATCAAAATTAGAATCCACTCTAAAGAAATCCCTTGAAATAAAAGAAGAAAAAATTGCTGCCTTAGAAGCTCGATTAGAAGAATCCACAAATTATAACCAACAATTACGCCAGGAACTTAAAACGGTAAGTATGATAATCAAATATTTTCTCCCATTCCATAGGTCATCTTTTTGTTTTACTAAAGATGTTCTTTGCTTTGCAGGAGTTTTTTTAGTTTGATGTAAACCCAACCAACTGATTTTCTTAATTTGTTGTTTGCAGTTCCTTCTATCAAACTCAGGTCTCATGCATGCAAGTCATGCATTTAACTATCAAAACTCATTTCTGCTCCAATTGTTTGTTTTTAATTCCCTTACTGTTGGTGCTGAATTCTTAAAAACATCACTGAAGTCTTGCTATGAATATTTATGATATCTGGTCCATATCTAACTTTCAATCCATTTAACTAAATTTTTGTAGATACTGTAACATAGTTTCAGTCTTTCGCAAGTTGACGCCAAGGTTTCTTTTTTTTATTAACTAAGTTTTGTTCAAATGTTTTAAATTGAATTACTGTGAGGTACAGTTACAAAATTGTCCATGATTGGGTTTCATTATACAATTTTCCAACACCCGTCCCTTCACCAGTATACTGAGTTTTCTTATACTAATTGTTGAGTAGTTTTCTTTCCCTCCTTTATGTATTTGATCCTTTGTCATGTATGTGCCCAGGTATGTTTGGATTTATTTATGCACTCTCAGCTTTAGTGCACTGATTGATATTTCTACTTTTATTTCAAATACCAGATTTTTTTTTACTATAACTTTGTAATCTGGGAACATGGAACCTCTCATGTTTAATTATGTTATTAAAACGTCGGTAGGAATTGTATCAAATATGTACATTGTTTGGGTAGTACATTTTTTGGCGGGGAGATTCCTCCAAAGCAACGCTTGGAGACATGGAATAACTCCAGGCTACCTTCTGCCTAACATAAGAGATGGTTCAATGCTCAGACCCAGTGGAAGGGGCTGCTCTGACTGGTGATGCAGGGGGACCCAGGGGGCCATATGGTACCAGAGTTCATGTACTAGGTACGAAACTCAGGTACATACACTAGGAATACAGTGCAAACTGCTGAGCTATCTCTATGGCCCTTGGTTGTCTCAGTGATGTTAATTGTTACAGTTAACAATAATTAATTAAAGATGTGGACTATCTTTTTATCTATATGTGTGTTATGTTTTATTTCTCTCAATGTCTTAACAGTTTTTATTGTACAGATGCTAAATTTTACTTCTTGCTAAATTTATTCTTAGGTACTTAGGGTTTTTTTGAAGCCATTGTAAATGGCATAGTTTTCTTGATTTTTACCTACTACCTCAATATTTGTATAAAATAATGTAACATATTTCTGTATATTAGTTTTATAGTCTACCTTTTTACTATATATAGTCAATTGCATCTATTTTTGGTGGGGATTTTAGGATTTTCTATGTATATTATAAATATCTATAAGTAGGATAGTTTATTTTCTAGTTTTAATTCCATTCATTTATATTTCTTGCTTGATCTGTTTAGGATTTCCAGTACTGTGCTAAGTAATAGTGACGATTGTAGGCAACATTTTCTTATGCCTAATCTCAGAGGATAAACTTTCAGTTGTTATTGAATATACTCTAATTTTGCGGGTTGTCATAATGAACCTTATTATGTTTAAAAGTGTTTCCTCAGTCTCAGTTTTATAAAGCACTTTTAATCACAAATACATGTTCAATCTTTTCAAATGCTGTCTTTTCATCTAATGATGCAATTGTGGTTTATAAAATTCTTTTTGTTGGATTTGTTTGTTGCTTTATTTGCTTGTATTAAACCACTCTTCGATTTCTGGAATAAGACACATAATTTTGTGCTAGGTTATGTTATATATGATTCATTTATTGTATCATTGAATTCCATTTAATAAGAATTTGGGGCTGGAGAGATAATGCAGTGGGTGTGGTGTTTGCCTTGCACGTGGCCAACCCGGGTTCAATCCCCAGCATCTCATATGGTTCCCCATGTATGGCCGGGAGAAATTCCTGAGTGCAGAGCCAGGAGTAAACCCCTGAACATCACTGGGTGTAAATCAAAAAGCAAAAAAAAGAATTTATTGAGAAATTTTATATCTGTATTTGTCACAGCTATATTGGGTCTTAAGTTTAATTTTTTGACATGTGTCCTTTGCATGGGCTGGAGCGATAGCAGGGTGTTTGCCTTGCATGCAGCTGACCTGGGTGACCCGGGTTCGATTCCTCTGCCCTTCTCAGAGAGCCCTGCAAGTACCAAGAGTATCTCTTCGCATGGTGAAGCCTGGCAAACTACCTGTGACATATTTGATATGCCAAACACAGTAACAAGAAGTCTCACAATGGAGACGTTTCTGGGCCCGCTCGAGCAAATCAATGAACAATGGGAGGACAGTGACAGTGACAGTCCTTTGCATGCTTTTGGTATCAGGGTAATTTTGACTTCATAGGATGTATTTGAAAATACATACCCTTTTGTTTAGTTTTTCTTAAAAACTTAAAAGTAGGTATTAGGTCATTTAAAAAGTTTTGTTGATTCTGGGCCCCATACTGAGGCTTTATCACTAGGAGGTCCCAGATGGGGCAGGTGCAGTCTCCCTGCCTTCTCCAGATGGAATCCCAGTGACCATGAGCTTCTACAAGCATGGCTCTGGTATGTGGGCACCAGGACTATTCTTCCGAACCGCATGGCCATGTAAGGAAAGCCTGATATGCAAAGTGAGGAATGGAAAGTAAATGATCTAGCTTCTGTCCCAAGCAGGCAGGCTGGAATGGTGGTGGGAAAATTCAAGCAAAATATAATGCCCAACAGAAATGCATCTGGACTGTGCATTAAACTATGGTTCCATGCCACCCCGGGAGAAAAAGGGTGTTTGTCCCTTCCGCCTTTCACCCCTGGCAGCAGTAGCATGGTTGCCACCATCTTTCAGAGCCTAACGGACAGCCAGGTATGAGCCTGCAATGACTAGGCATGCAGGACCTCATGGGATGGGGGGGGGGGGGGTGGATCTGGTCCTTCTTCCCGCCCTGATGATGCCCCTAGTTGCCGCCCATGAATGCCTCCTCCGACTCCTGAACAGCCATGATCCCAGAGGTACACAAACCAATCTTGGATACCAACAGCTTTTGGCAGAAATGCATCTGAACTGTGCATTAAACTACAGCACCGTGCCACCCCGGGAGGGGAAGGGTGTTTGTTCCCACTGCCTTTTTCCCCTGGCGGCCTCGGCATGGTGGCCACCATCTTTCAGAGCTTAATGGACAGCCGGGTATGAGACTGCAGTGATGAGGCACACGGGACCTCATAGGATGGGAGGGTGAAACCGGCCCTGCTCCCTGCCCTGACAGGGCCCTGAGTTGCCGCCCACGAATGTCTCCTCCAGCTCCTGAATGACCATGATCCCAGAGGCACACAAACCAATCTCAGAACCCAGGGGCTTTTGGCAGTAATCCCTCCAGACTTATTACTAAAATATCAGAAATCCAAAATTGCGTGGCCACGATAGTGGCTGCACTGACATCATATGCACTTCATAATCAGCAATAGAAAACAAATTATCTAATGATGTCTTTTTGGCAGGTCTGATTGTTGGGGAAAATTCCAAATAATAATGGTGGATCTTTTGTCATAATATTGAACGTGATCAACGTAGAGAAAGAGAGTAAAGTGGAAATCTGCCACACAGGCAAGGGAAGGGGTGGGAGGGAGGTATACTGGGGTTCTTGGTGGTGGAAAATGTGCTCTGGTGAAGGAATGGATGTTTGGTCATTGTATGATTGACCGAGACTTAAACTAAAAGGCTTTGTGGCTGATCTTATGGTGATTCAATAAATTAAAAAAAAGTTTTGTTGAACTCAGTAGTGAAACTATCTGGTACTGAGCTAATTTGGGGGGAACTGTTTTACTGCTGTATTAATTTCCTTGCTTGGTGATTGTTCTTTAAGGTTTTTCATTTCCTCCTAGTTCAGTCTTGGAATCTAAGTGCAAATCTAAGAATTTGTCCATTTCTTCTAAATTTATGAACAGCGGGAGAACAGTGCTACAGTGCAACAGATATTCATTGTATATTTGAACCTTTTGATTTACATAATATATGTTGTAACCTTATCTTTTATTTTCATTATATACATTAGAATTTTCTCCCAGTAAAATATTTTAAATAAAATTTTAGGTGAAAAAGAATTATGAAGCTCTGAAACAGAGACAAGATGAGGAAAGAACAGTGCAGAGCTCTCCTCCAACATCTGGTGAAGATAACAAATGGGAGCGAGAAAGTCAGGAAACAACTAGAGAACTTTTGAAAGTTAAAGACAGATTAATTGAAGTAGAAAGAAATGTAAGTATTTAAAAAAAAATTTTAATCAGCATCCCGAATTAGCAGTGGTTTCTTGAGGGAAATTTGGGAGTGCCCTGCCAAGTCTCTGATCCCCATCCCAGACTTCACCCTCATTCCACATACCACAATAAATATTGCTTTTTTTTGGGTGGGTGGTGTTGGGAGTCATAACCAGCTCTGTTCAGGGCTTGTGCTTAGGGGGCACACAAAATACTATATGCAGTGCCAGTGATCGAACCCAAGTAAGCCTCATGCAACTCAAGTGCTTTCCCTACTGTACTGTACTATCTCTCTGGCCTCTAGAGTATCTTGTGACTAGTCTTTCCTTTTCCTTTCCTGGTACTATCTAATCTTTTCTCAATTTAGTGTTCATTATATTTTTTATCACTTTGTCTTAAAATGGACTGGAGCGATAGCACAGTGGTAGGACATTTGCCTTGCGTGCAGCCGGCCCTGCCGAGCTGGTTTCAATTCTTCCGCCCCTCTCCAAGAGCCTGGCAAGCTACCCATGATGTATTCAATATGCCAAACACAGTAACAACAAGTATCACGATGGAGACGTTACTGGGCCCGCTTGAACAAATCAATGAACAATGGGAGGACCATGACCGTGTCTTAAAATTACATTTTAAGACATTATCCAGAGCATGTCACTTACCTTTATAAAAATCTTCAGTTGCTTCTTATTTCAATTGTAATAAAAGAAATCGTTTACTAGCAAATATTAATGACACCATTATCTGTTAAACATAATATCCTTAATATCCCATAATATCCTTCCTGATGACACTGTCTTTCTAGGATCTCTGACCTTATATAATATTTTGCCATTCAACCATCCAATGTATATTAATTTGGGGATAGTATCTGTTAATGTCTGGAAAATACTAAACACCAGCAAATAATGAGTAAATTAAAGTCACAGTGGCTTTTTTCTATTTCCCTTGTTACCTGAACAAATCACTGACTTTCTTCAGCATTCAGGTTTGCTATCTCGAGTCTGTTGCATTAAGCTGTCTGTAATCTAAGCCTTCATCATCACAGTCTTGCTTTATTCAATTTCTTCATAATATTTTTAAATTTTTACTAAATAAAATACTGAAAAATAAAACAACTTAAAATCAGGAAGTGCTTGTCTCATTCATTGTGCCTTTATAAAGAGAACTTGTCTGATAGATAGCAGACACTTGATAATATGGCCGAGTGAATTTAATAACTATTTCCCAGTAGGACCAGAGAGTACAGCTGGCAGGGCACTTGACTTGCATGCAGCCAACCCAGGTTCTAATCCTTGGCACTGCATATAGTTTTCTGAGCCCCATCAGGAGTAAGCCCTGAGTATTGCCAGGTGTAGCTCAAGCTCCCCACCCCATATTTCTTATAGTAAAAAGAAATAGAAGGAATTCAGCAAACACGTATCTAAAGATGGATGAGCTTAAGGCACTTTCTTGTTCAAAAGTAAAATGAGTGTTTAGTATTTTTTTTATACATGTAATAGGGGCCACAACGAGATGTGCTGGAACTCTGTTCTTATTCCTATCAGAAAACTGATTCATCTGTGTATATTTGTAATATTTATCTTTTTGATTTTACTATACAGTTTCGTATGTACATTTAAAAATTATTTTAGACACTATTTTAGGTGATAAACATCTCTCATTTTGTTTAATATATAATCTATATTGTAGATATTATCATACTTAAGTAAACTAAATATCAGGTGACATTTAGGTTATTTTCAGATTTGGACATAATGGAAATCCATAAATAAGCTAACAGGTGGTAAATTTCTGATATGGAATTTCTAGATCATAGTATAATAAACAGTTTTGTGTATATTTTATTTTAATTGATATGTTTAGGTTTACAAAATCATACCAATTTTTAGTCATATTGAATAGATCGTGGTAGATTAGATAATCTATTTTTTTGCAGATCATCACTAGGTTTTGCCAACAATTAAATTTTAATTAAAATTATAGAGGAAAATTGTTTAATTTTCATGTTTAAAGTTATTAGGAGACTGTAAGGACAATCTATCTGTGACATCTGTCACCTTCATGATAGCCAGGATTAATTGAGCTGATATTTCTACTAGGATGGTGTTCCTTCCTTTTTCACTACTTCACTGTCCATTGTCCTCCCATTGTTCATCAATTTTGCTCGAGCGGGCCCAATAAGATCTCCATTTTGAGACTTGTTGTTACTGTGTTTGGTATATTGAATATGTCATGGGTAGCTTGCCAGGCTTTGATGTGTGGGCGAGATAATCTCAGTAGCTTGCCGGGCTCTCCAAGGGGGGGCGGAGGAATCGAACCCGGCTCCGCCGGGCTGGCTGCGTGCAAGGCAAATGCCCTACTGCTGTGCTATCACTTACTACTTCAGGTATTTTTTTCCACAAGCTGACTTGCTTGATCAGTTGGTCTTTGCCTTTGAGCAGTGAAAAAGATGCTCTCTATTGACTAGACATCATCCTATTTCTTTTGAGTACTTTGGTCACTTGAAGCAAAATTGAAAACCATATAGCTGATCAGCTCATTCTAGTTTCTAGTATTAGTAATTATATTTGAAATAGAATATTTAAAATTTTAGACATTATAGAGTAGTTATGATATATATGTACACAATATATAGTACGTATTTCTGTGTTATTATTTTTTGTTAGAATAATACTGGTTTGTAATTTGGGACATAGAGAAATGTTTTGGGTTTTTTCTGTATTAAAATTGTTGAAATTGGCCAAGGGTGTGAATGAGTGATAGAGTATATTGTCTCTCATGTCTAGGGCCACAGGATTCAATTCCCAGTACTTAATTTCCTGAAAAAGAAAATTCTTTTTCCTGTATAATAGCAATAAATATAATGTAATATGATAGGAATGAATACTTAGCATCAAATATTAATGACACCATTATCTGTTAAACAGAAATGTTTGTTGTTGTTTTCAATTTCAATACATGTGGGTTTTTTGTTGTTATTAAGAATGCTACACTGCAAGCAGAAAAGCAGGCATTGAAAACTCAACTGAAGCAACTGGAAACACAGAACAATAATTTGCAGGCACAGATTCTTGCACTGCAGAGGCAAACAGTATCGTTACAGGAACAGAATACTACTCTTCAGACACAGAATGCGAAGCTTCAGGTTGTAATATTTTGTGGATATGTTACAAAATCTTGAGTTATGCTACAAACAGAATGACTGGAGTGAAGTGTTTCTTAATGAGTGAATTTAATAATTAATTAAAAATAATCGTACTATTTCTGTTTGATGTTATCGAACTTGTAGATTGCATTTTTATCTTTACAGCTATTTTTAATTTTTCTTAGTACATGATTTTTAAAAATTTAATAGACATCATCAGTTACAATTGTATTGAAGTCATTATTATATAGTTGCAGAATATTACACCAGTTCTTCCACCATTGTTTCAAAATCCCTCCACCATTTTTCCATGATCCCTTCTCTCACCATACCACCCAGCATGATCAGTACTTAGCAGCATTTTATGGTAACATAACCTCTAAAGTATACATAAAATAAAGATAATCTTGTTTATTTTATTCTCCTTATTTCAGTAGTTTAATCTTTATTATTCTCAGTGCTCTGAATCAATAATAAAATAATGTAGAAAATAATGTAGAAGATCATGACTTTAATACTGTTGTAACCTATGGTTGCAGCATACTATTTCTGATCTCATTTGTACGTTTTTAAAGAATAACATAGCATGGAAATTTTGTCTTCAGACTTTTTGGTCAGGGAAAGTTACGATTTTCTAAAACCTCTAAAACCTTTTGTTTCTAAGAACAAAATAACATTTTCTCACTGAATCAATGGTAAAGGACTATTGTTAATGTTGCGGTGGTGTGGTGCAGTAATGCCATATTAAACCATTAATGTTAAATACTGTTGAATATTATGGTGCCTGAGGAAGAAATAGATAAAAATTAACTTTTTTTCAGAATTCTTATACAAATGACAAATAATTCAATTATGTTTGAGAATATTTCCATTTGAATTTTTTTTTTACTTTTTTTTTCCCTTTATTTTATTTTTTTTTTTTACAGTTGTAGATTTACAATTTTTTGTGCTTTGGTTTCAATTATACAATGATCAGATACCCATCCCTCCACCAGTGCCCATTTTCCACCACCATGGATAATATCCCTCCCACCCCCATCCCTCCATCCCCCCATCCCCCCTGTCTCTGTGGCAGGGAAATCCCCTGTGTTCTCTCTCTCCTTTCCATTTGAATTTTTTTAATAGGACTTTCCTGTAGCAACCGGAAAACCTGCTAGACAAATTCTAAAAGAATTGTAACACGCCAACTGAATTTTCAGAAATAGTTTTTCGGTTTTGAAACTTATAGAAATAATTATTTTAAATTATGTACTTTTTCATGAATATAATGCAAATAAATTGTTGCTAACTACCTTTATTTAAAATAATTCAACCCAAAATATATGCATATATATCTTAAAACATATATATCAGATGTGTTAAAACACCTTCCAATAATCAAAATGGAATACTAACCTTTTTTTGGCACTCTATAATCAGTTTTTTAAATATATTTTAAACAGAGACTGTTTCGTAAACATATTTTTTTATTTTTAAAAAAGGGAACAAATCAGCTCTTTTTTCTTAAGGCTGATAACAGTTTTCACTCTTTATAGGTTGAAAATTCCACCCTGAACTCTCAAAGTACCTCACTTATGAACCAGAATGCACAACTGCTAATCCAGCAGTCAGCCTTAGAAAATGAAAATGAATCTGTAATCAAAGAAAGAGAAGACCTGAAATCACTCTATGATTCTTTGGTCAAAGATCATGAAAAACTGGAACTTCTTCATGAACGGCAGGCTTCAGAATATGAATCTCTTATTGCCAAACATGGAACACTAAAATCTGCACACAAAAATCTTGAGGTGGAACATAAAGACCTTGAAGATCGGTAATTCATTATAGTTCTTGTGTTGTTAATTTGAAACCAGTTTTCTTTGGGTAAAGAATAAATTTTATGTGTTACAGCTAAAAAAACTATTAATGTTTTTCTTATTTTCTTCATTTTTAAATACATTTTTTCCTAAGGAAGTATTTGACCAAATACCATAACCTCTTTTTTTTCCAGGTATAATCAGTTATTAAAACAGAAAGGACAGTTGGATGATTTGGAAAAAACATTGAAAGTAGAACAGGAGAAGATGTTGCTTGAAAACAAAAACCATGAGACTATAGCTGCAGAGTACAAGAAACTTTGTGGTGAAAATGATAGGTAACATTTATTTTAGCTTTGTATTGCATCCAGTATATATTTCCCATTTGCAATACCATTTATGAGAATTTTTAAAGACCCAGAGCAATAAGTAGATTCTCCCAAAGTAATATGATAATTATAAAATGATTAGGCAGAACCTATGTCTCCTGTTTTTTCTCATTGTTTTTCAGTTAATTTATTCAGCTACTTATTTTGGTTTTGATAAGGGCCACTCCCAGAGGTGCTAGGTGTCATCAGTGCCTAACCTGATAGTACTCAGGGACCACTAGGGACCACCAATACTATACCCCATAGTGCTAGGGAAGCCACCTGATGATGCCAAGATCAAATCAGGACCATATACTTACTCGTCACTTCCTCTGCTTCTTGATTGATGTCCTTACTAAGTCAAGCTACTGTATGTAACAATGTTTATGATACTTGAAGACATTGAAATATTTTATTGAGACAGAATGTAATGAGATCCAAATTTTTATCTCTCTCTCGCTCTCTCTCTCCCCCCCTCCTGGAATTAGTGTCCCCCCAATTCTTGTCTTTTGAAGTTTATATAAGTGATCAATGTTATAGTCTTCTACTTGTATTGTTTATCTGGGGCCCATATCTGACCCTCAGGAGCTATTCCCAGCTTAGTGCTTAGGGGACAGTTGAGTACAGATGATTGAATCCAGAGCTCCTGCATGCAGATTATGAATTCCAGCCCATTACACCATCTCCAGCCCCTATTTATGCTTCAGTTTTTTTAGTTAATTAATTTTACCTATTTCCTTGATGACTGGGAATCACACAACATTGTTGGTTGTAGTGCTCACACACAGTGTTTGTCCCTGGTCACATATCATGTCATGATACTTGAGTACACAACAACAGAGCTTACTGGAGTCTCACTCTGTCATTCTGCTCACACATGTTTTCCAGAGTCAGATACTTTAGTTTTGGTCCTACATACACTGTTGTAGCCACAACTCCCTTGGATTGCTGGGGATCCCAAATGGTAGAGTTACCACACATAAATAGCAGTGCTTCCACCATCATTTGTGCTGGTGGTTTGGAGAACTTAATTACAGGCCTTATTCTTACAAGGCAGGTACTTTAGTCACTGGTCCATCTTCTATTTAAATTTTTTTATTTTAACGGCTTTAGGTACTAGTGGTCTCATGTTGCCATTTAAAAGACCAAAAAGTAATAATTATGAATTGCATAAATATGAATGATATACCACAGCTACAGGAGTCTCAAAAGCTAAAATTTTTGGTTTAAGCGTGTACATCTTACTTATTTAGCAAAAGATTGGCATATTATCATATCTTGTACTACCTTGATTATTTTCTTGAATGTGATTTTTGAATTTTCATGTAAAATTTTAAAATATTTTCTTTATAAACTATGCTTGATTCATTACTTTTTCTCAATCTTTCAGCTGTTAAGTATTTTCATACCAAATTTTTCATTTTATTTTATTTTTGGTTTTTGGACCACACCTTAGTAGGGCTTATTCTTGGCTCTGTGCTCAGGGGCTTATGGAATCATGTGGGGCACTGGGGATGGCAGCATGCAAGATAAGCACCCTGCCCACTGTATTGTCTCTCTAGCTCCACACCAACACTTTTAATACCTATGAGGGTATTATTAGTATCTTTATGTCTTCACATATTTAAGTGCCTAAAGATTTGTTTCCACAGAAAAGCACAACAGAAAGGTATTTTAATTTTTTAAAAATGTTTTTACAGAATGAAATTGATTCTTACCATTTGGGGGGTGGAGGATTGGACTGCACTTGGTTGGTAGTACTCAGGGGTAACTCCAGGCAGTGCTCAGGAGATTTTACATCGTGCTGAGGATCGAACCTTGGTAGGCTGCATGCAAGGGAAACACCTTTGATTCATATAATTTTAGAAACTGGCAAAATTATTTTTATGGAGCTCAGGAATAGCTAAGTGGTAAAGTGCCTGCCTTATAGGTATGTAGCAACAAGTTAAATTCCTGGTACTTCCTCACATGCTTAATGTGATCCTATTAGCACAATTATTTTGGATTTCTGGTGCCGCAGCAGTGTGCTGTTTAACCAGGCATACATGAGCACTGCAACTAAGTTTTCTGGCATCTCAAGCACTATGCAGCTCCAGGTGTTCACTTCAGCTAAAATGTGTGCAAGTACCACAACTAAGTGTGTCATGTCTGGTCATTGCAATAACAGCAAGAAGGAAAAGGGGAAATCAAATTTTTTTTAATTTCCAAAGAATCATATCATCTAACAAGTCTGAATGTGATATATACCATTTTCTTTTTTAAAATTTTATTTTCAAAGAGTTATTCACAGTAATTGATTACATCACCATTATACCTTCTCACCACCATTATTTCGAGTTTTCCCACCACCACCTAAGCCTACTTCAAAGGCAGATGCTAAATAATTTGTTTTGTATTGCTTGTTATGAATAATTGACTTAAGATTATCCAAAAATGTTTTCTTAGAGGAAAGTGTGTGAATCTTTTGTATCTCATCTTGGAGCCAGTAATCCTCGATATGAGGGGTCATTAACATACTATTAGAGTTTGAGTCTCGTGTGCTAACATATATATTTTTTTAATTTTTTTCTGTCAAGACCGGTTGTCTTCTACTTTATACCCCATCAAATGTGCTGTGCTACTCTTGGTATAAGGTATATCAGTAGCATAATTGTATGAGATGTCACATGGCCGCAAATGCCATTTTCAAATTGTATAAATTTTAATGAGAACCATTCTACTCTAATTTTGTATTATTATTTTAATTGCAGGTTGAATCATATATATAATCAGCTTCTAAAAGACTCTGAAGTTTTACAAGCAGATCATAAAAACTTAAAAAGTCTTTTAAATAATTCCAAACTGGAACAAACAAGATTAGAAGCTGAATTTTCTAAGTTAAAGGAACAATACCAGCAGTTGGATATCACATCAACCAAATTGAATAACCAGTGTGAGGTGAGCTTCAACAATTGTAGTCATTATTTTCTTTATAAGTCAAGTTGTGCCTGAAAATTAAAATTAAAGAGCTACAATGTAATGGACAGTAGCAGTATATGTACAGTAAATTTAAGAGAACTGGTCATCAATATTTGAAATTCACAAATAAGAAAAATTTCAATATATATTACTGTTAGCTTAATCTACCAGATACTTTGAATATTGTAAAAGTATGCTATTAGTCACTGAAAAAAGATTTTCTGAGCACCTGGAATCTACTATGAACCAAAAGGAGAAAAATCTTTTTTTGTGCAACTTGTGTTCTGGTGAAATAAGTAAATATAAGAGAATTAAACAGTTCTTCAATATTCTGTTATATGGGATGTATAGCAAATTAACCAAAACTCAGTAGTACGAACAACTGTTAATAACACTCACGGTTCTGTGGATAACGTTTTAGGTAATACAGTAGGGCCAGTTTCTCTGTTCTACTTGTATCTGGGCCATCAGGCAGAAGATTCACCAAATGCTGAATCTTACTGTTAGCTGGAGACATCATTCTCTTGTCCATTTGGTTTTAGCCCTTTTATTGATTTGGGCTTTCCTGCATCATAGATCCAGACAGAAAATGTCTCTGCCTTTATGACCACATGTTCGAAGTCCTGAAGCAACATTTCTTCTGCATTCTTTTCATTTGGGCTGTCAGAATCCCTTCAAACATTAAGTGAAGGGATGTGATCGATTGATCGATTAATAAACTTGATCGATTAATGAAAACTGGCATGATTCTGAAAGAGCCCATAGGACAAAAACATTGTTATAACTATTTTGAAAAGCAGTCTGTAGTATATAGTATACAGATAGTGGTATTTCTTAACTGGGGGCCATGTGGCCCCTGTGTGCCCAGAATATTCCAGTGGGACCACAGGGTAAGAATCACATATGTAGGAGAACATGGAATATTCTAGGGGAAACAGAGTTGGGAGAGGGCCATGGCCAGACAAAGACTGAGAAACTCTACTACAAAAGATTGCAAATCATGTGCAAGTGAAAATGGAATAGGCTAAAGGTTGATGAGAACTTCCAGGAAAAAATGAGAATGTACATTAAAGCACAGCGGTAAGGCGTTTGCCTTGCATGCAGCCAACATGGCCGACTCGAGTTTGATTGCTCCGCCCCTCTCAGAGAGCCCGGCAAGCTACCGAGAGTATCTGGCCCTCACGGCAGAGCCTGGCAAGCTACCCGTGACGTACTCGATATGCCAAACACAGTAACAAGTCTCATGATGGAGACGTTACTGGGCCCGCTCGAGCAAATCGATGAACAACGGGAGGACCGTGACCGTGACTGTGACATTAAAGTTTTAATTACTCATCATCGAACAAGTATTTAAAAGACTTTAGTGTATTAGTAAGTAAAAAATTGGAGAAAGAACATTCTAAGTAACCAATGCAATAACCTTAAGTCCATGGGAATCCTGATTTGTTTAAGATCAATATGACAGAGATATTTAAGTAGTGAAACAACCAGCTGTTGTGAGTTTTGCTAAGATACCACATTAAGGTTCCTTCCTCACTGATTTTTGGAAAGCTTTTCTAATTATTTTTTCTTTTGATTTTGTTGTTTTGGGTCACCCGAGTGTTGCTGTAGGCCACTGTGGACACTTGTAGGAGTCCCTGATGTGCTGTGGATTAAACCTGGAATCATGTGCATGCCGGAATGATCACTAGTGGGTTTTTTGTTTGAATTTAAACTATTTTTATGACCCTGAAAGGTTTTACTTGAGACACTGGAAAGGACCGTAGCTTCCTTCCTACTTTGTACTGATTTATTATTATTCCAACTTGAATTAATCCAACTTGAATTAATCCCCATGGTTAGTCCTGAGACATCATTTGGAGGAAGTGGAAAAAACTTTCTCGTAATTTATCATTGTGGGAAGGGATGGTGATAATGATGTGAGAGCATGACTGTTTCTGATATACAGCTAATGAAATTTTTATTAATCTAAGTGCTGGTTTCACATCTATTTATTTTGCGATAATTCATTGAGCTATTTATGTCCGTAAAATTTTTAATCCTTTCAATACGTAGTATCAGTTGTGTGATGACATAATACAACAACCATTGAACCTCAGTAGTAATCTTATAAATATTCATTTTTGCTCATGAAGTTTATGATTAGCAGAATTATGTATGTTGATTCATGTATTGATGTGCAAGTCAAGATAGTTTAATCAGTAGGGCTTGTTCTTGATCTGTCGTTGACTGCCATGCTGATGTTCCCTTGTTCTAGGGTATCCCTAGCTGGCAAAACTTCTAGAAGTTTTAGTATATAGCGTCTTACAGTATCTTATCCTTCTGGATTCGAGAAACTGAATTGAGGCCTTTTGCGTGGAACTGTTATGCCATGCCATGAATTTCACCTTTCCTTTGATGAAAGATATTCCAAATTCAAAAAGAGCACAAATAATTTCTATTTCTGTTTTTGATGGAAGGGACATGCCCAGTGGTGCTGAGGGCTTACTCCTGGCTCTGCACTCAGGAATTTTTTATGTCCTTGAGATTCTCAGGGGATATGGGATGCCAGGAATTAAACCCGGGTCAGGCACTTCAATACAAGTGCCTGTACTCACTGTACTCTCTTTCCAGGTTGGTTCCACATCTTATTGAGAAGAGTAAGTCACTTTGGAGCCAGGGAGATAGATAGATAGCTGAGAAGACTGAAGAACATGCTTTGCATGCACAGGAGCCTCATATTTGGTCCCTGGAACTGTATAGTACCCAACCACCATGACTAGAAGACCTAATAATTGCTGGGTATGACCCAGACCCCTGCCCTGAAAAAAAGTCACATTGCAAGACAATGTATAGTGTAGTAGGGAAGGTATCTTTTTACAGTCTTGTAATCAATCTATCACATATCACATACATTATATTTACTTTAACAACATATAGAATACTGATTATTGTTAGGTCTATTTTGTATTTAAGGATTCTCATAGTATTGTGTTATTCTGTGTCTGATGCCTTTTGGCAAATTTGAAAGTGTTTTTTCAATTTTTAAAATCTCTGGACTCAAGACCTGAAATATTTTAAATGCTAGGATCCAGTAATATGTATGTAAACAGTAATTTTGAATCACTGTTTTGGGTTTTCTGGCTTCTGCTTGAACTTCTTGCCTAACTCAGCATACTTCCAGTTTTCTACTGGCGTCGGAGAAAAAGTAGAGTAACACTGCTGGCAGCCCAACTGTTAGTAAAAACCTCTAGTAACAGCAACCCCTGACATGATAATTTGATTCCTTTAATCAATCCACAATATCTATACAGACCTTAAAGTTCCCTGAAAATATTGACTGGAAAAAGAAAGAAGTATATTAAAATACCTCCGTGTGTTCCAGAACCTTATCACTAGATACTTTATTACTTAATTCTCACAACAATCTTGGGGACTGGGAGCTATTATGTTCATCTTGTAGTTGAGGTAATTGAAGTTCAGAGAACTAACTTGTCACACATTCCAGAGTTATTTAAACAGAAGACCAGATATTTGAATGTAGTTTTTCGAGTAGAATATAAACATATTGAAAAAGAACTGTTTGGAAAAATAAATTATTAAATGTTAAATTGAGTGTTTTTGAGAATTAAGAATATGTTTATGTATCATTCATTAATATCCAGAACTTTAGCTATTGTTACTAAAATAATTATTTATGTTCAGACCAAAGTAAATAACATCTACTTGTTTAAACAGCAGGATATTTCATTCTTTGCACAGTACTTTATATTTTTCAAATGTGTTGGGCAATTTATTTGAAGGTAAATGTTATTGTTTTTAAAATTATGTTTAAATAGTTGCTAAGCCAGCTAAAAGGAAATTTAGAAGAAGAAAATCGACATCTGCTAGATCAAATTCAGACATTAATGCTACAGAACAGAACACTATTGGAGCAGAATATGGAAAGCAAGGACCTTTTTCATGTTGAACAAAGACAATACATGTAGGTACCAAATAATTTTGCACCCTGAAATATTACTCATAATTTTATTCTTTTCATTCTGTATATGAGAAAACTCAATATTAACTTTTACTAATTTCTGACATTATTATAGGTTGGAGCAATAGCACAGCGGGTAGGGCTGGCCGACCCAAGTTCGATTTCTTCGCCCCTCTCGGAGAGCCTGGCAAGCTACCGAGAGTATCTTGCCCGCACGGCAAAGCCTGGCAAGCTACCCGTGACGTATTTGATATGCCAAACACAGTAAAAACAAGTCTCACAATGGAGATGTTACTGGATCCGCTCAAGCAAATCGATGAACAGCGGAAGGACAGTGACAATAATTATTTAAACCATTGTTTCTTTTAAATACAGAGGTTCTGGTTTACTATGCTAATAACCTAAAATACTAGCATAAGGGTACATGGGTACTGCTCTTATGGATCTAGGAATATAAAACTAATTGTTTGAATAGATACATGTGAAATTGGCCATAGAAATATAGCAAATATAGGGGCAAGAAGCCCTTATTTGGGAAGAGGCAAAACAGATTTTTTAAAATTATTGCCTGAGCTTAAATACAGAGGTTCAAAAGGAGTTAACCCAAGGCAATATACTTCTCAAAGAAAGCACCAAATGAAAAATATGAAAGTAAAATATAAAAGGTAAAGAGAAAGAGGAGCAGCAGTGAAATGGCTAAACATGCCAGAACCATTTCTCAGAGGTGTTTCTTTTGTTTTGTTTTGTTTTTGCTCTTTGGGTCACACCTGGTGATGCAAAAGGGTTACTCCTGGCTATGTACTCAGGAATTACCCCTGGCGGTGCTCAGGGGACCATATGGGATGCTGGGAATTGAACCTGGGTCGGCCTCGTGCGAGGCAAACGCCCTACCTGCTGTGCTATTGCTCCAGCCCCCTCAGAGATGTTTCTGTGCCATAGAAAGCAGCCTTTAAAAATTTAAGCAGGGGCAGGAGCAATAGCACAGCAGGTAGAGCATTTGCCTTGCACGTGGCTGACCTGGGTTTGATCCCCAGCATCCCATGTTCCCCCAAGCACCACCAGGAGTAATTCACGAGTACAGAGCCAGGAGTAAGCCCTGTGCATAGCCGGGAGTGACCCAAAAAGCAAAAAAGAAAACCAAACAAACAAAACAACAACAAAAAATTGAGCAGTGGAATAATATGATTGGTTTGGCAGTAATTATAAAACCTGCTGATGACAGTTTATTTTTTTCCTTAAATTTTTATTTAGTGAAACACCATGAGGTACAGTTGTAGACTTACAAATTTTTGTGCTTGGGTTTCAGTTATACAATGATCGAATACCCATCCCTCCACCAGTGCCCATTCTCCACCACCACTGATCCCAGTATCCCTCCCACTCCCCCATCTCCCCATCCCACCCTACCTCTGTGGCAGGGCATTCCCTTTTGTTATCTCTCTCCTTTTGAGTGCTGTGGTTTGCAAAAGAGACATTAAGGGCAATCATGTTCGATCTATAGTCTACTCTCATCACGTATCTCCCATCCTGAGAGGAACCTTCCAACACCCTTTATTTGGTGCTCCCTTCTCTTTCTGAGATGCCTTTTCCCCTAGCATGTGCAACTGGCCTCAAGGCCATGGAGTAATCCTCCTGGTACTTATCTCAGCTATTCTTGGGTGTTAGTCTCCTATTTTGTTACTTTATGTTCCCCAGATGAGTGCAATCTTTCTATATCTTTCCCTCTCTTTCTGATTCATTTTGCTTAGCATGATACTTGCCATGTAGTATCACTTGTATATGAACTTCATGACTTCATCTTTTCTAACAGCTGCATAGTACTCCATTGTGTAGATGTAACAAAGTTTCTTTAACCAGTCATCTGTTCTCGGGCACTCAGGTTTTTTTCCAGATTCTGGCTATTGTAAAGAATGCTGCAATGAACAAACAAGTACAGATGTCACTTCGACTATACTTTTTTGCCTCTCTGGGATATATTCCCAGGAGTGGTATTGCTGGGTCAAATGGGAGCTCAATTTCTAATTTTTTGAGGATCGTCCATACTGTTTTCCAAAAGGGCTGAAACAGTCAGCATTCCCACAGCAGTGAAGGAGGGTCCCTTTCTCGCCACATCCGCGCCAACACTGGTTGCTTTTGGTCTTTTGGATGTGGGCCAGTCTCTGTGGGGTGAAATGATATCTCATTGTTATTTTGATCTGCATCTTCCTGATGATTAATGATGTAGAGCATTTTCTCATGTGCCTTTTAGCCATTTGGATTTCTTCTTTGAAAAAGTTTCTGTTCATTTTGTGATGACAGTTTAGAGCAGAGGTTTGAGGTTCAGAGATTTTAAGATAAGTAGTAAATACTAAAACAGTTGTAATCTACTTAAAAATTATTCATAAGCTTTGCTAGTTGAGATCAGATACTAAGTTAACTGAGTATGTGTCTCTGTTGAAACGGCAAAATCTCACTAAAGCAGCAATTTATACAACATGCTGATTCACCTGTACCCAAATTTTCTTTTCCCCCTGTCTGCTAAATGAGAAACATAGTATAATTTAATAGAAATAGCACCAACATTGAAATCAGTAGCTCCTAATTCATCTAACCACTAGGTAATCACATACAAGTTACTTCATTTGTTTGGTCATAGGTTTCTTTTTCTCTAAAAATAGAGATTATTCGATAACTCCTATTTTCTGAATTATTCAAAGGAGTAAATGAAATAATGCCTGTGCCTTCCAAAGACATGATGGTATGTGATCATATTTGGAACCAGGATGCACCACACATTTTCTGAAGCATCAGTTTTATTTTTTAAATTTGGAATAGGGAATCTTTTTTGTTTTATTTTGTTTGTTTTTGTTTGTTTGTTTTTGCTTTTTGGGTCATACCCAGAGTTTCTCAGGGGTTACCCTTGGTTCTGCACTCAAGAATTACTCCTAGCATTGCTTGGGGGACCATATGGGGTGCCGGAGATTTAACCCAGGTTGGCCGTGTGCAAGGCAAATGCCCTACCCACTGTACTTTTGCTCCAGCTCCATCGGATAGGGAATCCTTTTATATCAATAAACAGATATATCATGGAGCAAAAACATGAGTTTGCATGAACTTTTCATTTTAAGGTAAGTGCAAAACTTCAAAAGGATTTCATATTTATATCTGGCCACTTTGGATTACACCTTCGATCCTATTGGGTATGTATACTTATACTCTCTTCCATTAAAGATATTTTAGCTTAAGAAGCTAAAATATCAAAAGCTTCCAACATTTAAGTTTTCTGTCAGATAGCGAAGGGCTCCTCCAGAAGTTTGCCTTATTATTCTGATCCACGGGAACGAATTCATTTCTGAGGTTTCTGTGATTTTAGTTGGATTTCAAACACTAGTATCTATTCTCACTTTTTATTTTAACATATCAATCCTTAAACATGTCTTGCATTTCTGGCTGAATGTCTGCTTCTGTCACATTTAGGTGTAAGCGAATAGATAGTACTAAAAATTTAGAGGTTCTTGATTTTTTATAAGTATAAGGATAAAAGCCTTGTTTGTTATAGGCTGTTTTCTGTTTGTTTTTTTGTTTCTTCTCTAGGTGAATTAGTGTCAACCTTTGTTCTTTAACATCTTCTTTCATAAAATCACACATCAGTTCCATTATCTTAATTCAACCTTCCCTCTGAACTAGAAGTGGCTGAATAAATAGCAGTACTTCTGATTTTTAAAAACAAATGGAAAGAAAGCTGTCTAACATTTTAGTGATTAGCTTAAAAATTTATCAGAATCAGCCATTGTTCAAATATGATTTGAGGAAATTTGAGATATAAGAATAGAGATATAATCTATGTTGATAGATTTTTTTGTTTGCTTGCATGTTTGATTTTGGGCCACATCTGTGCCAGAGCTTATTCTAGCTCTGTGGTCAGGGGTCACACCTGGTGGGGGGAATCATATGAAATGCTGGGATTTGAACTGAAGTCACCCATATCAAGCACCTTAACCTCTAGTGTATCTCTTTAGTCCTGATAGAATGTTAACTAATAACTATAAGAAAATTTGGAGAATTCTTTTATCCTGAAGTTATAAAATGCAAAAAAAAAATTCTAATAGATTTCTTCAGTTATTATAGAATTGAAACTTTTTTACTATATTCTTTTTTAAAAACAAGTTGTAAATTTAAAGAAAAAAAGAAATACTGGGGAGATGACTCAGAGGACTGCTGTTTGGTTCCCAGCACCAGTTGGTACTTTGAACACTGTGAGAACTGGCCCTCAAAATTGTGGTGCTATAGAAATAATATGGAGGTTAAGGCTCTTGCTTTGCATGAGGCCAATTCAGGTTTTAATACCAGCACCATATGCGTTCCTGCAAACATCATTAGGAGACACTTGAGTATAGCGCCAAGCATATCTCCTGAGTACTACTGGGGGTGGCCCCACCCAGAAAAGGAAAAGGGAAAAAAAGGAGAAACATAGAAAACATCCCGTTTTTATTACCTAAGTAAATTCTTAATTTGTAAGTCGTGGTATCTGTTTTATTTATTTATTTATTTATTTATTGCTTTTTGGGTCACACCTGGCGATGTTTTATTTATTTATTTATTGCTTTTTGGGTCACACCTGGCGATGCACAGGGGTTACTCCTGGCTTATGCACTCAGGAATCACTCCTGGCAGTGTTCACGGGATCATATGGAATGCAGGGAATTGAACCTGGGTCGGCTGTGTGCAAGGCAAATGCCCTACCCTGTGCTATTGCTCCAGCCCCAGTATCTGTTTTATTTTGAGATGTTTGATTAGATCATAGTCACATCCTTTACTGTCATTCATAACTTCTCATGTCCTAAAATGTGATGTTTATTTTTATAGTGATAAGTTAAATGAATTAAGACGACAAAAGGAAAAACTCGAAGAAAAAATTATGGATCAATACAAATTTTATGACCCATCTCCTCCTCGAAGGTATTTTTAACTAAATTTTATTCATCTTTGCTTTGTTACATTAAAACTTCCAATGTATTGGATTTTTAGACTGATGAGAATTTTTAAATTTCTATTAGGAGAGGCAACTGGATTACTCTGAAAATGAGAAAATTGATAAAATCTAAGAAAGATATTAATCGAGAACGTCAAAAATCTCTAACATTAACTCCTACCCGCTCAGACTCCGGTGAAGGATTTCTTCAGCTACCTCATCAAGATAGTCAGGATAGTTCTTCAGTAGGTTCAAACTCTTTAGAAGACGGCCAAAATTTGGGAACCAAGAAAAGCAGCAGTGAGTGCTTAAATATCTTTAAATATTTGTGTTGTCTACTACTGATTCAGAATCTTTCCTAAAGGTTTTCTTTTTTTTTAATATTACTTCAACAGGACCTTGGATAGAGCTCAGCAGTTGAGCACTTGCCTTGCATATGTGAGACCCTATGGATTTAGTCCCTGGCGCCACCACAAAAAAAAAAAAAAAGAAAAGAAAAATACCTTCAACAGTCGTTTCCTTCAATAGTCATTTGGGGTGATAGACTGTTGAATGCATTTCTCTTAAACGTCATAGTACATTATATAATTCATGCATAACCAAATGATTGCTATATTGAATATTTAGAGATGTACCATATGCAGCGATATCGTTATTTTATTAGGAGCATTAAATAGTAAGGAAGGGACATTTAAAAACGAACCAGAAATACCTCTGCTTATATAGAACTAACCTTTTATACCTTTGTGTCAGGATAATAAACCAGGGCAACTAAGAAATATTTATAGGTGGTTGTTTATAATTATTTGAGATTAAGTAGAATAATAAAGCATGTGTAATGAGATCTTACTCCTTTTGTGTATGTGTGGTACCTGGGATTGAATTGAGGTCTCATGTCTTCATGTCTGCAAGGCAAATGTGCCACTTCTGGGCCACGCTCCTAACCCATTACTTATGTAATTGTATGGTGTCAAATTTAAGGAAAATTACATGAATTGAATCAAAAAGGAAGTAGTTATGAATTTGAATATTTTTGTTTATATTTAGAAATAATTGAACGTTTCAAAAAGTATTAGAGATTTTTCTGTAAAGACCAAATACATGGGTAGGTATAAGAGTAATTCCTGAGTGTAGAGCCAGGAGTAAACCCTGAGCACAAATGGGTGTGGATAAAAAAAAAATACATAAATTAAGAATTTTTTAAAAAATCCCAGGTAAGGGGCTGAAAAATTGGTTTTGCAGTCAGATTTGGTCTTGGTTTTCTTCAGAATCTGCTTGGGAGGCAAAAAAAAAGTTATTTCAGATATGAAAGCATACACAAGAGAAGCACAATAGCCTCTGAGGCCATCTTGTTTGTTATTTTATTCTCACTGATGAAATATCTAGAATTAGAATAAGTAATAATTTTCTGCAATTTTATTTACAGTTTTTGAATTAAAAAAAAAAAACCTACAATGACCAGACAGTACAAGGTTTAAAGTACTTGGTTTACGCATGTTTGATCCTGATTCTATTGCCAACACTGAATATGGGTCCCTGAGCACTGCTAGGAATAATCCCTGAGCACAGAGCCAGGAGTAAAGCCTAAACTACTGGGTTTGGGCCAGAATCCGGTAAATAAATAAAACAAACACAAAGCTCAACAATGCTAATTTTTTTTTAGAATTTCTTAATAAAGTTTTCTGGTGTAAGAGAACAAAACCATCGTATGTTCACAAATTGATGACAGCTCACATTTCATCACTGGCAAATTCAAAATAACTTTTGTCCTGACCATTTCGGATGAGTGTCAGTAAAGCAGTCCATTGGAAAACAGTTGAAAATGGAAAATAAACAAGGCACCATGTGCATGCTGCAACCACTCAGCTTTGTTTTAGCTTAAATGTCCATTTTTGCATTGTTTTTAGTTCATTTCTTTTAAATCATTGAGAACAGCTGTGTTTACCAAGCTAGAAAAGAAACAGGTCAAGTTAAAAGCTTGAATAAATTATGACTACTCATAATAACAGTCAGGTAAATTGGGTAAGCTGACATTCCATCACCTGTTCACTTGTCAGTTTGTCAAAGGAGCTTTGAAGGGTACATGCTATGCATCAAGGAGCCCCAATAATCTCTCAAAAGCTACAAGCACTGCTGGAGGTGGCACAAAGACAAAAAGAAAAAGAGTGTTGCTTTCTTTTTTAAAAAGATGATGGCAAATCCTGAAAAAGAGAATAATTATTAAGTCTGAAAACAATAATGCTTTTAAGCCTTTATGTAGGTTATTTCCCTGATGCTAAATTGCAGTCTCTAAAATGATATAATATTTTTATATTCAAATCATACTAAAATGTAATTTAAGAATATAAGTGACTCTAGTGAGCATTTTCATTTTTGTGGTGATGATTCCTTTTAATTATAACCATAATTTTCATACACAACTTTTGTACAGCTTCTTGATCCCTTTGAAATTTTGTGAACCCCTTTTGTACAACCCCCCAAAAAACTCTTCAAAATATCTAAAAACATTATAGATACACATATTTTTCTGTCAGTTCTGCTTGCTTTAGGGTGCCTCCTAATCTTTTATCTTTATTTAGAGTTTAGTGCATGCCACTGTCAAAATACTTTTTTCTTTCCCTCAACTAATCTTTTGCAATATGAAATTAATATAAACACTTGAGGGGTTGGGGGAAAAAGTGCAAGTGCTAGTGTGCATGCGTTACCTGCTGGATTTGAGACCCCACTTTGAGTCCACCTAATGGTCCCTGGAGCCCTGCCTGGAGCAGACACTGAGCACCTCAAGGTGTGACTCCCCAAAACCCAAAACAAATAATAAATGCTTTGGGAAGACTTTACCCAAAAGAATATATATTTACCTAGTACTGTTATATAATATACCAGAATTCAGTTTAAACCAAAAATAATTTCCTGTTTTCCTTATTAAAAGTCTAAGAAAATAATGAGGAGCCTAGAGTAGTACAGTGGTTAGGGCACATGCCTAGCAATCACCCAACTCTTGTTCAATTCCTGGTGCTGCATGGCCTCCAGGAATCACCAGATATAGCTTTTTATTCCCTTGAGCATTGCTGTGTGTGCCCTGGAGGCTCATGGCAAGCACCGCTGCAGTGGCTCTGGTGGTTCCTGACAGCCTCAGAAACCGAGGCCCTCTAGTTTCTATTCGTGTATATTACTAAAATACAGTAGAAGAATATGCAATTTCATAAATTTTATTTTTCTAAAACAGAGTCTTTTGAATTAAAAAGTTAAAGCAAGGATTAAAACCCTGTACATTTTTATCATATATAATCTGTAACCCACTGATAACTTTAATTGAGGTACACCTTTACAAAATTGTAAAACTGTTCTTCCTGTAATTCTGATCAGAAGTTTCTGTGTTTATAGACAGTCCATGCTTTTGAAGTATATGTTCCTCATCATTGTTTTCAGCACTTCTCCAAGTATTTTTAAAGTATTGTAGTACATAATTCATATTTCATTATCATTCAGCAGCATGAGAATTTAGCTTTAGTATAGCATACATAGCTAAAACTCAGACATTCATTTCTGTCCTTAATTTCAACATTTAACTCCCATCTGTTCTTCTCCCTTTTTTCTTTCATTTTTCTGTTTCTGTTTTTTTCTCATGCTCTGACATTAAAGTGGTTGCACTGAAAAGACTGCCCTTTTTGAGGAACAGACCGAAGGATAAAGACAAAATGAAGGCCTGCTATCGTCGTTCCATGTGTAAGACCTTATGACAGTTCAGCTTCTTTCAGATGACTACACTGGCTTCCATTACTAATTTTTCCACTAACCTTTCTCTGGACTGTGTCAATTTTCTTAATTTTGCAAATTACAGTTTTTTCTCTAAAACAAGGAACTAGAAGAAATTTCCTTTTCAAAACTAGCACTGAATTTGCATATGTGTATGTTTACTAATACATATATACATATGTTTATTCATACTTATACTTGTAAATTTCCAGTGCTTTCTAAAAGTTGACAGAAAAAAAATCAACAAACTTTATGTTACTGAGATTTTTTTCCCAAAGAACTTACTTAAGGAAAATACATTTAGCATTAGGAATTTATTTCCTTAAATGAACTAAATTAAATACATAAATAAATAAAATGGCCTGTAACCTTTGAAAATGTTTGTCATTATTTAAATAATAGTCCTCTGATTTTTCTTATTTGAAAGTTGAATGGGTAATTATATAATATATTAAATCACTTTGGATATCATCTCTTTCAGGTTTTTATTGAATGGTATACTTGAATCATAAAATGAATAATTTCTTCAGTAACCTGCTCTGACCAAGGACTCTGTTACCATTTTCAATAATGATCCTGTATAAGAACTGCTCTCCATCTTACCTTTTTATTCATTCCATTTTTGTCATCACAAAAACCACTTATGAAGTCTCCTATTTATATTGCACTAAAGCATGGCAGTTATACAGAGTAAAACTCTCTTTTTCCTATCTTTAAGAGGGTGGAGATGGGATAATTTACTGAAATTTATCAGCCTTTGGCCTACTCATTTCATTCAACCAAACGCATGTCATGATTCTAACGACCTTGAATTTGTAGTTTTTGGTGTTCACTTGCATTCATCCATACACAAAGACCAAATCATTTGTAATACAAAATCGAAGTAAGAGTAATACATTAACCATACTGATTCATTTGCTTTCATTTGCATCCCAGCCATGAATGACCTGATGCAGTCCATGGTCCTAGCAGGAGGACAGTGGACAGGTAGTACTGAGAATTTGGAGGTTCCTGATGATATTTCAACTGGTAAAAGGAGGAAAGAATTGGGAGCTATGGCCTTCTCTACTACAGCCATCAACTTTTCAACTGTCAACTCTTCTACAGGCTTCAGATCCAAGCAGTTGGTTAATAATAAAGGTATAGGCCGTCTGCTATTTGCACTGTGGTGTAACTGTTGGCAAAAAAAATTTTTATTATATTTCCAGGCAGCAACAGCTTTTTAAAAATCGTAAAAATGGGGTTGGAGCAATAGCACAGTGGGTAGGGCATTTGCCTTGCACATGGCCAAGCTGGGTTCAATTCCCTGCATCCCATATGGTCCCCTGAGCACCGCCAGGGGTAATTCCTGAGTGCAGAGCCAGGAGTAACCCCTGTGCATCATCAGGAGTGACCCAAGAAGAAGCAAAAATAAATAAATAAAAATAAAAATCTTAAAAATAATCTGTATTTTAGGAAATGTTCACATTGTTTACAAATTAAAGACATCTTCCAGAAAAAAAAGACACCATACAGATAACTAAGTTCATTCCTAATAAACAACCATTGAGCTAACAATAACAAAAAGTAAATGATTTCAAGAGTAAAAAAACAAATGGATGTTAAAGCTTATTTTAAAAACATCTAAAACACTACAACTTCAGAGAGAATTATTTAGAGCAACTAAGGCTTTTTGTAGGGTCACAAGGGGAAATTGTTTCATTGCTTCTGATATTTTCGGTAAGCTAGTTAACTTAAATCACAGTTATTCTGTTCCTCCTAGTTCCAGTTTCTGGTTCATTCTGTGAAATATGTTGAATCAAGATGTATTATACATGATTGAGAAAGAATTTCCATGTTCTGAATAAGTAAAATTTTATAGTTACTTTGTTAAAAGTGTCTTTATATTCATTTTAATATTTTATGTAGATACTACATCTTTTGAAGATATAAGTCCACAAGGTATTAGTGATGATTCTAGTACGGGATCAAGAGTTCACGGTAAGATATAAAGTCTATTTAGATAAAACATAGTATATAAAGAATGGAAATGCTAAGACTTGCATTGAACTAATTAACATGGCATTGTCAGCAAGCATGTATTTTCTAGCCTGCGTTTCATATCTACCTCTGTCATCTCTTCAAACCTAATATTCCCTTTTGCCCCTTTCAGAGTTGTTGTGTCATCTACTTAAGTCAAGGTTGTTTATAAAGTATGCATAAACTATGGTTCTAGGTAATTTTGTTGACACTTTGGTGTAAGGTTAAAATTAGGAGATAATTCTTCCGTTGGTTTAAAAAATCTTTGTGAGACTGGGAAGATAGTTTGAAAGGCTGGAGCAGAAGTTTTGCTTGCAGGAAGCCCAGATTTGGCCCTGCCACTACATATTCTCCTGCACATAGCCAAGAACAAACTCTATGCCCCCACCCAGCCCTGCTTCAGGGGCTCCAGGACAAGACCCTGAGCACTGCAAGGTGTGGCTCCCGAACAAAACAAACAAAAGTACTTTGAAAAAAGATGTAATCTAAAAAACCGTGTATTTTTAAATTTCTGTCTGGAAAATTGTGTCTAACTAAACTAAGTTAATAATACTAAAATGGATAACGTCATAAAGAGATTTCACACATAAGCTGGATTTTGTTTTATTTATTGGTGTAGCAATATACGGTTTTGGTTTTGGTTTTGGTTTTTGGCTAGAGCCAGAAATGCTCAGGGGTTACTCTTGGCTCTGCACCCAGGAATCACTCAATCACTCCTGGTGGTGTTCAGACGACCATTTAGGATGCTAGGGATTGAAGCCTAGTTGGCATTGTGCAACGTAAGTACCTTACCCACTATACTATTGCTCTAGTATAGCAAGATAGTTTTCACTGAAACTTACTCGAGAGGAAAAAAAGAGAAAAGTAGGTGATTGAAGGCCGGAGTGCTAGTATTGTGGATTGGGTGCTTGCTTGCACGTGGCCAACCCAGGTTCTATCTCTGACATTTCATATGGTCCCCTTAGCCCTGCCAGGAGTGATCCCTGAGTGCAGAGCAAGAAGTAAGCGCTGAACTTCACCAGGTGTCCCCAAAAAACAAAATGAGAGAGAGAGAGAGAGAGAAAGAGGGAGAGAGAGAATACAGGTGTCTCTTGATTGTAAATAAGCAAGCAAAGAAACATATAGACAAGACAAAAAACATGTTCAACGCTTGAACCGCAAGCCTGTAAGCAGCATTTTTAAAAGTAGCATAGTTATGTTAACTCTGGAATTGTTTCCCTTGCTATGGAAAGGACTACAGTGACATTAACTATGCAGATGTTCATGGCTTCTCTGCAGTATAGAGGGTTCCTTGTCTGAGCTGCTGAGTCTTAATCTCTACCATTTTGTGTTTGTATGTGTGTGTTAATATCATTCTATTCAACTGAGAGTCCTTATATCCACCTGGAAATCATCTCATGAAATAGCCCTTGACTTTTTATTTAATTTTAACTGGTGCTTCAGAATGTCTTGTGTCTGTGGAATTATTTGGAAGTTCCTTTGCTTTCCTTAGAGTCAGCCCTGTGGGAATGCTTGATCTGTGAAAGCATGCATAATTTCTTCTCCAAAGCATTCTGTGGTCAGAATGTAAAGTTCAGTGTCATCAGCTGGAAATTTTATCATGCTGTCTCCTGATTTTTCATTTAGCTTCAAGACCAGCCAGCCTTGATAGTGGCAGAACATCCACTAGCAATAGCAATAATAATGCTTCACTCCATGAAGTCAAAGGTATGCTGTAGGTAAATTTATTAATATGCTCCATTTCCTGTATTTAAAACTAGGAAACTAAGGAAGTTTCTGTAGTAAGGTATATAATCCAAATAATTTATATTTGTGACATATTTCCTGGTAACATTTTATACTTTTTACATTGTAACACAAATGTATTCAGTGTATTCAAATGTAAAAATGGGAACAGTTATTTGGTTTTCATTTTTTTATCTCATAAAATTTCTTATTGTCACCTTCATATTTTATAAATTTTCACAGGTCTTTATTTATATGTTTGTCTTTGTTATGAAAATGGTTGTCCTTAATTTGCTCGTGATACTTGTACGACAAACTCATTTTACAGGGAAGATAGCTCAAAGACTGGAGCGCATGCTGTGTATGCAGGAACCCTGTGAACATGGTCTCCTGTGCAACACCAAGAGTGGCCCCAGGCACAACTGGGTGTGCCTCCTACCACACCAAAAAAAAAAAAAATTAGGGGAATTTTAAAAATTTATTGGTTTTTTTGAAGCATACCTGTAGTGCACAAGGTTTATTTACTCCTGGCTCTGCAGTCAGGCATCAATTTTGGAGGGCCGACCATATGGGATGCTGGGAATTGAACCCAGGCCTGCCTTGTATAAGGCTAGTGCCCTACCCACTATACTATTGTTTCGCCCCCCCAGAAAACTTTATTAATATGAGAAGGCAACAGTGTGATAGATATATAAAATCTATACAAATAATTTGGGTGGGGGGGTGGCAGGGGTGATGAGTGCCTTCTTGGGGGAAACCATGTGAAACTTGAGTTTTCTGCATGCTTTGCAAGTGCTCGATACATTGAGCCATCTCTCCAGCTCAAGAAATTTTTAAAAATACTTTATTAGGTAGATAAATAGAGTTGGGCCACATCCAGTGGTACTGGGGCTAACTCCAGCTCTGCATTCAGGAATTATTCCTGGTTGTGCTGGGATACTCTATGTGCCAGGAACTGAACTCAGGTTGGGAGCATACAAGGCAAATGCTGATTTTCCAAATGCATTCCAAGTATTGTTTTTATGTAAATGTCTGTAAGCCTCCTTGATACCTACTTTCCCTTAAAGGTATACTGTCTACTCAGATTCTGGTATTTCTTTAATAACTATAAAAAGTTCATTACAGTAGTTATTCTCTATAGTTTCTTACAATTATGTCTATAACTACTTTTTGTATTATAAAGATGTATAATTATCTAGTCATAAATGCCATTTGTTGATGTTATCTGAAAAAATATTATTTCAAAGACAAATTATTTTTATAATCATGTTCTTATATCTAACAGAAAAAATATACCCTGAAAGTGTTATTTTTTCTGATTTGGAAGTTTAAGAAAATTTTCTCAAAGTGTTTCTTAAGCTAAGTCAAACTTTCTTTTTATGACTATTCTTTTTTTTTTTAATTTGAGAGCCACATCTGGCAGTGCTAAAGGGCTATTCCTTGCTCTGTCCTCAGGAGTGACCTCTGATGGTGCTGGTACAGTGCTCGGGATTAAACTTGGGTCAGCTACATGCTGATTGTACTTCTAATATGATCTCTCCAGGCCTAAAAAGCTGCATTTTCTGTCTCAGTATTGGGCTTAGGTTTAGTATGCTATTAACCAAAATGATTCAGTGCTTTCAAGGAATAGCATAGACATTAAAGAGTATTTTTTCCAAAGTTGTAATTTGTTTTCAGTTCAGTTACTCAACCTCAAGGGAGCCTTCTAAATTTTTATTTAGCCACCATATGCAGTATGGGAAGCAGGAACAACCAGATGATTCAGAAATGAAATAAAAACTACTATACTGTATAAGTGACGTCTTATTTTTACAGGAAATTTCTAAATAATTACATTATGACCTCATTTGACTTTCCTATTTGGCTGTTCTTTAAATTATTTTTTCCTTTAAGTTTATTCCACCTAGTTTTGGTAAAGACTAAATAATTGATAAGCAAAGAATTGAAAGTGTTAGTGTTAGCATTAGCATAATTTTTTGTTTTAAACTGAAATTTTGGGCTGGAGCGATAGCACAGCGGGTAGGGTGTTTGCCTTGCACACAGCTGACCCAGGTTCTATTCTTCTGTCCCTCTTGGAGAGCCCCTCAAGCTACTGAGAGTATCCCGCCTGCACGGCAGAGCCTCACAAGCTACCCGTCATGTATTTTATATGCCAAAAACAGTAACATCAAGTTTCACAATGGAGATGTTAGTTGTGCCCGCTGGAGCAAATCCATGAACAATGGGAGGACAGTGCTACAGTGCTAAACTGAAATTTTAAAACTCTTATATTTTATTTTAAGTTGTGAATTGTTTAGGACTTGGAGAGATAGTTCAGTGTTCTAGAATGCAATGCTTTGCATACAGTAGTCCTGAGTTGATTCCTAGAACTGCATGGTCCCTGAACACTGCAAGGAGTGACCGTGCGTACAGAGGCAAGAGTAGCATGTATTATTCACTTATTAATATACTCATAAAATGTCTTGAGATCCTGCTTTTAATACATTCTCTGGTTATATTGGTGAATGCAAGTGTTTGCCCTTATGGGTCTGGAACTTAAATTTGTAAGTTTCACCAAAAAATAAAAAAAGCAGTAACACTTAGCATGACTGGTATTTCTAACTTAATCTTGAAATTCTGTTTGGGGGATGAGATAAATGTAGTAGATAAGGCACTTGCCTTCTACATGGCCAACCCTGGTTTGATCTTTGGCATCCAACATGATCCCCCAAAACTGCCAGTAGTGATCCCTACATATAGAGCCAGGAGTAAGCTCTGTGGACAGCTGGTTGTGGCACAGAAAAACAAGAAACAAAGGAAAAGAAAAATATCTGTGTGGCAAGTTAAGACCCAGTTAATAAATATCATCACTTATTTAGTTGTCACTCATTTCTATTACTGACTTCTTAATATATCATTTACTCCAAAAGCAGGTGCTGTTAATATTCAAAGCAGACCACAAAGCCACAGCAGTGGAGAATTTAGTCTGCTTCATGATTATGAGGCTTGGTCCAGCAGTGGTAGCAGTCCAATTCAGTACTTGAAAAGACAAACCAGATCAAGCCCAGTGCTTCAGCACAAAATGCCTGAAACATTAGAGAGTCGAACATATCACAAGATAAAAACTGGGTCCCCTGGAAGTGAAGTTGTAACTCTCCAACAGTTTTTGGAAGAAAGCAGCAAGCTTACCTCAATACAGGTTAGTTTTCTTTAAAGTGAAATTAATTTAGGTGGACAAAATAAAGTTATATGCTTGAATTTTAGAGCTTTGATTTTTAGCTAAGGGGTACGTAAAGATACTTAAAGACAATTTTGTATTAATTGTCTAATGCAAGTGATTTTCAATATTAATATTTGTGAACCAACATCAATCTGCACACTGATTGTTGAAAACCTCTGATCCGAACTGATTCAGGTATATCAGTAGTACAACATTTGGGCACCTCTGGGCTGTCATTCATTCACAGATCAGCAGTTGAAACCATTGGTCTAAAGTATAAAGTAAAATCATGGTTGTATTTCACTATGTTGCTTTTGTTTTTTATTTTAACAGATAAAATCCTCAAGTCAAGAGAATCTTTTAGATGAAGTAATGAAAAGTTTATCTGTCTCCTCTGACTTTTTGGGAAAAAATAAGCCAGTTAGCTGTGGCCTGGCTAGGTCAGTAAGTGGAAAAGCCCCAGGAGACTTCTGTGATAGACGGACAACTAAACCTGAACAATTTGTGAGACATGATCCTCGAAAGACTGAGGATACTTCCTTCAGTAGTTCTCCAGGGAAACCTACTCAAGGAAAGAGAAAATTAGTAAAAGAAACTTCTTTGTCAAGACAATCAAAAGATAGTAATCCTTATGCCACTTTACCTCGTGCAAGCAGTGTGATCTCTACTGCTGAAGGAACTACCCGGAGGACAAGCATCCATGATTTTTTGACCAAGGACAGTAGATTACCTGTATCAGTTGATTCGCCACCAGCTACTGTTGATAGCAACATCACTGCAGCATCTAGTGAGTACTGTTTGCATCAGTGGTCCTTTCATACACCCCATAGTCCCACACATACTGTAGTTTCACATACACAAAATGATTTAACTATCTCTACACCTCTATACACCCAGACTGGAATCTCAAGAACAGAAAGGTCACATTTTCTAAAACAGACTTTTGCTCCTATTAATACAGCTAATGATACATCTAGAATATTAGCTAAAGATTGCTTAGAGTCATTTACAGTGGCTCATCCATCTCAGACATTTTTATCCCTGAATACAGAATTAGTTAGTAATATTAGTGGGTTACCTCCTAGACCAGTCATTAAGTTAACTGATCAAGCTTCTGCTTCTTTGGATAAAGCTGCACAAAAAGATAATGAACAATTTTCTGATAATCAGAGCCCTAGCAATAGTAAACCACAGTCTTTTGTAGATAGCAGTAATATTGCCATTTCTGCATGCCTCTATCCTAATGACACGGAAGCAGAGTTGTTAGTTTCTGAGGATAATCAGACTGTTTGGTATGAATATGGTTGTGTATGATTAGAATTGCACAATAGGGGCCGGAGCGATAGTACAGTGGGTAGGGTATTTTCCTTGCAGGCGGCCAACCCAGGTTCGATCCTTGGCATCCCACATGGTCCTCCAAGCACTGCCAGGAGTGATTCTTGAGTGCAGAGCCAGAAGTAACCCCTTACCATCACCGGGTGTGATTCAAAAAGCCAAAAAATAAAATAAAATAGCATAATAATAGGGCTCTTGTCATTTGATAGATGTATACTTCTGTAATCTGATTTGAAGAGCTGTTAAAAAGTATAATTTGACTGGGCTTATTTTTGTTTTGAAATTGTGGCTACTGTTCAACTGTACTTGATGGCATGTATATAAATGTGAATGTGTAAGCACATCAAAGCCTGCATGAAATAATGATTGCATTGTGCATTTTCTTGCATGACTTTGAAAACTTTTAAATATTTGTTCTTCTTTTATTTCTTGTCACTTGATAAGAGATGTTTCTTTGACATGTAGAAGCATGTTAAAATAGTTGCATGTTATTATTACCAAGAAAATATTTCCATGTCATATTTACTTTGTTGCTTTTCAAAAGGATGCTCATTTTCTTGTTTCCCTTTTGCTTTCCTTCCTTCTCTTCTTACCTCTTCTCACTTTTTCCCCAGAACATGCGCTTCATGTTGTGCATGTACAGTTTTGGTAAGAAAATATGTAAAAGATGTCATTTCCTTTTGCCATTTAATTATGCCTTTTGTTTTATTTTTAAAGAAATAATTAAAGTTAACACCATGCAGCAAGTTTTAGCTATTGCCCATATTTATAAGTTTTTCAGATTTCAAACACTGTCAGTGCTCACAAATTTAGTGTAATTCTTTTTTTCAAAATAAGAACAAGAAGTTTAAATGTAACTTATATAGGTGAACGAGAGCATTTGTTATTTATTTCTTTCCTGAGCTTCATCTTAAAAATGCAAGAGTTCAAATAGCTTCAAGATGTCTTTTTACATGGAATCAGTTAACATAGTAATCTTCCCAGTTCTTATAGAAAAAATACAAAGAAAAATAAACCAAGTCATACTTATTTTGTTGGAAATCTGCATTTTTGACTTATATTCAAAGGGGGAGTTAGCTAATAAAGTAGTAAAGGTGGTTCCTTCTGTTATTCTGTAACTTATTTATTGGTAAATTAGACCTAGTCTGTCTTTCAAGCAGAATTTTCTAAAGTGAGTGCATTGTGCTAAGGTAAAATGTGAAGTTAATATTTGCAGTAATTCAACAAGTTTGTTTTTAGTAGGACAAATTGTAGAATTAAGAGTACACATAAATCTCCAGGGATCTGAGTCACCTGCTGAGCCTGCCTTGCATTTGATCCTCTCTTTGTCTGTCTCTCTGTCTCTCTCTCTCTGTCTCTCTCTCTCTCTCTCTCTCTCTCTCTCTCTCTCTCTCTCTCTCTCTCTCTCTCTCTTTCTCTCTCCCATGCCCCCAAATGCACAGAAGGAGTGGGCCAGGATGTAACTTAGCAATAGAGCCACATTCCTTACATTTATGTTGCCCTGGGGCCACAATAAATAAATAAAAGGAAATAAAAAGGAAAAGGAGATAGAGAAAATATGACTAATTCTGAGTCATACCAAAAACTTAAAATGATCTTTTCATGGTTTGGCGGGGGTGTAGTGGGGCAACTCCTAGCTCTGTGCTCAGACACTTCTTAGTGGTACTTGGGAACTATCTGTGGTATGAGGGGTTCAAACCAGGGTTGGTGGGGTGAAAGGCATCCTGAACTGTCTCTCTGGACCATTCCAGGGGTCCTATTTTTCTCTTTTAGGCAATTGTAAAAAGGGCCTCTCGTTTAAGGCAAGAATTACCACTGAGCTACATCCCTGACCTTTATAATACTAATTTTTATTTTCTGTTTTGAGGCTGTACTAATGGTGCCCTGGTCATTCTCAGTGGTACTCAGGAGAACTTATATGGAGCTGGGAATTGAACCTGGGCCTCCTGTACGCAAAGCATGTGTCTACCATTGAGCTATCTGGATTCTACTTTTATGTTGTTTTATTGTTTTTTGTTCTCGGGCCGCACACTGCTCCTCAAGAGATTACTACTGGGATGGTACTCAAGGGATGGAGCAAGGGATAGAACCAAGGGCACATTGTGACCTTTGAATCATGTGCCCAGTCCTCCCATATAGCACTTTTAAGCAGAATCAGCTGCACTTACTTCTGGAGGAGTATCTCTTAACTCTTTTTCTGTAATGTTTATGTCATTTTTCTTCCTCCTAAAACTGAGCTACTCATCTAGAAATGTTTTAAAATGTAACTTCATAGACGGAGAAAATTATTATGGTTTATATGTTGTTAAATTTTTGTTATTATTATTAGTTGGACCAAAGGAAAATATAGAGAACTTTTACTTAGTGAAAGTTTTACCTTTGTAAATTAAGCCAGCTTCCAGTACGTACCATTTTGTACTTACCAGGAACAGGGACACTTCTGTTTGTATCTTTGACCATAGGTTTTATTACAATAAAAAGTTATCCTAGTGGAGATAACCAAATGAACATAATCAGACATTTTATTTTCTTAGGACCACCTAAAATATTTTCTATGTGAAGATATTAATCCTCTTTATTCTCAGCTGCTTCACAGTCATTCCTAGCATTTAAACATTTTTTGGTGTTGCCTTTTTAAAAAAATAACCTAGTAATAAAATTTAATAGGAAATATAAGTGATATTAGGGTCAAAAATGAATCAAATATAATATTCATTGTTAGTTCTTTTCAACATTGAGTTAAGAATTACTTTAAAATATTTCAACTTTTTAGGGGCAGGGAGGGTGCTTGTCTTGCACACGATCAACCTTCATTTGATTTCTGGCACCCTGTGTGCTCCCCCAACACCATCATCAGGAGTGATTCCTGAGTGCAGAGCCAGGAGTAAACTCAAAGCACCGACAGGTGTTACAAAACAAAAACAAAAGAATCCAACTTTTTAAGATATTAATCTGATAAACTTTACATTTATTTATTCAGTATATGCTGAGAATCATTTATCATTATATTAAACACATGATTATGAAAAAATTGACTTTATAGGGCTGGAGGGATAGTATAGGAGTTAAAGTGCTTGCCTTGCATATAACCTATCTTGGTACCACATATGGTCACCCTGAGTACTGCTAAGTTCACTAATAAGTTCTAGTGCCTGCCCCAACCAAAAAAAAGGAGAAAAGAGAAAAAGAAAAGAAAATTAGACTTACATGAAATAATTTTGGTGCGGAGGGTGTGTTTGGACCATACATAGTGATACTCAGAACACCAAGTAGAGCTGAGAACTAAAGCAGAGACTCCTGCATGCAAAATATGTGCTTCAACACTTTGAGTCAGAACCCTGGCCCAGGAAAACAATGTTTCCCAAATAATTCAAATTACTTTGGTTATAAATATTCCATATTTTCAAAAAGAACATACTATGCACGTAAGACATAATGTAAGTGTAGATGTCATGAGTGTTGTCTGAGAATAAAGACTAGATACCACCCAGAGGGTACTAGAGCAGTAGTACAAGGGCTAGGGCTCTTGCCTTGCATGTGGCTGACCTGGGTTCAATTCCTTGTAACCCCATTATGGTTCCCTGAGCACAACCAAAAGTGATCCCCAAAACAAAACAAAAAATAAAAATTTCATCCAGAAACTATGACCATCTCTGGGGTCACAAAAATTCCCTTAAAACATTGATTTATTACCTGTTTGTTAACCAGAAGATTTATCTGTGGGGAGAAATGGAGAATGAAATTCTCCAGATACCCTCAAATTTAAAAAAAGAATAATAATAAGACTTTTCAAGAGAAAAGTTGAAGCAGCGCCTAGTTGAGTAGCTACATGTGTCTTCCTCTGTCATTACCTTTGATACTCTCTGGCTTCACAAAGGATTGTTTGGTATACTATTTGAAGGCTCAGTTCCCTTATAAATGATAAAATATTAAATGCTCTCCTATAGGTTTCTATTTTTCCTGCCACTTGTAAATTTATATTGCTAGTAACTTAGTTCCCCTTAACCAGAAAAAAAGCAGTATAATATGCCTCAGACTTTCTAAGTAAATGATACAAATACTCCATTGTTGTTACTTCTCAGTTACATGGAACATTAGTTTTTATTTTAAAATTTTATGTGATCATTTCATATAATAAGTAAACCTGAATGATTCTAGGAAGAACTATTCAGGAAGAACTGAATACATTAGTCATAACTTTTATTTATTTTTGAGTGTGGAGTTCACACCCTGCGATGCTTAGGGCTTAGTCCTGGCTCTGTGCTTAGAGATCACTCCTGGAAGGGTTTGGGGAACTGTATGGGGTGCTGGGGACAAAACCCAGATTGGCTTCATGTAAGGCAAATGCCTGCCCACTATACTATCTCTCCAGCCCCAGTAATAGCTTTTAAAACATCAAGTTCAATAGCCAGAGAGAGATCTCAATGGATTGGGCACTGGTTTTGTATGCAAGAGGCTCAGGATTGATCCCTGGGACTTGCATTGCATGGTTCCCTGAGCACCAAAATCCCCAAGTACTGCGCTAGGAATCAGTAGATAAAGTCCCCAAACCCAAAACAACTGAAAACAACAAACACCAGTTTTTTAAGTAATTAGCTATTGGATAAATAAATTTCTCTGTTAGCTTCCTTCCTTCTTTACTCAGTGAGAGTGCTATGGTTTCTGATCTTCATGAAGTGTATTTTTTTAACCTTTGATTAAATAACATGAAATGCTTTTCTCCTGCAGATATGGACAAAGTACAAGAAAGCAGAAATTCAAAAAGCAGGTCTAGGGAGCAACAAAGCTCCTAATTCTTTTACCCACTACATGACATGTGGGCAAGTGGTGAGTTTCTTGCTTAAAATGTAAATGAGATTAGTCTCATTTATACAGACTAACTGCATTATATTTAAGAAGTGCTCATTGCATTAACAGATGTAAATATTGCTTGCTTAATTCATGACTTTCTGTATTCCTTACTAGTAAAACAAGATTAGTTAAATGGCAGTTACTTAAATGGCAATCGCCATTTAAGTTTTATTTGTCAGTGCAAGAAACCTTTAAAAAATTATTTATCCCCTCAATGTAAATATGATTTAAAAGTTCCTTTTTCAGTTTGAAGTCCTTATGTTTTTGCGGTAGGAGTGCATCTTCTCTACTGTTGTCTCATTAATTGAGAATAAATGCCTTTTCTAAGATGATATACTTAAAGGAAATTTGCTTGTTGACTGTCACTCTATCATTTCTATAGCAGTGTTTAGTGCATGCTGTTCCTAAAGTGGCTGCTCTATATTTTACATCTCTCTTATCTTCAAGTATTTCTTATTTTTTCTTTCTTCTTTCTACCTTCCAACTATATACAGAGAGAAAAGTGTCCTTCAGTTTCTCAGTATGAAGCCTTTATTTCTGAAGTAACAAGACACTCAACTATAGGAAACATTTAAAAAATATCTTTAAGGAGACTTTAAACAATCCTTCGTGACTAGAGCAGGCAAGAAATACAAATCTTCCTTCCTTGAATCAAGGAGCACTACTGGAGTCAACTGCCAAAATTGTTAGGTTTTAGGACTTATTATACATTGTACTGTTAAAATCTGATGAATAAAGGATATTCTCTCACTAAGGACCAAGTATTGGAAGGTTTCAAGAAAGACTCCAAGAACAATCTACTTCTTTGATCATTTGTTTATGAATATTTCCATGTTTGCTTAATGCTTCTGCTAAGTAGTAGCCAAAATCTAGCCATTTATATTTAGTTGTGTAAATCTAATTAAATGCTGTAGTATGTTGTGGAATGTACTATATATTAAGATACAGAGTACGTTGTTTTGGCATGTCAGAGCCTTATTTGGCTAGCCGACTGCATGTGTGTGTGGGTGTGGGTATGGGTATGGGTATGTGTGTGTGTGTGTGTGTGTATGTGTGTGTGTGTGTGTGTTTGTGTTTTAAGCCATTTACTTTTGTGTGCTACAAAAGAAATTCGGTTATAAATCTCAAGAACATAATGAGACTACAAAAATTACAGTTAATATTAATCTTTCTGTATTCCCCATGAACACTTACACATTCATTTCGTTCATTGATCCAAGGTGGTAAGAGTGTTTTTCTGAAATTTTTTAGTAAGGTAGTTTCAAGAAAATAATATTCCCAAGAAAAAACTGTTGTATTTTAATTCATTCCCTTTCTTTAGCATTCAGTTATGTATGTGTGTGTGTTTTTAACTTGAGAGCTGACTGTTGCTTAAGAAGTTTTCTTAGGGCAAAATTAATGTAAATAACTTACTTTTTTTCCAGAAACTCATTTATTAAGGTTATTGTTTATTAATAAGAATTTTTCTGCTTTCTTTATAATATTACATATTAAAGTTGGTAGCTGTTATTGGTACTTTTGAAATATTTGTATGAATTTGTTACCTTAAACATTTGAGGGAAGCACAAAAAAAGTAAATTCAGTTAACCCAGGGAAACATCAATTTTTTGTAGCTCCAGTTTTATAACACAGTTTTATTTTCTTATGCATTCAAAAACGCATTGGTACTTATTAATGCAAATTTTTTATTTAACATAAATATCAGAATATTCTTAATGGTCTTAAATGAAAAATATAATGACTTTTTGTTTAACAGTATACTTCTTAGGCTTTCATTACCAGCTCGAAATATCTTTTGGAATAATTTCATATCCTATTCTGTGTGGTTTATGAACTGTGTTTTATTACTAACCCAGTAGCATGAGAAATACGTGTCTTCCTTCCCTAGTTCTTCCCTACTTTATTTAGTAGGCCAGTAGCATGTTATATTCATAATCTACTTCAGAAAGTCCAAATTAAGAAGAAAGACAGCATGTGTAGTTGACCAGAAATTGAAATGGAAGTTAGAGAACTTGGTTTTATTTAACTTAATTCTGTCATTAATTTAGATTTTGCCACCAAATAATGCTGTAAAGTATGTCACTTATAAACTCTTGAATGAAAGGTGCTATGTAAGTGTAAATACAAAAGATTCTTACAAAAATACAAATATTGCACAACAGACATATTTAAAACCTATTCTCTAGATTTTGAAACATTATCTCTCCAACATGACTCCCTAGATCCAAGTATCAATTTGATAACGGACGTCAGGGCTATCTAGAGACACTTGTGTGTAAAAAAAATGTAAATTCATTTTTAGGTGGATGAAATAAGAGTAAATACAGATATATGTTTAGCTAAATACTTTAAGTGGGTAATTTAGATTTATATTAACTAGCATCTAATTTGCACAACTAGGACACATCCCAGGACAGTGACTGAAAGTTGAAATTTAATTATTAAGATTTGTCCTAATGAGGTGAATGCTGTCACAGATTAACCTCTCCAGAACAGTAATCCTACAACAGAGAACATTCCACACAAGTGGTACACTATTGCTTAGAATAAAAAATGGTTAAGGGCCATCTATAAAGTACTGAATCTAAGCAGCCTGGCCCTGAGAAAATGCAGTTAGAGGAACCAAGGGAACACTTGAAAACACTGCAAAAGTACGAATTTCCCCATTATATTCATCACTGTTTTTGTACCGTTTCAAGGACTAGGTAATAACCATAGAAGTATTTTATTTCCCCCAAAAAATAACATGCCAACTTAGTAGAAAGTCACTTTTTTCCCTTAAACTTCCACCAAATAAAATTGTGGCCAACTGTAAACTAACTGACCATTTTCCTATTTAGACCAGAAATGCTTGTAGTTCTCTTAATTCCATTCTAAATTAAGACCTCAATCCCCAATGAAAGCTGAAGAATTCAGGAGACAAGAGACTCAGTACAGTGGGTACAGCACTTGCCTTGCAAGCAGCCAACCCAGGTTCAATCTCCAGCACCATGTATGGTCTCCTGAGCACAGCTGAATCTGGCTCCAAAACAGAGCTGAAGAATTTAATATAAAGGGAATCATTTTCACCCAGAGCTCCCATCATATAGCACTTCCAATTGGCCATGTGGGTATGTTTGGCCCAAATTTTTGAACTGGTGGTTACCAAAGAGTTCACAAATCAGGTTTGTATGTAGCACCTTTCATGCAAGGCATGGTAAGAGCCTATTAAAAAGCACTGTGCATATTACAGAATAACAGCCACCTCACAGATTATAGCCTGCTCTATCTTATCGGTTTGTTAAGAAGTGGAAAAGATGTACCAAATCTGGAATTAAAATTAGGAGTAATAACGTATGCTAAATGACTTTGTATTTTAAGTTTTTATGATAAAAATGAATTTCTTTTCTGATACATTTAGTCCTGAGATTTTTGTTTTGTTTTGTTTTAAGCCTTGAATGAATAATACAAAAGGAGGGAGCCCAGTTTATAAAGTAAACCGTGATGTACATGTTGAGACATTTCAACAGCAATGAAAATGCCTTATGGATAAAGTTGCACTTACAACACCCTTTAACAAAACCTGATTTTAGATTTTTTTTTAAATCAAGGGTTCTCTTTTTCTAAGTTTATAATTTTATTTATAATTGTTATTAAATACCAAGTCAAATAATATAAAAAGCTGTAACATTTCCTTTACAAATACTAAGAGATTTACAATGCTATTAAGGGATTTGGATTTTAATGGCAAAATGTTACTACTGACAATATCTAAAACAGTCACAGTTCAATTCATAACAAAAGACACCATAGCTTGATTTTGTAATTTTAAACCAAACAATTTTTAGCTTTTAACTTTATTTCTTAAAGTTTTTAATTGGTCTAACATTCACTTATCAAACTGTTATAAAAAGAAATAAAACAGGTGGTTTTTGTAACAAGTGGTTAATAATCATTTTAAAAATAATACAATCTTAGCCAAATGCTATACTTTGATTTTCCTGTCTCCCAGAAAACTTATTTTCACATATGGCTTAGATCCTTGTTTAAATAATTCTCTCCAGCTAAGTCATTTAGGGATAAATATTGAGGATATGCCAGAGAGAGCGCAAAAGAGAGAGAGCGCAAAGGAGAGAGAGAGAGAGAGAGAGAGAGAGAGAGAGAGAGAGAGAGAGGAAATTTGCCTGTGTGTTGTCAATCACAAAATAACTTGAAGTGCAATCTAATAGTTATACAAACAAATCTCTCACTTTATTTAACATATTTTAGGAGGCAAAATGTTAAGAGAAAGTAGTCGACCTTGAATTCTTGTGTAGAATGTTATTTTTAGGTCTGTTTTCAAGCATAAGGTATGGAAGGGCAATTTGTCCAGATAAGGTCCTCCATGTCTTTGATTGTAATAATTTCATATATAGGGTAACCTGAATTTCCTCTTAAAAATATGAGAGATGATGAAAGCTAACATGGCACCTAAGAAATATTTATGAAGAACATTTCTTACTGTTATTTATTTTTTTTAAAGAGTGATCCAGCAGTGTTTGGGACTTAATCCTGACTCTGCTCAGGGATCATTCCTGGTGAGGTTCAGGAGATCATATGCTGTGCTAATCTGATTAAACCCGGGTTGGCCTCATGCAAGGCAAATCCCTACTCACTTTACCCTCTCCAGGTACTAACTAAATTGACCTATCTTAAATCTAGTCTATATATATATTTTTTTTTTAAGAGAATTTTCCCATGGCAGTGCCAGGAATTAAGGCCCATGCCTTGCATATACCCAGGTTTGATCTCTTGCTCCCCAAACATCTCTTGAGTGTAGCCTTTGGAGGTCTCCAGTAGTGGCCAGGGTTAAGCCCTGGCACCACAGGGCCTGACCAGTGCCAAATCCTCAGGCCCTAGCATTGAACCACTACCCAGTTGGGCCCATTTGACCAAAGAGTCACCAGGAGGGGATCCTATGCCTCCTGAGCGCTGTTGGGGAGAACCCCCAAAATTCAACCAGGAGTAGACATCTGATTTATAGACATTTTAAAGTTTTATTTTGCCTTTTAGCAACAGATTAGTGTCTGTACCAGGGGGAAATTTCAATGATCAAACTTAAGAAAATATAGTAATCATAAAAACATTCCATTTGATTCCTTGTGCTAAAGGAAAACATAATAATTCTCATGACAATGTTTTTGTAGTTAAGTTTTTGTCAGACCCTCAACTGAAGGGTTTTATTTTGAGGGAAAATGTCAGTGTTCCTCTATTATTGACCCATTTTCTTATAAGGCAACTGACAATAGATTAGTGTAGATTCTTTTAGTATTTCAGAAATCATAGTTCAAAGGAGACAAAATTTAAATTAGAACAAAGAGAAATTTATTCAAGTACGTTCACATTTCTAATCTTTGAACAATTCCTAAACAAATCCTTAATAACTTGTTAGTTTTAAAATTAATTTTAGGCTCAATATTTAGCTTAGTTTGGGTGTGTGAGGTCCTGGTTTCAATCCCCATTATCACTAAAATAAGTTAATTGTATTAGAATAATGATAAAACATTTTCCATTTGAGTGTTTTTGTATATTAAAACTTTATAGATATACTTCATGGAAAGTTAATTTCCACTAGGGGGAAAAATGGTTTAAAAACACCGGATAATAGTGTTTGCCTTTGGTTCCTGATCACCTGTATTTCATTTTAGGCACCTTAGTTTACAAACTAATTGGTGGGTTTTCATATATGAAATACATAATGCTCTTTGCTGCAAATTTCTTGCTCCCCATTCCACATTCTCTAAAGATCGCCATTATCAATAATTTATTTCTATATTCCTTTTGATTTCTGTGCCTATACTAACAAGGATACTTTTATATATGCTATTTTTTACAACTTGTTTTCATCTATAATGACCATCCTAAAGATGATAGTTAACACGTTAGTCAATTTGTCTTTAGTCTCAGTGTTAATTTATTCTTAATTACTTAAGGTTTTCCTATAATGAATAATGTCTTGAGGACTTAGAGGATGAAATGTCTGTCTGAACTGACTAAAATTACCTACTATCTTCTTTTTAAAAAATATCCTTGGGGTGGGAATGTGGGTCAGTTGGAGAGCATGTACCTAGCATTTTAAATGAGTGGGTTCTACCCCCAGAATCAAAAAATGTAAAAACTTTTGAATTTAGATCAAATATTTCTCCTAAGATGATTTTGATAGTCATCAATCCTAGGTGCTAAGTATTCTTAATTCTTTTAAATGCTATTTGTAAATTATAAACAGGAAGAACAACATTCAGAAATAAATTTATTCTAAGCATTTGCCAAGTTAGCTGTTTGTTTATTGCGGGGTTGTGGGGGGCTCCCAAGCAGTACTCAGGAGGTCTGGGGCCTCTCCTCAAGGTGTTGGGTCGGGAGGCCTCCAGGGCTGAATGGGGATGGTGGTAACCAGCATGTGGTACCAGAGATCAAACTCAGGTTTGGTCAATGACTGAGTCATTTCCCTTGCCCCAAATTAGGTATTTTTATCAAAATTTATTATTATTGGATCGTGTCCTGTATTCTTCACGAAAGTGAGAAAGTCTTCAGGGCTCAATCCCATGGTCGCATCGTTAGTCATTGGATGAAAGTAGACCTTTTCATGTCCACCTTCCAAAAAAGCAGAATCCAGAACAAATTTCACATCTCCGTGGTCACAAAAGAGTGCCAACGGTGTGGCACAGCCTTGTCGAACTTGAAGTTTTTCAAGCATGGCTGATTCATCAGCAAATCGTAGATTTCCACTTCCAACACCTAACTGTTTGGCAAGATCATTTAAATTAATTTGTCTATCATGAAGAACTGTCACCAGCCAGTAGCCTTTTTTCTTTTTGTCTTTAAGAAATAAGTTCTTGCTGTGTGCTCCTTTCAAATGCTGGATGTGAGGCATCATTTCTTCAACTGTAAAGACCTGTAAACATGACAATAAGGTTAAGAATAAATACATGTGTACATACACACACACTTCACATTAAAGGACCATTGTTTTGATTGCTGAAAAGAGGTAAGATTTGGGGATACTCAGTGCCTTCATCACTGTTAAACCCATCCCCAGCACATTAACAAACAATAAGCCCCATCTCAGTTACTCCTTGAGACATCAAGCAGGCTCTGTATACCAGTATTGTATTTCTATGTTTCAGTAAAAAGGATTTTAAACACATGACGTTCATGGTAGTTCAGACTGGGTTTTCAGCATATGTGACAGCCTCCACGCTACAAATAAGTAACCACAGGGAGGGCAACTCATAATGTTAAGAAAGCAGGCGACATAATGGAATACTATGCAGCTGTTGGGAGAGATGGTAAAGGTAAAGGCCCTCCCGTTGATCATCGATTTGCTCGAGTGGGCCCAGTAACGTCTCCATTGGAGACTTTGTTATTACTGTGTTTGGCATATCGAATGCGTCACAGGGAGCTTGCCAGGCTCTGCCGTGTGGGCGAGATACTCTCGGTAGCTTGCCGGGCTCTCCAAGAGGGGCAGAGGAATCGAACTCGGGTCGGCCATGTTGGCTGCGTGCAAGGCAAACATCCTACCGCTGTGCTATCGCTCCAGCCAAGTCATGAAATTTGCTCATAAGTGTATAGACATGGAGAGTATCATGCTTAAGTGAAATGAGTCAGAAAGAGAGGGACAAATACAGAAGGACTGCACTCATTTGTGGGGTATAAAATAACATAACATGAGACCAACACCCTAGGACCGTAGATATAAGGGCCAGGAAGATTGCTCCATAGTTGGAAGCCTGCCTCATGAGTGGAGGGGAGAAAGCAGCTGGAATAGAGAAGGGATCACTAAGAAAATGAGGGTTGGAGGAATCAGTTGTGATGGGAGATGTGTGCTGAAAGTAAGTAAAGACCAAACATGATAACCTCTCAGTATCTATATTGCAAATCATAATGCCCAAAAGTAGAGAGAGAGTTTGGGGAATATTATCCGCCATGGAGGCAGTGGGAGGGTGGGAAAGGAGGGGATACTGGTGGTGGGACGGTGCACTGGTGGAGGGATTGGTGTCTGCTCATTGTGTGATTGTAACTCAAACATGAAAGCTTGTAACTATATCTCAAGGTGATTCAATAAAATTTTAAAAAATAAAAAGAAAGCAGAGGAATGTGACCCTATGGGAGGGAGGTCAAAGAATGAAAGGATTCTGATATTAAATATGTCAAGGTGAGAAAGATCGATTCCTAATATTCCTTTGAAAATCATCATCCACACATATCGTCCCCACATATGTGTCTTTGTAGCACTCTTACTCCACACATTAGTTCCAGTTAATATTGCAATGCAATCTTCTCATCACTAAATCACGTAAAAATGTATAACTACTATGCTTGATGTCCTGCTGTAGATGTTTGATGCCTGATAAATTTAGCCACTTCATGGACGATTTACTTCTTGAAAATTGTAGATGCAAAAAACCTCAGTGTTGGCTAAGTTCTCATTAATGTGATCAAGTCACTACAGGAGGGAAACATACGTTTCCCACTATACAACTGAGAATTTTTATCCTTTCCTAATCTAACCTGCGAAATGCCCCGAGAAAAGGCGTTCTGGGGCAGAGCGCCCCAAACCTCACACGCTGGACACTGCAGCAGAGCCCACCGATTCGACCCGGGTGTTGGGGCAGGGCACCTCACCTCAGGGTGTTCCACGACCTCGGTGTGGATGGCCAGGGCGCCGAGGCGCTGCTCTAGCTCGGCCCGCAGCGCAGAGCTCGCCATGCCGAGACGTGGCCGCAGCAAAGCCAAGGGGCGGAACTGCGCGTGGCCCCGCCACCGCCGCCCACGGAAGTGCCCAGAGCGCGGTGCCGGAAGCCTAGGGAATCCCACGCCCCCTTGGAGAGGACCGCTCTCGTTCTCAACGTTTTAAACCTTTTACAACGTCTGGCTGGGGGAGCCGTAGTACAGCGGCTCGGGCGTATTCCGTGCACTCGGGTTCGGTCTTCGGCATCCCTTTTAAGGTCCCCCGAGACCCGCCAGCAGTGACCCCTGAGCACTCCTGAGCGTTGCCTCAAAACAAAAAATGTTTTAGCAGTTACTATAGAGGGGTCATCCGTGGGGTGCAAACGGAAGACTTTAAGACCTTCTGAAAACAGTAAACTATGAATTTGCACACGCGAAACTGACGGAGGAAATTAGAAAGGAGGGATCCCAGAGGATACAATTTAACATAGACGTTGAAGAGCACAATTGAAAAAATTAAGCTTATTCTTGTTTTCCTTTAAAGACCCCAATTCTTGGGTCTTCGATATATATTGGAGATGGGGCGGAGGGGACAAACACCCGGTTGTACTCAGATCTTTATTCCTGACTGCTCTGGGAAGGAACCCAGGTAGGCTGTGAGGGGAGGCAAGCGCTCTACCGCTCTACTATTGCTCCGATAAAGTTCCTATTTTACACTTTCCATATTTTATTCCTTGGAAGAAAATCACTAAACCCACTCACTCTGTAGAGGGAAATTAAGTTCCTTCCCCTAAGGGAAGGTTATATACAAATACATATTCCCCAAGGGCACCCACTTCAAACACTCAGTCCGAGCAGCTAGAAGCTATTCTGAATTCCAATTCCCAAATTCCGGGAAGAACCGCTTCCGGCGGCACCGGAAGTTCGATGGGGGGCGTTTGAGGGACGGACTCACCTAGGGGCGTTTCTCCCGGGCCGGAAGATGAGCTCCGCCGGGTTCCAGAATCCTGAGCTCCCTCAGTAGCAGCTAAGTGAGTGGGGTCCCTTAGCCGGGTCGTGCCGGGTGGCATCCTTAGTTCGGCCCAAAGTGTCAGTAGCACAAGTCATCCACAGGACTCATTCGGAAGCTTTTCCTCGACACACTCACTCGGCGCGCGACCCCGCCGTGCCTCTTGCCCACCCCCAGCGCCCGCCGTTCGCTCTCCCCGCGATGCAGCGGTGCCCCCCGGGTGTGGCCCTTCCCAGTGTCCGAAGCTTACATCCCTCGTTTTTCTACGACGGTTTCTACCATTACGATAAATCCCAAAGTTTCTAAATCAGACATTTCCACCAACATAATTAGGTATGTCTAGCCTCCTTTTTCAGATTCTACAAGATTATTCTGCGGCGAACGAACTTCGAATTGAGAGAAAACCCGAGCTGTCTAGTCCCGTCATTGACTGTCTATAGGAGTTGGAAGAGGTTTTATTGACCTCGCTGGACTCGTTTCCTTTTCTCTAAAATGAGGGGCTTGGAATAACAAGTAAGCTTCCTGACAGTTTTGACGTTTGGGTTATTGTCCCCCACTGTGTATTTCTAACGTCTTTTTCATTACATAGATGTGCTTTGGGCTGTTTCTACTTTGTTAATCCTTCCTGTGCCAATCTGGTTTTTGACTCATTAAAGATTTCGTTTTTTTCTTTTGGTTTGGGGGTCACCCCTGGCGGTGCTTAGGGTGGACTGTGGTTCTGGGGATGAAAACCAGGTAGGCCTCGTGTAAGACAGCCACCCAATGCGTGGTACTATCTCTCTGGCCCCAAATATTCTTTTTTGCAAGGAGTTTGCTTCGTGCTTTCTGAAAAACTCTTCACGTCTTGATCCCAAGAAACATATCTAAATAAAAAGTTAAATGTGCTAGTCTTGAAGTGCCTAAGGTGCCTGAAAATTCTTACATGTGGGATATTTTGAAAAAACTGAACCCTAAAGAAGGGACTATGACTTGTTAATCTATGAAACACAAGCATCAAGCACAATGTCTAGAATATGGTGCTCTGAAAATATTTACTGAGAAAAAACATGAAAAATATTTTAGTTGAATCTTCCTTTAAAAATTGGAATGCTGGGACTGGAGAGATAGCACAGCGGGTAGGGTGTTTGCCTTGCACGCGGCCGACCCGGGTTCGATTCCCAGCATCCCATATGGTCCCCTCAGCATCGCCAGGAGTAACTCCTGAGTGCAGAGCCAGGAGGAACCCCTGTGTATCGCCGGGGTTAAAAGCAAAATATAAATAAAAATAAAATTAAATAAAAACTGGAATGCAGAGAAAACTAGAAGAGCATAGAATAAAAGAACTATACTGAATTCTGAATGAAGAATAATATTCAAAATGCATTATTAGCAGATATGTATTGATTAACTTCTACTGCAAAGCATTTGGGATAGGTATGTGGGAAGAGGGAAAGCTGTTGAAGATTATAAAACAATCCGAGTAAAAGGAATGTATGCAAAAGTTGAAAATTAGATGACAAACTTTAGGAGTCAGAATGACAAAAACTTGGGAGGTAAGAGATGGGATTATAAAGCTGTAAAAGATTGGAAAAGCTAGAAGAAAGCTGAAATGAGTCCTTATATATAGGATATTTTGAAGTTATAAATAGGGAACTACTAGAAAGTGTTAGCAACGAACTGATGAGGACAATTGCATTTTAGATACATCGCAGTAGTTATTATTTGGTTAATTGTGTTTCAAGAGTGGAAAAAAACATAAGTGTTATTTCTCTCAGTATAAATGTTAATAATGGTTTTAGTATCTAGAAAAAATATGGAATCAATTTCTCTTTCAAGAAGATCAGTTTATTCATTGTAACTATCAAAGCACTTTGATTGTAGGAGGTATCCAATAAATATCTGCTAACTTGGTTTCAATATTACTCAAAATATTATTTAATTTTTTTTTCTAGGAGGAACATGAATCAGAAGCTATTGAAGTTGGAAAACTTGCTACGGTTTCAAACTGTTTGTAGGCAGCTACATGTCCTGAGTGGAAGAACATTGGTTCAGCAGAGACATGTGTTTTCATCTGCTTACCCAATGTGGACGGCTCAGCTGTATGCCTCCCCCTGGCAAACACACACACTCATAAGGGCTGCTCTATCTCAATATAGAAGCCTAGTAACAAAGAAGGTAGAATTGGCTCTATATCAGTTACTCTATTTACTCTGTGTCATGAGTAGATACTTATTTTGAGTATTTTTTTCATTTACAGGATATTTCTTTTGTTTCCCTTACATTGATTTTTGGGCCACACCTCATTAGTGTTCAGGAGGTTGTTCCCACAGTAGTACTTGGGGATTGCTCCTAATGGTGACGAGGGACCAAACTCAGGGCTCAGAATATACTTGTTCTCCAAATCTTTGAACTCTCTGTCTTCTGTCCCAGAATCTTTATCAAAAACAGTGAATTAAGGATGCAAATTTTCGTGTTTTAGTATAAGGCTTAATTACTTACAAGAATACTAGTAGGAGAGTGATAGAACTGTGGATTGAGGATTTGCCTTGAACCAGGCTGTCCTCAGTCTGACCATCTCATATGGTCCCATGAGCCTTGCTGGAACTGATCCCTGAATGCAGAGCCATGAGTAAGCCCTGAGCACCACTGGGTGTAAACCAGAAACCAAAAACAAAACCAAGAATATTAGTTGGTAGTAATAGAAACCATGCTTGTGATACATGCTCTAGAATAAAAGATGTTTAGTTTTATCTTTCTTTTGAATTTTTAATAGGAAGAAAGATCACGGAAACCTCACTTATCTTCAACAAAATCTAAAAAGGAGGTAGAGGTATGGATTGGAATGACTGTTGAAGAGCTGGCCAAGGCAATGGAAAAAGACATAGGTAAGTCACATAATTTATTAAGGAAAAATTTGAGAACAAGGACATTTCTTTTGTAATGCGTATAAGATGTTTAAAGATGAAAATTAGATACTTTTTTTTTAATCTGGCTGGGGGTGATTTAGCTAGGTGATAGAATACTTCCTTGCATATATAAGGCTCTGAATTCAATTACAGGCTCTATGAAAAATACAGACATTAAAAAATAATGAAAAATTAAAAATTGTTATATGACCAGAAAAATTCCTCAAAGGGATGAGTATATTCTTTGCATACAGGAGGCCCCACTTGGTCCCCTGAATACCACCTGAAGCAGCCTCTGAGCACAGATTTAGGATTAGCCCTTGAACATTGTCACGTATGGCCCAAACTCTCTATTGCACCACAGAAAAGATGCTGTATCGTTGCAGTGTTTTTCACATTAGGTCACAAAGCTTAGTATCTTGACTTTTTATTAAATATAGTTTTCACATATTTTGCTTTTAATCAAAGGAAGTAATTTTTCCAGACTAATCTTTCTTTTACAGTCATTTTGTAGACTAAGAATACGTTTAAAGAGTATTTTTATAAAAATTAGTTTTTCATTTAATTTTCCTTCTGTTTCCTGTTTCTGTTATAGTTTTTTTTTGTTGCCATGACAGGGATTATACATCTCTGGTTGCAGTGCCAGCTGTGGGTTGCATACCCTGGTGGTGGCATTTGTAAGCCCATTTTGGCTGCAGCACTTGCCAGTGGTTACACACTTGTGCTCTTCAAACACCTTTAGGTGTACACCCATACACCCTAGTTACTATATTGCACGCACTTGGTTATGATTCACCAGAAATTACACACTTTATCTGGCACTGGGAATTATAAAAACAGCATAGCTAGGATCACACTTGACATTCTAAATGGTGCCAGGATCTAAGTCATGAGCTTATGCCTGCACAACCATCCCTGGTGATGATCAGGCAGGTGCTCCCATCACTGCCAGTTTTGTTCTTCAGTTCCATTGTCTTTGGCCACTTGTTATTCTCCTCATTTTTTTCAATCCTACATATGAGAGAGTTCAGTGTATATCTGCCCTGTTCCTTCTGACTTATTTCACTCAGTGTGATAGCAACACATTGCATAATTTTATCCTTCCTTGGAGTTGGAGAGATAGCACAGCGGGTAGGGTTCAATTCTCAGCATCTTATATGATTCCTCAAATACCACAAAGAGTGGTCTCTGAGCATAGAGACAGGAGTAAGCCCTGGTTGTCCCCCAAAATCCTCCCCACCAATTTTTAAAAAATAAAATAAAAATTTGCCCTTAAGCTGCAAGAAGATTTTAGTCTACCTTATAGAGTACAGTAGATTTTAATATGCTTATAAATTACATGTGTTAGGGAAGCGTTGTTCAGGCATTTGTTATAGTGCTGTTGGCTTTGAGTTCAGTGTTAGTGAATCAACATATATTATGAATCAACATATTATGTAAATCAGCTATAATATAAGATTAAAACATCTTTTGTTTTGTTTTATTGGTTCACACCCAGTGATGCTCAGAGCTTATTTCTGACTCTGTGCTCAAGAATCACTCCTGTTGAGGCTTGGGGGACCATATATAGGGTGCAAGGGATCGAGCCTGAGTCTGCTATCTGCAAGGCAAGTGCTTTACCCACTGTACTATCGCGCTAGTCCCTAAATTCAAAAAGATGTTTTTAAAAAAGAGACATATGAATAAAAGGTATATTAATGTACTGATAAAATGTTCTTTCAGAAGTGGAAGGAACCTAACACTATTTTCCCTCAAAATTATTTAATATGTTAATTCAGTATTCCAGCTGAATTTGAAAACATAACTTTGACGGCACAATGAGAATTAACACTCATTTGTATATGCATGACATATGTAATTATAAGTTTTCAAATGATAAACTACTCAATACTGATATATACAACTTGCAGTTTAATGTTTTGTTCATGGTTCTCACTTTTTCTCAGGATGGTGATACCACCATGGCAGGGAGGGTGCTGAAGTGATGAGGGAGCCTTAGAAGCTTTGGATGCAGTTATGGTGGGTAGGGGTGGTACTTTTATTTGTTTGCTTAAAGAAGGTAGATTTCCGGGGGCACTGAGTAATTTTTTTTTTCTGGAATGGAGGTTATAGGCCAATTAAGTTCAGGTGTTTCAGAAAATACCTAAATATTCAAAATTTATAATGTGCAAAAATGTCAGTTGATATGATGTATTTTATTTTAGAGATAAATTTCTGTTCTGCTTAATTTGTTAACATTAGAGAAACAGGTCACTTTTACTTACTCCTAGCATTGTATAAACTATTTATACTTCTGTTAATGAAGCTTTCTTAAACATTTAGTTTGTGATCCTTGTGATCCTTAAAGGTTGTGTTTTTTTTTATCAGATTACATATATGAAGCTTTAATGAACACTGCTATTGACATAGATTTACTAGAAGCAGATTCACGTTTAGATGAAATATGGATCAAAGAAGTGATCAAGAAGGCAGGAATGAAGTTAATTTGGAGCAAATTAAAACAAGACAGAGTCAGAGAAAATAAAGATGCTGTAAAAAGGTAAAATCTAATCATGTATTAGGAGGTGGGAGATCACCCTTTTCCCCTTTCCTTTATTTTTCTTATTGACTGGGGGGCGGGGGGGCGGGCAGGGGGCCACACTCATGCTTGGCTATAGCTCCCACAACAGTTGGTTTTGATGTTCACTGGGTGTTACACCAAAGTTGAAGTGTTTGTACAAATGCTCACAAGTGTCACAGGTCCTCTGTGCTTTGTAGGGTCATAGTGCTTGCAACTTGGCTATAGCACACTAGAGATTGTACCTTCTGTTGCGGTGCAGTGATCCCAAATAGCAGAATTTGAATGACAGTGCTTAGCCTGTGTGGTTGGCACCAGGAATGGAACTTGTGATTTTATGCTTGCAAGGCAGGATGTTTTTCTGGCTATTTAGTCATTGCTAGGCTACTTACTCACACTTATTTTTAAGTATCATCGATTTGCTCGAGTGGGCCCAGTAACGTCTCCATTGGAGACTTTGTTGTTACTGTGTCTGGCATATCGAATACTCTCGGTAGCTTGCCGGGCTCTCCGAGAGAGGCGGAGGAAATCGAACTCGGGTCGGCCATGTTGGCCGCGTGCAAGGCAAACGCCCTACCCGCTGTGCTATCGCTCCAGTATGGACCGTTTCTGGTGATGCTGGGTCTACTGGTTCAGTGTGCAGTTTGGTACTGTGGTGCTTAGCCTAGTAGTACTGGTCCTGCCAGAGCCACCCCAGCTTGTGTTTCAGAGATCATTTAGTGCCAGAAATGAATTCAGGACCGTGCCTGGGCTAGTTATATGCATTACCACTTTGAACCATATCTCAGCCCTCACGCTTTTAATTTTGTTAATTTTTTTTTGGGGGGGGGCATACTCATGGGTGCACAGGAACTACTCCTTGCAGTGCTTGGGGGACCCTGTAGTGCTGGGGATTGAATCCAGGCTTTCTGCATGCAATGCATGTGCTGCAGTCTATAGATCTTTCTCTCTGGCCCTTTTCTCATACTTTTAATAAGGATTCCTTGCCTTCAAAAAGTTTTGTGCAACTAAAGTGACAAGTGAGCATAGGTTAAACTTTTCCTCCCAGCACTTAGACATATAAAATATGTTCAGCAACTTTAAGAGTCACTTTTCTTAGTTTTTCTGAATGTTTGTTAATCCTAAAATTTTATATTTGATTCAGTACTCCTTATGAAGATTATCAACATTAATGAGCAATCATTATATGATTTGGCATAATTCAGTCTGTGCATCGAAGAGGAAAATGTAATCAAAGCTGGGTTTTATTGTTAGTGGTAGCTAACAAAGACAACTGTAAATCAATTCATTATGTATAAGTTTATATGAATATCAGTGTTCCTGACATTTAAAAAATGAAATTTCTCTGCTCTTCATTGCAGGCCCCAGGCTGATCCATCTTTATTAACCACAAGGTCCCCAGTTGTCACTATAATGGGCCATGTTGATCATGGGAAAACAACGTTACTTGACAAACTGAGAAAAACTCAGGTGGCAGAAATGGAAGCTGGTGGTATCACTCAGCACATTGGTGCCTTCCTAGGTATGAATAGACATGACCTTACAGTATGCTTTAGAACGTCATATAATACTTTCTTAAAGCAAGTGTCTTAATAAGAAATATTCAAAGTAAAGGTGAAGGCAGATGCATCAAGCCCTTGACTTTGATGCATTGTGGAACAGATGGCTAAGAACGGTCATTTTATATATTCTATGGTAGCACTGGTAGCACTGTCCTTCCATTGTTCATCGATTTGCTCCAGCGGGCACCAGCAACGTCTCCATTTTGAGACTTGTTACTGTTTTTGGCATATCGAATACGCCACAGGGAGCTTGCCAGGTACATGTATTGATGTATATTTCTTTTCAAATATATATTTATGACAGTATATGGATGTACACTACATTATGGACGTAGTAACCAAGAAGTGTGAAAATTTGGGGGCTGGAGTGATAGCACAGCGGGTAGGGCGTTTGCCTTGTACACAGCCAACATGGCCGACCCGAGTTCGATTTCTCCCCCCCCTCAGTGAACCCTGCAAGCTACCAAGAGTATCTCACCCACACGGCAAAGCCTGACAAGCTACCCGTGATGTATTCGATAGGCCGAACACAGTAACAAAAAGACTGACGTTGGAGACGTTACTGGGCCTGCTTGAGCAAATCCATGAACAACAGGAGGACAGTGACAGTGAAGTTATTATATGAAAAACCTAAAGAGCTTACTAAATCATAGTAGTCACTTTTCAAGGTGAAATGATGATCTGTATTATTCTAATTAAGATTAATTGAATTCTAATTAAGATTAATTTGATGTTGAGGGTTGAGCACATGTTCTCAAAAATGCAGAACATTTATTCTGCCACTGAACCACATTCCTGACCTGTATTTAAATAATGTATTGGGGCTGGAGAGGTAGTACAGTAGGTAAAGCACTTGCTTCTCATGCAGCTCTCTTGGGTTTGATCTCTGGCACTATATATGGTCCTTGAATACCAGCAGGACTGATCCTAGAGCAGAGTGAGTGCCCAGGAGCAATTTTGCCAGAAGTAAGCCCTGAGCACTGCCAGGTGCAGATCTAAAGACAAAAATGACAAAATTAAACATTTTAAAATTGTATTTGATGATATATACATATTCCTTCATATTAAGGAAGTACATGTTTGAGTTCTTCATGTTCTTGTGCTTTTCTTTTCAGTCTCTCTGCCTTCTGGGGAAAAGATAACCTTTCTCGATACTCCAGGACATGCTGCTTTCTCAGCAATGAGAGCCAGAGGAGCTCAGGTCACAGATATTGTCATATTGGTTGTAGCTGCAGATGATGGAGTGATGAAACAAACTATAGAATCTATTCAGCATGCCAAAGATGCTCAAGGTACTGTGTGGCTGACCTATATGTATCAGAAAGGAAGTTTTGTTTTTTTTTTTTTAAGTTTCTACTACACAGTTACTGGGGTACTACACAGTAACTGGGGTAGTTACATGTAGGTCATTTAATCTTTATGACACCCCCAGGATTGTTACACTTGTTTTATAGATAGTCCTCAAAGATAGTTGGTTTCCCCATACACATTATTACTAAGAAGGAGTCAACCTTGGGATTTGTGAACACAAATAACAGTTCATAAATTTAGTACTTTCCTTGTGGTATTGGGCATTATGTCAGCATTTAGCACAGTGGGGCTAGAGAGATGGTACAGGAGGTATTTGCCTGTCTTACATGATTCCAATCCCATTTTGAATCCCTGGCACCATGTAATGGTTCCCCATAGCTCAGCCAAGGGTCACTTCTGAGTACAGAGCCAGGAATACCCAGAGTACTGCTGAGTGTCTCCCTCAAAATTCAACCCCCCACAACCATCCCAGAAGAGAATTTAATAGTCTTAAATGACATTTTTTTAAAATTTTTGATTCACTTTTGAGTTTTGAACCACTACTGGATAGCTCTGGGGCTACACCTGTCTCAATCCTTGAGGTGCACGCTTTAAGTGCCCCAGCACTTCTGGTTCCCTGAGTACCCTGCCAGAAGTAGCCACATTAATCAGCTATGGCCCCAAACAAACAGCAAAAAATAGGTAAGTGCTTCCATTGAGTAAAGAGATAGGTTGGTTTCTTTTATTGTGAATGCATGGTGTTGAAGGCAATTATCAGTTTCATGCTTCTTGTCTCTTCTAGTTCCTATTGTCCTTGCCATAAACAAATGTGACAAACCTGAGGCTGATCCTGAGAAAGTGAAAAAAGAACTGCTAGCTTATGATGTGGTTTGTGAGGATTACGGTGGTGAAGTTCAGGCAGTTCATGTCTCTGCACTTACGGTAAATCTGGGCCCCTCAGAGATGAATGTTCGGGGGTAGGGGTGGGGAAGTGCTCTACAGAATTGCACATAACGCTTTATGTCTCAACGTTCTCATTTATTATTTCTATGATCTTGTTTTCTGATTATTAACCAGAGCACTGTAATTCTAGTCTCAGATTAGAAATTTGACTCAAAAATAGTCATCAAACAAGGATTACATAGTTTATCAGGGAGAAATCAGTTCTAAACCTAGTAACTTCTCTTATGTGAAACTTAGAATGAGAGAATAAATGCTGAATGATTTAGAAGGTGTCATAGTAAGCCATAGAGCTTATTATTTAGCAGAATGGAATGCAGTTGGTAGTAAAATTTGCTTCTGTGCCTTTTATTGCAAAGAATTATAGAATAGGAATTAGGGCATTTAAGAGAGATATAGGGGCCAGAGCGAGAGTACAGGAGGTGGGGTGTTTGATTTGCACGTGGCCAAGCCAGGGTTGATGTATAGTCTGCCATATAGATCCAGCACCCCATATGGTCCACAGATCTGCCAGAAATGATTCTGAGTATAGAGCCAGGAGTAATTCCTGAGCACTGCTAGGTGTGGCCCCAAAACAAAGAACAATCAAAAAAAGAGGTTTAAACAAAAATTTTACTATACAAAGATGAAAGCTGTGTATTCAATTGCTATTGACTTAATGTTTCAGTGAATTAAATTGCAGTAAGTTTTATTTATGATGAATTACATATTATTAATTACCATTTATTCTTTTTTATTTGAAAAGTACCATTAAAGTTTAGTAACTGTTTATAAGAGCTTATCTCATTTCTCTTATATAGCTTGCCAATAAGTAACTATTTTCTTTTTTTCCAATTTTATATTTCATGGTGTGCTTGTATGCTGATCATTTCAACAAATTGTTTATTCAGTGAAGGAATGGGAATGTATTTGGCCACTTACCATCAATTAAGTTTCATTTTATCTTACTTTCCTTAATGCTTACCTCAACAAATGCTTAGAAATCATGCCTCTGTTAATAGTCAAGCTGTGCCTCTTTTTTAAAAAACTCATATAATGCCACATTATGTTACTACCTCTGAAAGCCAACGGGCACGATTAAAACATTTGAAGGTGTGTCCACCTTTTCTTAGTTTTATACTTTATAATAGCAGTGAATAGTTTTTGCACTAAGATGGAGAATGAAAAAATAAAAATAAAAAAAAGCTTTGTTTTTCAGTTGTAATTCCAGTTCCATTGCCAGTTAATGATCTTCAGTCTTGGAGCCCTAGAAAGCAGAGTAAATAGATGATTGGTGGAGTGTGTGGGGGGGGGGGGGGGCGGGGGGGCAGGTAATGTAAGAATAAAGTAATCTAACTCTATCATACTATGGTTGAGGAAATGTTATTTTGGGAGATGAGGTGTTTGTTGGGGTAGCACCGGATGGTAGTTACAGAGTGTGGCTTAGAGCCTGGACGTTGTTAGTGCTTCATCTCCCTTCATCTCCTCCTTTATTAAGTGTAAGTTAGGTATTGCTCCATTTACTTATTTTATAAGATTCTTGAATGGACCAAAGAAATAATAGATATGAAGACTTGTTCGATTGTTTAAAACTTCAGAAGTAAAGTATCACTGTCAGGAACGTGAATGGAACGAAACTAGACAGGAAAGAGAATAAATGAAGTATTATAAAAGGATTATTAAATGGGTCACTAATGGCCATCCTTTATTTTTTCTACTCAATATTAATTGAATTTTTATGATAACATCAGTACAATATTAGTAAATAGAAAGAAGTACAGAGTAAAGAGACTATAGCTATTAGACTGGGGAAGGGAAGGGAGGTGGGAAAGAAGGAAAGGTTAGAGGAAAGAGGAGTGGCCGTCCTTTAAAAAAAAAAAAAGGACATTATCCCTTATAAGATCTGACCCTAGCATTTTTCACTCTGGAGAAGCTCATGTTCAGTTTCCTCTCTATCTCTCCCATCACTTCTTTCTAAGTAAGTTTTATTCAGTAAAAGCTATCTTGATCCAACATATACAAAATCTGTCCCAGATCAGGTTTTCTCTCTTATCTCTCCCACCCTTATCCCTCAACCCATTTTTTTCTGTGACGGATTGAACTCAGGACCTTATACATGTGTGGCATGCATTTACCACTCACATCCCTACTCCTGTGCCTCCCCTTCTGATGCTTAAAGGAAAAAAATGATGTCACTTAGGTTCTGACTCCTGTATGTATATTTACTGATGATAATAATGTATATATTAACAACTTTTTGTTATTACAGGGTGATAACCTAATGGCTTTGGCAGAGGCGACAATTGCTCTTGCAGAGATGTTAGAATTGAAAGCAGATCCTACTGGTCCAGTGGAAGGAACAGTAATAGAATCTTTCACAGACAAAGGAAGAGGGTATGACTGTTAAAATGCTTGGTTTATAATTACTTTGCTCCAGGCTTTTTGTGACTTGATTATATAAGAGCATTGATTTAATTACATGGTACCTTGTGAACAGTATCAGTGCTCAGGGGAGCATATATGGTGCTGGGGATTTAGTATGGGTGCTGCTACATGTAAGGCAAGTGCTTTACCTCCATATTCTCTCTCGGCCCTTGAAAAGCATTTTATTGCACTAACTCAGCACACAAAAATGTACTTAACAATAGATTGTATATACTGTAAATATGTACTTATGTAATGGATAGTAACTTACTGCATCTTTTAGAATACTCTAAATTGGAATGAAATAACAGTCATTGCATTTGGAGATTTGTAAATTCTTTTTTTGTTTGTTTTTGTTTGCAGGGCAGCATACTGGGCAGTGCTTGGTTACTTCCTCAGTGCTTAGGGGTCCTTGGAGCTGGAAATTAAACCAGAGACCAAGGCTCGCAAAGCATATGCACTGTTCCCTGGAATGATTTTCCTGGCCCCTCTAAATTCTTTATGTCCATATATAATAATATATGAGAGGGTCTTGGAGATGGGGATCTTTTTATTTCCTATTTTATTGGAAAAACAAGGTCTTTTCACTGCTTAATAAATTAGTAATAGAAAAGAAATAAGGGGGCTAGATAGATAATATAGCAGGTAGGACACTTTCCTTGCATGTTGCCGGCCCAGGTTTGATTCCCAGCACCATGTATTGCCCCCCTAGACCCACAAGGAATGATCCGTAGGAGCAGAGTCAAGAATAAACCCTGAGCACTACCAGGGTGACCCCAAAACCAAAAATAAAAAAGGAAAAGAAAAGCAATTAGGATTCAACCAGATACTTAGCTGTCTATAACATCCACTACTATAGCCTTAAAAGAACTTTTTTGATTTGTAGTAAAAAAATACATTGATTTTTACCATGTTAGTTTTAGGTACATGGTCCAGAAATTATGGTAGTAAATATGTTACCATTTCTGTGCAGAAGATTTCTGGAGCTTTTCTTTTGTTTTGGTTGGGGACCATACTTGGCAGGGGCTACTCCCAACTGGGTTGGTTGATGGTTGCTCCCAGTGGTAATTAGGGTACCATTCATGGTCAGGGCTTCTGGGCTCCTGCATATGAAGTACTCAGACCTATCCACAAACTTATTAATCTTCCAGAACTGAAATTCTGTTCACATAAAATGCCATTTTCCCTCTACTTCCTCTCCTCCAGACCTTGACAGCTATATCATTTTAATTTTGTTTCTGTGCTGGAGCGATAGCACAGCGGTAGGGCATTTTCCTTGTGCGTAGCAGGCCCGGCGGAGCCGAGTTTGATTTCTCCGCCCCTCTCTGAGAGTATCTCGCTCGCTGGCAAAGCCTGGCAAGCTACCTGTGACGTATTCAATATGCCAAACACAGTAACAACAAGTCTCAAAATGGGCCCGCTCAAGCAAGTCGATGAACAATGGGAGGACAGTGTTTGTTTGTTTTGTTTCTGTGCTGTTTAGACATATGTTTGGGAGAGGGGGTGTTTGGGTGATACTGGGTGATGCTCAAGGTTTACTCCTGGTTCTGCTCTCAGGGATCACTTCTGGCAGTGCTTGGGGGACCATATGGGATGCTGGGGATCAAACTTGGGTTGGCTGCATGCAAAGCTGCACTGTACTATTTTTCCAACATATATATATATATACATATATATATATATATATATATATATATATGAGATCATTCAGCATTTGTCCTTTTTAATTTTTTTTTCTGTTGGGTTTTTGGGGCCATAACAATTGTGCTCAATGCTTACTCTTGGTTCTGTGTTTGTAGGTTTTCCACAGTAGTGCTAGGTGATCCTGTGGTGCTTGGAATCGAACCAGAGTTGGCTGCTTGCCAGGCAACCTTGTTTTATCCCTATGCTATCTCTTTGTCCCCTTTAAAAATGTTTTCACAGGGGCTAGTTGGACTGGTTAATGGTTGGAATCAACCAAAGGTGTGCGGGGGCAGAGGGTAGGTAAGATAGAAAAGACAACAGTAGAACAATAACTGCTAGAAATGATCACATTGAATAAGAACTGAGTGTTAAAAGCAGATGAAGGGATATTCCTCATAACCTTTCATTATCTGTTTTTCAAACCACAATGCCCAAAAGGAAGAGAGAGAGCGAGAGAGAGAGGGAATGCTGCCATAGAGACGGGGTGGGGGGGGTGATGGAAGGAAACTAAGGAAGTGGTGCTGGGAAATTTACACTAGTGGAGGGTTGGGTGTTGGAACACTGTATGACTGAAACCTAATCATGACCAGCTTTGTAAGGGTATATCTCACAGTGATTCAATTAAAAAAATGTTTTTTAAATAAATTTTTTTTTATAGAGGCCATATGATCTGGGGGGAGGATGTCCTGTGTGATACTGGTGATGAACTCAGGACTTTGCACATGCTAGACATTTGGGGACCGGTGTGGTGCTGAGGACTGAACAGGATTGGCTATAGCCAAGGCAGCTAACTTAACCCCTGTCCTTTCTCACCAGCTCCATCTTCTTGAGGTTTATTCATGCTGTAGCTTGTGCCAGGATTCCTTTCCCTTTAAAGTTTATATAATATTTTATTATATATGCTATACTTTGTTTATTCACTTGTGATTTATGGTCATTTGGATTGCTTCCACCTTTTGCTATTGTAAAGAAATGTTTTAATTGTATGAGAAGCTTCTGAAGTGGTGAAATTAACCCTATGTATATATGTAAACCCCATAAATATATCTTTGTTATACTTCAGAAAGCAGTGGTTTATTTAAAAAAAAATGGTATTCTATTCTTTTATAAAATGTGCATTGCCTTCTGTTATCTTCTTAATTGTAAAATTTTATTTTCATTTTAGACCTGTTACTTCAGCTATAATTCAGAGAGGAACTTTGAAAAAAGGTTCAGTTCTGGTTGCTGGAAAGAGTTGGGCAAAAGTCCGATTAATGTTTGATGAAAATGGAAAAGCAATCAGTGAGGCAGGCCCCAGCATGCCAGTGGGAATCGTTGGGTGGAAAGACCTTCCTTCTGCAGGAGACGAAATTCTTGAAGTAGAATCTGAGGTATATCATTCATATTTAATTCTATATATTAGATATGATGCAATGATTTATAATATCTGTTGTTTTCCCAAATAAGAATATTAATAAGTAATTCTAGACAATAAGGTGCTATGAGGCCAGTAGTGCCATTTTAGAATTTGGCCATGGAATTTTATACATTGCAGAAAAAAAATTTTGATAATTTCAGATACAAAATCCCAAAGTTAAAATTTTGTAAATTTCTTGAAACTCAAGATTTAGTAGTTTTATACAGGAATAAAATTCATAGTAGAAGAAAAAAGAATAAAGTTTTTATTTATTTATTTTTTTAATTTTTATTAGTGAGACATCATGCGGTACAGTTGTAGACTTACAAAGGAATAAAGTTTTTAAATGAGCAAATATTGCTCCCTTTTCCCTATATAGCCAAGGGCACGTGAAGTTATTGACTGGAGAAAGTATGAGCAAGAACAGGAGAAAAATAAAGAGGATCTGAAAATATTAGAAGAAAAACGAAAAGAACACCAAGAAGCACATCGGAAAGCCCGCGAGAAATATGGCTCTTTGCACTGGAAGGAGAGGTCATTTATAAAGTACCAAGAAAAAAAAGAGCAAAAAGTGTTAAAGCCAAAAGAGAAAGTGGAAAAAGAATCAAATGTGCTTCCTATAATCATTAAAGGTGACTTTTTCTCTTGTGGGTTGTCCGACATCTCAAGCAGTGCTCAGCGGCCACTCCCAGTGATACTCAACTTTCAATGGTTTCATTGCTGTGGTCCAAGGAAGTGATGCTCCATGGGCCCTGCTGTGACATGGATGCCTTGATCATGCTAGTGATGGGGGTATTCAGGGCCACCACCAGCTGTGTTTGGTGGCCTCCAGGGCTGCATCTGGCCATGTTTGGGGAACATTTTGGTGCGAGAAATGGAACCCGGGTCATGTGCATACTAGGCATGTTCCCTTACCACTGTGCTATCTCCTGCTTCCTAAATAGATTATTATTGTGCTGGAGCAATAAATCAGTGGGCTGAAGCACCTGAGGTTTGGTCCCTGGCACTGCATAGTCTCCTGGACACTACTAGGAGTGACCCCCAAATATTGAGCTGGGATTAACTCCCCAAACACCACCAGGTGTGAGCCAGAAAAACAAAAAATTAAATAATTATCTCTTTTTGTGTCTGTTAATGATTATTAATAACCAGTAACTGTAAATTTTTGCTGCATCTAGGTGATGTTGATGGTTCTGTTGAGGCCATTTTGGATATTATGGATACTTATGATGCTTCACATGAATGCGAACTAGAATTGGTACATTTTGGTTTGGGTGATATCAGTGAAAATGATGTCAACCTTGCTGAAACGTTTCATGGTAAGTTTCATTTCTATTTAACTGTGTTTCCTAGAACACACCAGTCTTTTGTTGCTTGCTACATACACCTGACATTTACCTATCTGCCTAACCCTTTCATTTAAAAAAAAAAAAATTGGTGGAAGAGATAGTGTAGCAGGCAGGGCACTTGCCTTGCATGTGGTAGACCAGGTTTGATTCCTGGCACTGCTTGTGATCTGCTGAGCCCCACTAGGAGTGATCCCTGAGCCTAAAGCCAGGTGTCAGCCATGAACACAACAGGCAGTGTGGCCCCAAAACAATCAAACAAACGAACCTACTTTAAACTGTTTACTCCCTTATTGTTCTGGTGACTGGTAGGTGCACACACTTGGTTTTCACAAACTTGATCTGTGCTGCTTGCCAGGACTTGTACATCCCTGACTGCAGTTCTGTGCTGCTTTTGGTTGTGATGCTCTGAAGAGTGTACCCACTTTATGTGGCACCAGAGCTCACCATCCAGCAGTAGTGCCAGGGTCACAATCAGCTTTGGGGCAGTACTGGGGAATGAACTGTCAGCCTCATAGCTGCAAGGTTCTACCTCAGAGCCATTCCCCGATTCTCAGTCCCCACAGTGCCTTTCTACTGCAGTTAAGGCCCAGATAGCAAAGGAGGCTGCATATGTACAATATTGCAGTCATTGTTCCATTTGTCATCGTTGTAGGCATGCTTGACACGAGTCTCACTAGTGTTTCTTTTTCATAATAATATCCATTTACCACCCTTTCTTCCAGTTCCTCACTCAGTGCAAGGTTGGGTCTCTCTTATCTTTCATTTAAAATGTTCCTAAAATTATAATCAGCCTATTCAGTACTTATCTTATGCTTTTGGCTACGTACTTTTATTCATTGGTAATTTTACAAACCAATCTGACATGGTTAGAATTAAATGTTTCCACTACTGAGAAGTACTTTTGGTAATGCTGATTCTAAGTGTTTTATAGGCACTGACTGATCTAGCACAGCGCTTGCTGTGTGCTACATGGTAGGTAATAGAGAGGTGCTACTAGATGGTACTTATAGCTAACTGTGTAAGTGCTAGTTAGAAGTATAATGATTTCCTAAAAAGACTCTCCCAATTTTTGTTCTTAAGTTTTTTGCATTTTTTTTTTTCACTTAGAGCAAGAGTGGTTTTTGCTTCCCACTCCCACCCCCACCCCAAGGTATTTGCAGCTTTCTTGTTTCTCTGGCTAAAAATCAAAGCTTTGTGCAGTATTTGCCTTGCATATTAAGTAAACATTTCTTGAATGAGTGTTATTTGAAAATTACAAAGAAATCTCTTTTTTATATAAGCAATAATAGACTTTATACGATTATTTAATTGTGAATCTCCTAGTTTTGATGGAAAAGATTGATAGTTTTCTTTGTTGGGGGTGGTTTGGGGCCACACCTGGGCCTTCACATTGCTGGAGACCTAACCTAGGCTGCTCGCATGCAAAGCATGCCCATGGCTGTTTGAGCTGTCTCTCCAGCCAGTGATAGAATTTCCCATAATTTACATAATAGAAAATAAAAACTATGAGTTTCTACTTGAGAGCTAAACTGTTTAATGGAATATTTGTGCTAGTTTATTGAATTATTTCTGCTTGCCAGGTGTTATATATGGCTTCAATGTGAATGCAGGCAATGTTATACAACAATCAGCTGCAAGAAAAGGAATAAAAATTAAACTTCACAAAATAATTTACCGGCTCATTGAAGATTTGCAAGAGGAACTGAGTAGCAGATTGCCCTGCTTCGTGGAAGAGCACCCAATAGGTGAGTATTCACAATGTTACTTTAACATATTGATAACACTTGTATGCAAAGTTTGGTAAATATATATTCCACTTGTTCAAATTGTTTTTCTGATAATATAGCTCTATGATTTTTCCAGAAAAAAACAATGTTCTAAGAATTCATTATAACTCTTTATATATATAAAAGCTTAAGAACCATCCTCAGGAGCAGGAAAGAAAGTAGTGGGTTGAGCGCTTGCCTTGCATGTGGCTGCCCTGGGTTCAATCCTCAGCATCCCATGTTCCCTAAGCACAGCCAGGAGTCACCTCTGAGCATCTCTGGGTGTAGCCCCCCAAACAGACAGAAAAAGAACTGTCCTCAGATTTCCTACTGTGAATGTGAAAGGTCACGTTTCAGAGTTAAGGCCTTATCAAAACATTGTATGACTGAAACCCAATCATGAACAACTTTGTAATGCTGTATCTCACACAGTGATTCAATTTAAAAAATAGTAAAATTTAAATTTACATGTGCGTGTGTGTATATATGTTTGTATAAAATTTACTGGGTTAAGGAGAAAAAAATAAAGTCTCATCAAAAGCTAGAGGCTACTTCATGAGTATGGTTGAGGTGTCAGAGACCTAAATTGGCTTAATTTGGAGCATGTGCTTATGTCACACTAAGGAGGTGTATCATAATGTTCTTAGGACTAGGGAGATAGTTAAAATTGTTGAGCACAATTGTTGAGCTTTGCTGGTGTGTACTAGGCCAAGTTCCCACAGGACCCCCAAATACTGTGCAGTGTCATCCTGGAGGCCAGAGTACTGTGCTGCTGGGCCTGAGCTCGGAACTCAGTTGTGCACTGCTGGCCCACGTAGAAGTATTTCCTTGATCATATTCCTTGGTCAAAGTGAAGGCAAAATTTGTTATTATAAACTGAGTAATTTTATATTCTTTGTTCCCAAATACTTTTGAAAAAAAGAACTGCCCCCCCCCCACCCGTGTGTAGTCTTCTACCATTTCAATATTGGAATTTAACTTTTAATCAGTTAAAAAAAAAAAAGACCCAGATTTAGTATTCTTGTTTTTGGAGCCATATCCAGTGGTACTCAGAGATCACTCTTAGTGAATTTCAGCGAACCATGTGGAGTGTGGGGGATGCCCTACTTGCTGACCCCAGAGAGTATTTTTTTGTTTGGGGGCCATACCTGGTTGTGCTCTGGGCTTATTCCTAGCTCTGCACTCAGGAATTTCTCCTGGTGGGCTCCGATGATGCTGGAGGTACTGGAGATGCAACCCAGGTCAGCCAAATGCAAAGCAAATGCCCTATCTGCTGTACTTTTGCTCTGGCCCCACAATTAGTATTCTTAACTAGAAATTTAACCAGCGATGAGATTAAAAATCAACATATCATCTACTCTAGGAAATACTTTAAGAGACAGCTAAAAGTAGAATTGAGATAAGAATTGTATTCTTGTACTTCTTAAAGTGAATTTTCATTTTGCTCATATTCTTTTGGCAAGCATGTGTTTTTTATCAGTGAAAATGTTCTTTTCCAAGATTACCGAAGGGTGTTATTTTTTTCTTGATACCGGCTAGGAAAATAGTAGTCAAAGGGAAGCTAGCACTGACAATTTAATTTTGGTTTGGGGGCCATACCTGGCTGTGCTCAGGGTCACCCCTCCTGGCAGTGCTCAAGGAACTACGAGGTGTCAGGGATAAAACCTGGGTAGGTTACAAAGTAAATGCCCTACCCACTATACACTCTCAAGCCCCAAAGCTGAGAGTATATTTGATTCTCGCCATGCATAATGCCAGAAATTAGGTATCTTTGAACCCATTTTCTCTATATTCAACGTTCTCTCTTCTTAAAGGTGAGGCTTCCATATTAGCTACCTTCTCTATAACGGAAGGGAAGAAGAAAGTGCCTGTGGCTGGCTGCAGAGTCCAAAAGGGGCAGTTAGAAAAACAAAAAAAATTTAAATTAACCCGTAATGGACATGTTATCTGGAAGGGTAAGCAATACTAGTTTTTCAAGTCTAGTCCCCAAAACTTGATTTTGTATTAACTTTCTTGGCCCGTTTCTCATTATTTTCCTAGTTCAGGCCCTCCCTTGCTAACTGTATGACTATTTCCCCCAACTGATTTCCTAAAGATTTACTTCCTTTACTACCATCCTACCTTTCCAGCAGTTTTCCTACACTAAATCTGAAGTATTTGCCTACTCCCTGCTTATCATTTAACTTAAATTTTGACTGACAATCTCTATCTGCTTAATCCATAAAAAAAGTTTAGCACAATAGTGGCCACTGATGTAGTTAGTTGCTTGCCTCACCAAATGCCCAAACTTTCCACCAATGACCTATTTCCCCCTTCCATTATTCCAAGCTGCTCCTTCCTTCTTGGAACTCAGTTCTGCTTTCAGTACTAGTCTATCCTCTGAAAATGTTAAACAGATCATCTTCACTACAAATCATTTTTATCATGTAGCATTCAGTATGTACCAATTTAACTTACAGCTTTTTTCTACTTTTAAGGTTCTTTAACCTCACTGAAACACCATAAAGATGATGTTTCTGTCATCAAAACTGGGATGGACTGCGGTCTCAGTCTGGATGAAGAACATATAGAATTTAAAATAGGAGATGAAATTATTTGTTATGAAGAAAAGGAAGTTCCAGCCAAGACTTCTTGGGACCCTGGATTTTAAAGTATCTTACTTTCAAAGCATCTAGTTTGCTTTATTCAACATCTTTGGTGAATATTAACTGCCAAATGTTAACATACATTCTGTAAAAATACTGGAACAAGAACCTTGTTTTCAAATAAATGCTGAAAGCAAACTGTTCAATGTTTATATATATATTCAGTGAATATAAAGCTTAATAAACTTCGGGGGCTGGAGTGATAGCACAGCGGGTAGGGCGTTTGCCCTTGCACACGACCGACCCAGGTTCGATTCCCAGCATCCCATATGGTCCCGCGGGCACCGCCAGGAGTCATTCCTGAGTGCAGAGCCAGGAGTAACCCCTGAGCATCGCCGGGTGTGACCCAAAAAGCAAAAAAAAAAAAAAAAAAAGCTTAATAAACTTCGAATATAAAGCTTAATAAACTTCAAACACCTATTATATAGGTGGAGTGTTGAGCAACACTTCTCTGAACCACACTGACAAGACATATTGAACTTTGAAACCATTTTCCTAATGAATTTCTAACACCCTGGATGGTCTCAGACTAAGTTCAAAAAAATCTGTGCTAGTCTTTTAAGGAACCATCATTAATTCCAGTTCACAGGAGTGTTACTCTTGTGACAGACCCAAAAAAAAAGTCATTTTAGTATGGGGGTGGGTACTCTATCCCCATTGGAGTCACTTGACAATGCCTAAATATGTGTGACTGCAAGTTCATTGTAGTCAGGTAGGCTGTTCATCACCCATGATACACATGATAACCCCAACTGCTGCATTACTTCGTGAATAGTGCAGAAAAATATAAACGATTTGGCTTTGTTCTAGAGAACTGACAGTACTCGAAGGAAACAATGTGGCCAATTTTATGCTTTAAAACCACTCTTTAATCAATGAACCAAAACTTAACAGTGTTAAGAGTTCATGCCCTTTATTAACCCATACAGGTAAATTATTTGTCTTCTGGTTTGTTGAAACAGTATGTCAGACAACATTTGCCACAATAATGTCTGTCAAAGTGGCTGGCCATAAAAACTCCAGCACCACATTCATCTGAAGGGCATTCCCGGCGAAGGCGGCTGATTTTGCCATTCTCATCCACCTAAAAAAGCATAGACCCGTTGTTAAGAATAACTTACAACAGTCTTAACTTACAGCTTAGGACAAGTCATAAAACCTGTACTATAAAGCTCACAACCATGTGTAAACATGACTATCTAAATATGCCATACATAAATGCTAAAGCACCCCAAACCTAGATATTGTAAGTTTATTTTTCCAGGTGCTCAAGACCAAATCCAGGCCTAACACGTGCATTTTTACCACTGGGTCTCAATATTTTTAAAGTCTAAAACCAACTGAAGTTACTATGAGTAATGTTTCCAAATACACTATGTATTGCTGACAGTCTAACAATCAGTGAATATTAGCCCACCTTGTAGTATTTCAGGACAGCCAGCTTAACCTTCTTTCTCTTATGCTTGTTCTTCTTGGGAGTGGTGTAAGACTTCTTCTTCCTTTTCTTTGCACCACCCCGAAGTCTCAAAACGAGATGAAGAGTGGACTCCTATTAATGGAAAAGAATAAAGCCTTTTAGTGAAACAATTATATTAATATATATTTCCATTAACAATGGGCTAGCTAGAACCAGAACCTTTAAGTTGCAGGCAGCAATAAATTAAGCAGATGATGGGATTTTCTTTCCTATTTGCTGACAAAGTATATCTATAAGCTACAGAGATTGAAGAAAATGTTAAATCCCATGAGATACAAAATTTTAAATCCCAGAATGGGACAGAAAATAGTACCTCCTTTCTTTTGTGTATTGGTCAAAATTTTCTAGGATTGGGGCTGGAGTGAGCACAGCGGGTAGGGCGTTTGCCTGCACACGGCCCAAACCGGGTTCGATTCCCAGCATCCCATATGGTCCCAAGCACGGCCAGGAGTAATTCCTGAGTGCATGAACCAGGAATAACCCCTATGCATCGCTGGGTGTGACCTAAAAAGCAAAAGAAACCCCAAAATTTTCTAGGACTGAGATTTAACTTTAAAGTGCTGTTCCATGAAATGAATAAATACAGAATGAGCTTATACGCCCATATACTGACAGATCAAGGGAATAGACAGCATTAATCAGTATTAGCCTCAAGCAGTGGATTACAGACCTGGGAGTAACAGGAAGAGGGGGGACATCAGGGACACAGGTACAGAGTCTGGAGCACATTGGTTATGGCTAAGGGAGGTAAGGGCCTGCATCAAACCATTAATGAGAGGGAAGGAAGGTGCAGATGACACGCAGTAGTTCTGCACATTATGACAAAGTATTTAAATCATTGCTGCAACTCGACTGTCTAAAACCCATTTAAAAAAAAGTGGATGCTTTTCCCTCCAAACAAACCTTTTGGATGTTGTAATCAGACAAAGTACGTCCATCTTCAAGTTGTTTACCAGCAAAGATCAATCTTTGTTGATCGGGAGGAATTCCTTTAAAAAAAAAAAAAAACCTTAAGATATGGCAGAACAAGCAATACCCACTTTGGACTTAGAAATCTTAATGTCATATGGTGCCAATAGCAGCTCATGCGCTTACAACCAAGGATAATACATGCAAGTACTAGTACTTCATTTAGCGTAACAGCAGTACATTTTGTCGAAGCCTCATTTCACGGCTTTGTGGAAATGCACGGCGGCCTGGCTCCAGGCGCTCTGGCCACCTTACACACTCCAGCGGCATTTCACCGGGTCAATCTGGTTTCCTCCCGTGCACCGGGAGACCCCGGCTTGCGCCTACAAGCACGCGGGCGCCTCTCGGCGCTTAGAAAAATCTTACCTTCCTTATCCTGGATCTTGGCCTTGACATTTTCTATCGTATCCGAGGGTTCGACCTGAGAGTTTAGAAGAAACCGGAAGCAAAAGTCACGGATCTCCGTGACGAGCACGCGCGCGCGGCCACGCGGCGCCCGGGCCTCCTAACCCCGCGCCGGCTACCTGGGGAGCCCACCAAAACCTGCACGCCCTGCCTCCCGACATCGGAGAGCCGCGCGAGGCGCCGCCCGGCGGACCATCCCCTACCGCGGGGCCCGCTCCCGAAGCCTGAGTCGGGAACATTCGGGAGCAGAAGGCGGCGTGCGCCCCGCGCCCCAGCTCCGGCCCTCGGCCAGACCCGGGCCGGCCCGTACCTCGAGAGTGATAGTCTTCCCCGTAAGGGTTTTCACGAAAATCTGCATCGTGGCGGTGGGCCCACCTGCGGAGGGCGGAAAGGAAGAGAAGGGTTAGCTCTCGGGCCACAAAAAAGGCCGCCGGGAGGCCGCCAAGAGGCCTCCGGTCGCCGGACGGTCTAGAGCACGCACTCACCACGGATGGCGGATCGGAAAGGAAGCGCGGCGCGCCGGCCCGGCCTTTCCCGGCGCGCCCGTCTAAGGCCCCGCCCTTAGGCGGCCACAGTAATGCCTGACTGCTGCCGCGGCGGCTGTCTAGCCACATGCCTGACCGGGCGTGACTCTCATTCCCCCCCCACGTGGGGGAATCGAGTTAGCATCTCTTAAGAATCCTCTCGAAATCGTAGATTTTCATTAACTTCAAACTGTTTAAAAGGCTTTTCCCGTCCAGCCGACGTTGCTAAGGAGGGTCTTGACAAGGGCATTCAGCGGAGGCTGAGGTGGGCGAGAAGAGAGGGGATGAAGTGCATTCTGGGTGTTGTAGTTTTCCACGGCTCCCTTGGTGCTAGGACTACTGCTCCCAGGATGCAGTTCCACACCCCAGAGTTCCTTAGTTACTGTCACCCAGCACTCTAGTGTTTGGAGTAAGGGATCAAGGTGAGGAGGGCTGGGTAGGGTAAAGCTGAGTTTGGGGAAGGAGAGAACGGGTCGGAAATGCCCAGGACTAAAGGGGGCTAGGGGATGGCGGGTTGGAAAGATGATAAGCGATACAAGATGGGAATACGGGGAAGGGGAAGGAAAGACGGCAAAAGTGTCATCTATTCCCTTAGAGAGGTGGTGAGGGTTGATGTATCAGTGATCACCCATAAATAAAGGCATTTCCACGGCCAATACCAGGTAAAGGTAAAGGTAAAGGCCCTCCCGTTGATCGTCGATTTGCTCGAGCGGGCCCAGTAACGTCTCCATTGGAGACTTTGTTGTTACTGTGTTTGGCATATTGAATACTCTCAGTAGCTTGCCAGGCTCTCCGAGAGGGGCGGAGGAATCGAACTCGGGTCGGCCATGTTGGCCGCTTGTAAGGCGAACACCAGACAAACAGAAATCTTCAAAATCCCGGGCTCTTTCCTGGCCCACCCTAGAGCACCAATCCCCATACATCCCCCACCCCAACCCCCTAATTCTCCTTCCTTAAGGAGCATTTAGGGCCCCGTATGTCCCTTCTTAATGTAAAAGCGTTTAATATGTTGTAAACCTGCGTGATCAGCTGCTGTACCCGGCTCTGGGCTCACAAGTGACTCCTGGTGGTGCTGGGTTTCAGGATGTGGCTTTAAACCGGGGTCAGCAGCTTGCAAGGCAAGTGCCTTAGCCTCTGTATTATCGTCACTGACGCAGAACTTTCTAATTAAAAATTGAAGTCCTGCAGTAAAGAACTCTGGAGAATGCTGATTTACTTCTAGAAAAAGCAAGTTTGTTTTGTTTTGTTTTTGTTTGTTTGGGGGCTTGAGTGGGCCCAGTAATGTCTCCATTGTGAGACTCGTTGTTACTGTGTTTGGCATATTGAATACATCACGGGCGCTTGCCAGGCTTTGCCCTGCAGGCGAGATACTCTCAGTAGCTTGCCAGGCTCTCTGAGAGGGGCAGAAGAATCGAACCCCGGGTCGGCCAGGCCGGCCGCGTGCAAGGCAAATGCCCTACCACTGTGCTATCGCTCCAGTCCACCACAAAGAGAAAATGAAAAAATTAAAAAGTCAACTGTCACTGTCACTGACCTCCCGTTGTTCATCAATTGGCTTGAGCTTATTTGGGGGAGTGGGGGGGAATACCCGCTGTTGCTCAGGAGTTACTCCTGACTCTGCTCTCAGGAACCACTTCTGACAGAGTTCAGGGGACTTTATAGAATGCTGAGGATTGAACCCAGATTGAACACGTGCAAGGCAAGCACCTTACTGGCTGTACTATCTCTCTGGCCCCTAGAAATTCCAAACTTGGACATTGGGAGTGGAGGAAGTCATGTCTAGGAGGAAGGTTTAGGATGCCTGTCTGTAAGGTGGTCTAATTAGAAGTGAGTCATGCCCTTTACCTGGCCTTTGCCCACTGTGATAACCTCTGAACCTTCTGAAGTCTGCTGCTACTATCTTCTATTCATGCTCTCTGAATTCTCATCCTCAGATTCGTGTTCCCCAGGAAGTGTCGTCTATATCCTTACACGCAGCCATATTCAAGGTGCAAGTCGCATATCCGCTGCTTAACTGTTCTAATTGCAAGACCCTAATGACTAATATTATGAAATAATTCTTCCCATCTCTACTGGAGGTGGGAATTCTCCGTCTTTTCAACCATTTATGGTAAAAAACTTGTGGGTCAACTTGAGGATGGAGGGATGTGTGTACTAGCTTTGCAACTATAAAATAATGACTTCAATTCTATTGTTAACATTAACATTACCTCAGCTTTTTTTTTCTTTTTTTTTTTTTTTTTGCTTTTTGGGTCACACCTGGCGATGCACAGGGATTAATTCCAGCTCATGCACTCAGGAATTACTCCTGGCGGTGCTCAGGGGACCATAGGGGATGCTGGGAATCGAACCTGGGTTGACTGTGTGCAAGGCAAACACCCTACCTGCTGTGCTATCTCTCCAGCTCCCATTACCTCAGTTTTAAAAACACAAAACTTTATCATCACATTTCTCTGTTCTCACACACAACTCTCCCCTTAGAAGATCTTTTGTGTTTCTTTTTTGTTTTTGTTGTTTTGTTTTGGGGCCACACCCTAAGGTGCTCAGGGATTACTCCTGACTCTGCTGAAGGATCACTTTAGGCAGGGCTAGTGGGATCACATGAGGAGAGAGAGATTGAACTAGAGGCGGCAGCATGCAAGGCAAATGCTTGCCCACTGTACTGTCTCTCTGCCCTAGGACTTGCTCTTCTTCTTGCTACTTCTAAGAACCTACTTGACTTTTCTCAGGTTTCTGAAAATTTACCTTGTGAGCAAGACAATTCCTTTTTCTGACAATAGCTTTTGTACAATAGCACCCTCCTACCTTCCTTTATTCTCTACCATCTGTAGTTGTCTGCTTTCCCATATAGTTATGCCCATATGGGCTATTTGCCTCTATTCGCATATAATCCCTGTGAGGTTAGGAACTTGTTTTTTTGTTTTTTTATATATACCTAGCAGTGCTTAGGGATCACTCCCCATGGTACTCAGGTGTCTAATATCTAGAATAATGCCACAGTAGAGTGCCTCCCTCCCAATATTTATTGACTAAATAAAGTGATAAATGCAAATGATAGTATTTTGGTTTTCGAGCTTGTGAAACTCATCATGAAAGGGAAGGGAGAATATAGACAAAGTCTATAATAAAATGTGACAGAAAGGAAAAGCAGCAATAGCACTTGAGCAAGGCAAGGAGCACTTGAGCAAGGCAAGAAGCACCTTACCTTCTGTATTATCTCTCCAAACCTACTTTTACTGAAAGCATTACCCTAGATCTTGTTTCTTTGGATGTTTTCTCTGATGTTTCTTTTCATTTCCAGACACTAGCGAGATACCACTCTGGAATTTTGTCACCCATTTTCCTCACACTACCTCTCTGCTTTCTGGCAATAGCTCATTTATTATATCCAGTAGGCTTGGCTGGGGACCCTTATAACTTTCTGTATCTCTAAATGTACATTATAAATTAAGTAATAGAAAGTAAACAATTGGTTTATTTAACTTGTGGCTTTTTTGCTAGATATCCCAGGGAAGTCATTTCAGCAGTCTTCTGTATTGAGAATACCGAAAACAAATGTCTCTATTTTTTTTGTTGTTGTTGTTTTGTTTTGGTTTTGTGCCTTGTGGTACTCAGAATTTACTCCTGGCTCTGCTCACAGTGATAATTCCTGGCAGGCTTGAAAAATCATATGGGATGCTGTGGATGGAACCTGGGTAGACCGCAGGCAAGACAAGCATTCTACCTGCTATACTATTGCTCCAGCCCCGACAGATGTCCTCTGATAGATAAGATTTATTGTCCAGTGAGTATTGATTAGTAAACTATCACTGTCACTGTCACTGTCCTCCCGTTGTTCATCGATTTGCTCGAGCGGGCCCAGTAACTTTGTGAGACTTGTTACTGTGTTTGGGCATATCGAATACGTCATGGGTAGCTTGCCAGGCTTTGCCGTGCGGGCGAGTTACTCTTGCTATCTTGCTGGGCTCTCTGAGAAGGGTAGAGGAATCGAACTCGGGTCAGCCATGTTGGCTGTGTGCAAGCCAAATGCCCTACCCGCTGTGCAAATTACTACTGTTAGGATATGATGCACTGGAATCCATATGAGTCAAAAAGGGTAAATGCAAATGATAGTATTTTGGTTTTCGAGCTTGTGAAACTCATCATGAAAGGGAAGGGAGAATATAGACAAAGTCTATAATAAAATGTGACAGAAAGGAAAAGCAGCAATAGCACTTGAGCAAGTTTTTAGCAGTAGCACAGCAGTAGGGCGTTTGCCAACATGGCTGACCCGAGTTCGATTCCTCCGCCCCTCTCGGAGAGCCCGGCAAGCTACCAAGAGTATCTCGCCCACACAGCAAAGCCTGTGACGTATTCGATATGCCAAACACAGTAACAAGTATCAGAATGGAGACGTTACTGGGCCCGCTCAAGTAAATCGATGAACAACAGGAGGACAGTGACAGTGACAGTTAATTTTTCCAGTTTTTTTTTGGGGGGGGCATTTTTTAAATTGAGATTGGTCACTTGTAGGCAAGAAGCACCTTACCTTCTGTGTTATCTCTCCAAACCTACTTTTACTGAATGAATGTGATTTACAACAGTTACCACATTATTGCAGGAATGTGACGTACTATCAATTCTACTGCCTCTTCAATGGCAACCTTCCACCTCTGCTCCAAGGTTCCTTCTTCCTCCCTGCCCCCTGTAATTTTTCAGGGTGTCTTTCCATTGGAGATTGTCTATTCCCTTGCTTTGTTTCTTTTTACACAATACATGATCAGGATTATCTGATACTTATCTTTATCCTTCTGACTCACCTCACTTCGCTGATACCCTCCAATAAATTGTAGTGAACTGCAAGATTTCGTCTTTTCTCATAATGCATATATGACACAATGTCATTATCCATTCATCTACTGTTGAGCACTTGGGTGATTTCCAATCTTGGCCACTGTGAATAATGCTGTGATGATTGTAGGTGTTCATGTATTCTTTTTTTTTTTCTTTTTTAATGTAGGAGTACTGCTATTTTTTCAGCCATTGATTA